CGACAGCGATATGGGAACCTTCCAAAATTGCGACGTGAATAGGTATGAAACTCAGACGGGGGACAGAAACACCCCGCTCCCCTCCCCTAACAGGGTCTCCATTGTGGATGACGATTTTTCGACTCTGTGCGTGCATTTAGTGTGGTAGTGGTAGTGGTAGTGGTAGTGGTAGTGGTTACTAAAATTTAGTAATCTCTACTAAAGTTATGTATTATAATCCACCTGCCCTTAAGCACCTTGTTTTTTCATCGTGGGAGAATATAGACATGAGCTGTATTTTATCAGAGGCGTAGCCACGATTTTTCAAAGGGGGTCACACTGTATCAAACAGAGGGTACTCATCAGATTTTCATTTGATCCCCACGCCTTGTTTTACATAAGACCGAAAAAGGCCCACAAGAGGAGGGGGGGGGGTGTCACGGCCACCCCGGGACCCCACACCCCCTAGCTAGCTACGCCCTTGGTTGTATTTTGCTTAATACAGCTGAACTACCAAATATTTTACTGAACACTAACATTTACTTTACATTGTGTAAATGTAAACGAAATAAGGTAACAAAAGCTCCTGTATAATTTTTAGTTTGTGTCGATATTTATGTAGTTGATAAGCTAATACATCAAGTTACATATCGTCATAGGAAAAACTTCAACTCCTTGAAAGAATTAAAAGACCCTTACGTTGTATAATCTTTTAAAACTATTCAAACAGTTTAGCATTCTGTAGAGTTTGTAAGCTAATACATAAAGTTATATGTTAGTTACAAGAAAAACTTGAAATGGCTACCGCGTTGGAAATAGTTAAAACTTAGCATATAGACTAGCATTCTATATGTCTGGTAAGCTAATATATCAACTTACACTTCGGTTACTAGAAAAAGCATAACTTCTTGTAAAGAAACAAAAAAACTAGTTTTGAACCAGTTAAAACTATTACATAGTCAAGTATCCTATATAGCTGGTAAGGTAATAAATCAAGTCACGGGTATATTTCAGTTAAAGAAAAAAGGTTAACTTTTTTAATAGAAATAAAAGAGCTATTTGGTTGAACGAATTAAAACTACTAATCTGGCGTTTTGGGAACATCCCTCCAAATGTCAACGGCCAATTAGGCTTCCGCTGGTACCCCTTCGGCTGTCATGCTGATAGTTTCCTTGGTAACCAGTTGGGCCGATGTTTTTCTGGCTTTTGCAGCTTTAGTGATCTTTTCATTGTTTGGGTTGAGTTGTTGTTTTAGAACTTTTGGTAGAATCCCCTGTGCGTTCTTTACATCAGTCGCAGTAGATGTGCCTGAAAATTACATTGAATTGTAGAATCCATAAAAATACGTTCTTGACCATAAATCGGTAATTAAAAGGTTCTTCTGTCTACCCTCATAACTGATCAATAGGCAACATAGCTATCGTTGCCTCCGTTATTTTTATCCAGCGGAATAGTTAAGAGAACGAGGGCTCCAGAAGCGAGATTGAGTTATTGTCGTGTTCCATCCTCTGGCAACGTGACCATGAATTGTTAAAATTCCCTCCAAAAGAGCATGAATGCACTAAAAAAAGGGTTATTTTTAATATTTTGTCAGAATGAAAAGTTAAAATAAAAGCCACTATAGGTCGAAAGGGGTGTAGAAAATTTTAAGTAGATAAATATTATGCTAAGGTTTTTTTTTCTTCATCATGACAATAATCAAGTATTTGACTTTTCAACTTATAGCATACTGGTATTCTACTTCATGCAATGACATTGGCAAGTCTGTTATAGACAAGGACCACGTTGTTTGAAGCTGGGTTGAGATAAACCAGGGTTAGTTTGAAATTGGATTTCACATCTAAAAGCTGTAAAAGAAAATTCAGTATGAATTTTTTTGTCTGCTGTTTGATGATTGAATGCTCTAAAAATGGTAGAGAAAATTATCCAATAGAGGCTTTTGAACAAAGGAGTAAAGATGCTGGGATTAAAATGTAACCTTGGATTAGCACTAATTGGCCTTCAAACAACTGGGCTCTGGAGTCCATTTGAGACATCTTGTGTTGCTACAAGGTCGTAGTTTGCTGAATCCATTCACCCTTTAACTTGCACAAGTGATCAAGACTGAATTTCTCCTTACAGGATCAATACAATATCAGGCAGACAAGTGATGAGAAATAAGAAAAACATTACAAGGGGATTATTAGTTGATCCAATACCAAATTTTCTGAACTAACATCATTAGAATTGTATGACAGACAGTAAGGAGAATTAGTAAATGGGATCTTGGGAGTGAAAGGGTGAAAGGATACATAATGGGCAAAGAAGGAAAGGAGATGGCTGAGATTGGAGTTTGAAGAGGAATAAGAAAAGGCTCATTAATCTATGTACTTTGTTTGGCAGTGGTCATTATAAATTTCAGTTTCATGCTCTGGTGTTTAGAATTTGGAAAAAGAAAACTTTCAGAATCCATTCAAAGCATGATGATGTCACCATTTTTCAAATTTATTACAGTCCACTTACTGTCATAATTCCTTCAAGTTGTAGGTTCCAATCTTCATGAAAATTAACATGTTAAAGGAGACATTTATTGCTTTTCATCCTGTAATCTTATATGCATGGACGTGAGCACCACTTGTGCCTAGACTTCAAGTCTCAGTTAGTGGTCCTTTGTGTTTTTCACATTGTATATCAAAGGCAATCAAAGTCAAAGGTTAAGCATTTCTGAGAGCACTAGTAACTTCAGGACACAGTTGTTGACTCTCCCTTATGAAATTCCTGTGATAAGTCATATCATTTGTCTGGTCTTTATCAAGTGCTAACAGGGACACATCATTTTTTCCCCTTTCTTACCGGAAACATCACCAATATTATGTGATGTGCTTCTGAATTACAAACAAGGGAAATTGTAACAGAGACAGTCTCAACTTATTATTAGTTACTTGTAGGAAGTGAGCCTGCAGCTCACTTAGTACAAGTAATTCAACATCAGCAGACTCAATTGTGTATATTTGGGCTGCTAGTTGGTATTCCCTTTGTTTGTAACATTAGTGTCTCGCTAGGCACTTAAGAGATTGCTAAGGGATTTAAGTTCCTACCCTCTCTCCGATGCTTTACCACTAAGCCACAGAGACTCTTTGGGGCTATGAATAGAGGGGGTAGGTTTCTAAAGAAATTGTGGTGCTGAGTCAGTGGGAGAGTATAACATGCTAATTTTGTATTATCAACTGTGTTGATAACATGAATTGGCCACCATAAAGAGTTTAAAAGCTGATGTTTCAAGGCTAGGGTTAGCCCTTTGTCTGAGTGATTAGAGAAATTGTGGGTTGTGTGTGGGTTTATATGTGGAAAATGGAGCTATGAATTTGGTGATTAAAAAACAAAAATAAATTAGTTGAATTAAAAGAGCTTGTTGATGCTGTGGGGATTAGGGTGCCAATTTGAAAGATAAATTTTTGTTCTCGTATTTTGCGGCTTTTGGATGTGTCTAGTTGTAGGGAAAGGCTGGAAACTTCCATGTGCTATTTAGAATGATTAGGGAGATTAAAGTGTCTAGCGACTGGGTTGGATGTGTCCTTATCATTTATTTCTATGTCGCAGAGGTGTTCTTGCACCACAGTTTCTTTAAAAAGTTACCCCTTTTGTTGTCAATAGTATGTTTGTTTATTATCTGATTTTTAGCTTATATATTTAAATAGGAGTTTTATTTGTTACTGTAATTTAATAACCTATAATAATAAAGGCTACTTTTCTCCAAAACTTTGCTTGTAGTCATGTTATGTGGTTTATATGCAGTGAAAACTATGATGTATTAGATGCATCACAGTCTTTAAAATTTAATAGGGTTCTCTTGCGTGCTACTCGGCAAAGAAATCAAATCCAATTGGCTGCAGGAAGTACTCAAGTTGCCAAGAGTTCTTTTTACAATCATGGCTGTACTGTTTATAATAATTTTTGTTCACATTAATTATCTTAATTGTATTTTTCCCATTTTTCCAATATATGTTTTAAATGTTTCTAGAGATGCTTTTTATGCATTTGTAATCAGAGTATATTTAAACTCAGGGGTCCTGTTGATAGCAGGGTAGTGTACTTTTGGGCTTCTGACAGGACTATTGGTTATTTTTTAAATAAAGGTGCCCATATGTCTATCTTTCTACTTGCAACTTTAAGTAAATTATTTGATTTTAAACTTGAGTTTTTTAAAAATAAATTTAGTGTCGTATTCATTCAATGTGGATCAATAGTGTTCTTTTGATTTTCAAGAAGCCATATCATGTTTGCTGATTCGTAAAATGTCTTGTAAAAAAAGGGAAAAAAATATTACTTGAGGCATGGTAAGGGAGCTTAATGCAAATAAAATGATTTTATCTTCCTTTAAGGCCTGATCGTCCTCCAAGGCCTAAGTGCGGGTAGAAACTGAATTTACTCCATTGGTCTTCGCTGTCACAATCGGTTTGGGTATTCCCGCATTTTGGGTAATTTTCATTGCTCCACCCACTCAAGGATGGCAGCTATAATGTTCACCTACACAGTACTGACTTCTCGCCCGCCAAAATTACGTTTGCCTCGTAAGTTAGGAAAAATCAAGATGGCGAAAATCGATAAAATTTTTTTAACAGCTCTTCTCTCCAACTTCACGACCTGACATTTGAAAAGTACGCAACGGAAACGATCCCGTCGAACTCTCATCGATTATTTGATCTGATAAGAAAGCTTACATCCAAAACAAAGCTCAGGCTTACCTTTTAAGTGTATTTATTAGAGTGTGCTTCTCTGGTCACCGTTATGAGTGCCCGCGTTTTTAGAATACCTATTTTTCTTGTCTAGTCCAGTTCAGTACAGTTTGATTCAGTCTTCGATTCGAGCGTTCGGCATAATTTTAAGTGCAGAATCCTTTCTAAGAACTGGGTTAATTCATGAACTCTGGTAAAATCAGACCGAATGACAGTTTCTTTTTGTCTTTTAGACCATTTTTTTTAGCATAAATGTAAACATTACCTCACGTGACCATGATACTTTTATTCATTCGACGAAGCTCGCCCACGCTGCATTTTCAGTTCTTCCTAGTTTGGTTAGCAAACAGTGAGGAGTGATTTCAAGCCTTGCTAAGGAAACGAATTACTTTTTAGCTTAAGAAAATCGAATTTTAGCGGCGATATACAGATACAGAAAGCAAGTGACATGCAGCAAGGTCAAAGTATATTTAGTATTCCCTCGATTGTGAAACTAAACGTCGGCGGTCATTACTTCACCACAAGTCTTCAAACATTGACCAGAGATCCAAACTCAATGCTAGCCGTCATGTTTTCAGGGAAGTTTGAGATGAAACCTCTTGAAGACGGCGCTTTCTTTATCGACCGAGATGGAACTCACTTCCGGTTTATACTCAATTATCTTCGCACTGGAAAATTGACTTTACCAGACGGAGCAACATCTTTGAAAGAATTTGCCGAAGAAGCTGAGTTTTACCAAATCCAAGGGATACTGGATAAATTAAAATCGATGACAGATAGTTTAACGCGCGTGAAACTGAATGTTGGCGGCCATCACTTCACAACAAGTCTGCAAACATTGACCAAAGATCGAAACTCGAGGTTAGCCGCCATGTTTTCAGGGGAGCAAGCTGAAAACGGCACCCTCTTCCTCGACAGGGATGGGAAACACTTCCGGTTTATACTCAATTATCTGCGTAACGGAGAGCTAGTGTTACCGGATGATGCAAAATTTGTCAAAGAACTTGAAACTGAAGCGCAGTTCTACAAGATCGAAGGGATACTGATTAGGTTGAGCCTTTTTTCGGAGATACTCACGAATGAGGAACATATCAGCGTGCTGCTAAGTTGGCTGCCTGTCCATGACACGGGGATGAGGCGACGTCACCTCCGTCTTCTGTACCGTGCTTCTCGAGATGGCTTCGCAGCCGGATGCTTTCACTCCAGATGTGACAACAACGGGCCAACTGTTACTATCGTGAAGAGTGGAGAATATATTTTTGGAGGTTTTACAGAACAGTCTTGGACGAGTAAGTAGTAAATTAACTCAATCGGGTAGAAAATAATAGCTAACGATTTGAGTAGAAACGAAAGTTAAGTTAAAATTTTGGCGTGAAAATTTCTTCTCTTAACGACCTCCGGCCAAAAGTAATTTCGTAAGAAAACGTTTCAAACGGCCCACGAAGGCGGAAAAAAAAAAACAAAGCATCGATTAACATTTCATTCAACTTTATTGAGATATTTATACTGAGATGTAATTTAGATATGCAATTTTCAGAGTTTCATTTATAACCCTCGTGGATTTTGTTTGTCTAATGTCAGCAATAATTAACCACGAACACATACTGTGGTCTGCTTGTGATAAAAGGAACATCATTTCATCAACAGGTCAAAACCGTGACTCAAGGTGTACCAAGGCATTCTTGTTCAGTATGGTCAACCCACATGGCCATGAACCAACGAAAATACCGCTTACTCCTCGTGGCCATGAGCGTGCCATCTCATGTAGAGCTGACCTTGGACCAACGTTTGGCCGCGGGTATCGCGGCAAGCATGCCCTACAAATCTCAGACCATGCAAACGTATCATACAGTGAGTCTGATGACAATGATTACACATATAATTTTCCTCCAGAACGCACGACTTTCTTCACGGGAAATTCAAGATTTGTTGTGACAGATTACGAAGTGTTTTCACTCAATTGAAGTAAAACAAATGATTTGGGGGAGGAGGGGGGTGTACCTTCTAAAACAGGGATGCTTTGCCCCAATGCTTGGAAAAAGTTTTATAAAAGAGAAGAGATTTCAAAGGTTGAACTACAGAAAAGGGCGTATAAGGGCAGGACTTAAATCAGGTGAATACCGTTGGAAGGTCTCGGTAAAGCGAAATGACACTGTAGTATTGCTGTTTGTCTCCCGTTGTGGATAGTTTCATTATGAGGCCCTGTTAAAGTACATTTGGACGGCGATACGGCTCTGAAACGGTTACACAATGGGAGCTGAAATGACCACGAACAACGACCCGTTAACGCGAATTCGACAGCGACATTGGCGTTTTAAAAATTAGACAGCGACTTGCTGCGCATTCGAGCAGAAGAAATAGCGTGTAACAATTTGTGAAACTTTCCGCGAGTATTTTCCGTCTACTGTTTGACCACACGCGGCCCAAGCTCAAGTCTCGAGAAAAAGTGAACGATTAATTTATGAAAGCGTCACACGTTGTGTGAATTGTTGTTAAGTTGCGAGAGGAACCGTTCAGAACACGTTACAAGTGTGGGGAACGAAAATATGGTCGATTTACAACGATAAATATTTTGAAATATGAACATTTTACAGGTAAAATCAATAGATCTTACTCAAACCTTGTGTGTCCGTTTTGATGGCAAAATCGCCAGAAACCATAGCGGACACACAAGTTGTAGGTAAGTTTTATTGGTTTTACGCGTAAAATGTTCATATTTCGAAATATTTATCATTGTAAATCGACCATATTTCGTTCCTCATACTATTCCTTATAACGTGTTCAAATTCTCAACGGTTCCCTTCTTAACTCAACACCCTGTCACACAACGCGTGACGTTTTTGTGAATTAATCGTTTGCTTTTTCTCGAGACGCGAGCCTAGGCGGCCTGTGGTGTGACCTGTGTCGTCTGACTCTCTTCTGTCATCTTCTCTCCTCATCTTTCATATCACGTCACGCTCTATGTCCTTTATGGTCACGCGCTCAAAATTCAGATTTGACCTTTTCTGGGTTTTTTCTCTCTCTGTCTTCCCATGTCGCACTTTGTAAGGCTATTAAATTTGGTTGATAATTATCCGAAAATGTTTCGGGAACAGAATTACGCGAATTCATCTAAGTGAAACATTCTATACTTTAACATTTCCAATGTCGATATCTGTGGCTTAGGACAAAATTGCGACAGCGATATGGGAACCTTCCAAAATTGCGACGTGAATAGGTATGAAACTCAGACAGGGGACAGAAACACCCCGCTCCCCTCCCCTAACAAGGTCTCCATTGTGGATGACGATTTTTCGACTCTGTGCGTACATTTAGTGTGGTAGTGGTTACTAAAATTTAGTAATCTCTACTAAAGTTATGTATTATAATCCACCTGCCCTTAAGCACCTTGTTTTTTCATCGTGGGAGAATGTAGACATGAGCTGTATTTTATCAGAGGCGTAGCCACGATTTTTCAAAGGGGGGTCACACTGTATCAAACAGAGGGTACTCATCAGATTTTCATGTCGATCCCCACGCCTTGTTTTACATAAGACCGAAAAAGGCCCACAAGAGGGGGGGGGGGGGGGATCACGGCCACCCCGGGACCCCACACCCCCTGGCTAGCTACACCCTTGGTTGTATTTTGCTTAATACAGCTGAACTACCTAATATTTTACTGAACACTAACATTTACTTTACATTGTGTAAATGTAAACGAAATAAGGTAACAAAAGCTCCTGTATAATTTTTTAGTTTGTGTCGATATTTATGTAGTTGATAAGCTAATACATCAAGTTACATATCGTCATAGGAAAAACTTCAACTCCTTGAAAGAATTAAAAGACCCTTACTTTGTATAATCTTTTAAAACCATTCAAACAGTTTAGCATTCTGTAGAGTTTGTAAGCTAATACATAAAGTTATATGTTAGTTACAAGAAAAACTTGAACTTCTCGCAAAGCAAGAGAAATGGCTACCGCGTTGGAAATAGTTAAAACTTAGCATATAGACTAGCATTCTATGTGTCTGGTAAGCTAATATATCAACTTACACCTCGGTTACTAGAAAAAGCATAACTTCTTGTAAAGAAACAAAAAAACTAGTTTTGAACGAGTTAAAACTATTACATAGTCAAGTATCCTATATAGCTGCTAAGTTAATAAATCAAGTCACGGTTATATTTCAGTTAAAGAAAAAAGGTTAACTTTTTTAATAGAAATAAAAGAGCTATTTGGTTGAACGAGTTAAAACTACTAATCTGGCGTTTTGGGAACATCCCTCCAAATGTCAACGGCCAATTAGGCTTCCGCTGGTACCCCTTCGGCTGTCATGCTGATAGTTTCCTTGGTAACCAGTTGGGCCGATGTTTTTCTGGCTTTTGCCGCTTTAGTGATCTTTTCATTGTTTGGGTTGAGTTGTTGTTTTAGAACTTTTGGTAGAATCCCCTGTGCGTTCTTTACATCAGTCGCGGTAGATGTGCCTGAAAATTAAATCGAATTGTAGTATCCATAAAAATCATACGTTCTTGAGCATAAATTTGTAATTAAAAGGTTCTTCTATCTACCCTCATAACTGATCAATAGGCAATTTAGCTATCGTTGCCTTCGTTATTTTTATCCAGCGGAACAGTTAACAGAACGAGGGCTCCAGAACCGAGATTGATTGGTGGTCGTGTCCCATCCATGAGTTGGTAAACTTCCCGCTAAAGATGCATGAATGCACAAAAAAAAAGGTGATTTTTTCATTTATCAGAATGAAGAGTTTAATAAATACCACTGACAATCGAGAGTTCAAAATCATTAAAAAGCTCGAGATTTCAGCACTTTCATAAACAAGCGTCACGTGTATCTCTTCCATTGAAATAAACCACTGCCCTTTTCGATTTAGTGTCACGTAGTACAAAAAACTTTGTAACCATGACGGCAAATCACTGTTAGGTAGAGTACCGTAAGGAACCAATGATAATTAAAAAACCTTCAAATTGACCAAAACGCAGGAAAACGCGGGTGACTAAGGTGTGATTGGCTTACGTTTGCATCTGATTGGGTAAGAGAGTGGCGAGAGTTTTTTTGGGACCAATCACAAAGCGAAGTAAAGCAAGACTAATTCAGTCCCAGATTAGGTTCGGCACTCAAAGGGAAAGTAAACGACGATGTTAAGAAACCGTGATTATACCAACAGATACAAGTTGGGTTAGTGAAAATCTAGGAAGTTTTGAGGAAAGAAATATTTCCAATAAAACATTGAATCAGGAATGAAATTACGCACTTATAGATAAATGCTGTTTAATTTATTTCGCTTTTCATTATTTAAAGCCACGGTGCTCGCCTTGCCAACTTTTCTTATTTTCCTTACGCTCATTTCCGGATACTACGCTAGAGATATTTTTTTTGTGTGAAAGGGATGTCTACGATTCCTTTAAGGTGATAGGGCTTTCGGAAAGTGCACTCACCAAACAGGGCCTGTATCTGTTGAGTATCATCCCTGCTCAGCTTGTAGTCCGGCAGATAACCTTTATACCAGGGGTACATAATGGACTCCTGATTGCGGGAGTGTTTCAGACCCATAGTGTGTCCAAGTAGATGAACCGCCGCCCAGTATAAGTTGATGCCGTTGTCTGTTCCTGTGGTGAATGTTTCATCGTCATCAAAATGGACCTCAACAGGTAAATCTGAAAAAAATATGGTAATAAATGAGTGAATAGTATTAAATTAGGCTTATTTCGGGATGCTACAATTGCTGCAAACGTAACGGCCAAAAATCGACGAATCTTTTTTATTTTTTACACGGTAGCTATTTGTTCTTTCTAAGTTTAGATTAGACCATCTTCGCTCATGTTTGGGACCATGGGGCATCAATCATGGACCTCCACCGGACTCTATCAGGGCAGTCCTCTTTCTTCCTCCATCTGATGCTATTCTCAGCGAGCTTGAATCGGACACCGCTGTTCTTTATAAAACATGCCAAAATTCTCAAACTATTTGCTTTGACCCGAGTTACTAATACTGTGACATTTCATAGAAAAAGTTACCGAGCTTAGGATAGTGAATCCAAAAAGGTGGAGAAATTTAGAGGTTGATTGATTGTCCAGTTTCTGGTGTGGAGTCAAAACGGAAGTAATGTGGACATTACAATTTTTTTTTCGGATTAGTTCTTTTTTTTATAAACCCGAAGCTAAAAAAACTAATATTGACATGTTTTATATTAATGAATGGAGATTTGTTGGCTTTCTGTTAGGGACCATAAGGCTTTTTTATATTCTTATGATCCCCATCTCTCATTGGCAGTTAGTTGGCAGTCAGTCCCCCCCCCCCCTTAATACTGTGTTAGTGGCGAATGATCACCCCTCCGTTGAAAACCATGCCACATCATCCACAAACTCCCCCCCTCTCCCCAGGCCACTAGTCCTTTATTGCTAAGATACACCACCCAGAGAAAAAAAAAACGTTTCTCTCACCCTTGCTGGAATCTGGATTAAACACGTGTCCGAATGTTCCTCCTTTTCCATCAAATGGGTACGGATCACCATGTGATCCTTTCACAAATCGAACAAGAACTTTGCTCTTTTGGTCATCTTGAGTCGAGCGCTTCGTAACTCGGCATCTTGATCCGGCTGGAACATAAATCTCCAAACGTCGCAACAATCTGCTCAGCAATGAAATTCGTCCCACAGCATATCGGTGGGACATAATTGTTGAGATCATTTCCTGAGATGGAAAAAAGGAGTTGTTTACCTTACATAACATCTTGACGATTTCCAACTTGTGAGATTCTAACACCTCGCTAATACGCCTTTATTGTTTTGGTGTTTATTCCTTTCATTTTTACTCATCGCTCGTTGATCAACGAGGAAACAGATAATTTAATTGCATGTAGTTAAGTTTTTCATGTCACGCAATCTACGTCGAAAGGATCACACAACGAATCAAAGGAACCTATGTCTTGGTGCCAATCTTGAGCCCAGGGTCATTAAGCTCCTTGCCAGCGGTATTTTCGGGGACCATACCGCTGACGAGGAGCCGAAATGACCCCGATATTGTCTTAGTGTCTGTCTACTTGCAAGCTTATCTTTCTCTCTCTCTCTCTTGTTTAGGTCTTACGTACCCCTCGAGCTGCACAAAACAGGTCCACGTATCTTTGAAAGTAAACAGAACGTTTGTTTTTTCCTTTTTTCTCTTCATGTCGGTGTGGCTCGTCGTTTTTCTCCACATTTCCACATCGAGGAATGACAAACAGTTTTTTGGTGTCGAAATCCAATTCCCCGGTGACACTTAACCCAGCCATGCGCTGTACGTTTGAGATCATTTCGGTAAAGTTGTTGTCTTGTCCTGGTTTAAAAACCTTGTACTTTTTCATCCATTCCTACAAATGGGATTAACGTTTTGGTTTGAAGAGTTAGATTGAACACTGACCATGGCTTAGTATACGCCTGACACATCAGTTTCTCAAGGGTGGAGAGGCAGGGGGGTTGGATTCTTAGGAAGCGCGTGACCCCCATTTTTGGATAATAAAGCAAACGGAACACATAGTCTAACTGAATGCAATCGAGTCAGCCCTAGTAAGCTCAGCACGGAAACTTAAACACAATGGCATACTTACTTGTGCTGTAATTCTCTAACGCAGACCAAATTTATAGTGCGAAGGGAGGGGGGGGGGGAGAAGGAGTCTAACATCATATATGGGGCATGACAGGCTGGGTTAGTATGTAATTAATGCGCTTATCGAGTGAAGGAAAATAACAACACCTGTAAAATATTAATTAATTCGCTGACGGGGTGAAAACGACTCAAAATGAACCCGTTTAACTTGGTTGGAATTAATATTAGTCAAAAACTGTCTGAGAATGTTACAGAACATTTACCAGGTAGTAGACATACGAATTCAAGGTTTTGGTGTGGTTTCAATGGGAAACAGTTTCCCAGTTGAAATGCGGCGGTGCAGTGTTATCATGTTGACCTCTCAAAAGAGTTGTTTAATTTGCGTCGAAAAAGTCTAAATTTGATTTTCGCACCTTTTAATGAAGTTTTTTTTTCTCATATTTATCTGCAGTTAGTATCTAACATAAATATTTTGTAGGCGAGGACCGCTGTCGAATTTACCTGGTCTAAGTGCAAAGTGTACTTCATCGAGAGTGAAACATCGTGCCCTAGACCTTTTTTCAATGATCTCAAAAGGAATCCATTAACGATCAGATCTCGGGCAGTTTCTATTTCGTTCAACAGCTTTTAAATTCTTTGTGGCTTCATCGGTAATTTGCTCTTAATTTAGCAGATAATACGCGATAAACTCTCTTAAGACAGCTTTTTTAGAGTCTCTTATCAGGAGTATAAGTTTCGGCCAAGTAATTTAATCAACGCGTGCAATCAAAACTATAAATGTTTTCTAATTTACAAACCTCAAAGCACGCCTCAGCTATGTTTAAGAGCCAAATATCTTGGGATTGCACTACACAACAATTGCACAAAACTTTACTGAAACATCTCTGTAGTTAGTGAACTAGCAAAGCACAACCGACCATATGGGCCAAAGATATCAGAGGATAAATTTCTTGGAGTTGATCTGAGAAAGAGATAACGATTTTAGTCCGATCTGTTTTTAATTGCAGCGCGCGTGCTTCGATTCCATTTAAAATAGTCTGTTGCTTTTATGGGTTCCGAGAATAAATCAGAATCTCAAGAAAGAGATTTGTCAGTAAGACTGCAAATGACTTCTAGATCCTCATAGCTGTCTGATGTAACGTTTTAATTTTTCCTTTTCGTACTGCTAACGGCTCAAAAATTTAGTCTTTTAAATAACGCTAAATAAACTGGAGTGAACTTCACAACATATGAGACCTTAGACAAACAGAACGAAAACGCCGAGGAAGACGTCAATTTAAAAATGAATTTCGCGAATGGCTGGATGAGGTTACTGTCTGTAACGGCGCCACACCTCAACTTCAGTAAACGTATCTGAACAGCTTAGGGTTCCAAATGGAAAATTAAATAATCTGCCGTCTGTCCTTCTGTCCCCAGACTACGCAAATTTTGACGATTTCACATTGCTGTTTTGCAAAGGACTGCTAAGAAATGTAAAAAGTTTTAAAACGCACGTGCTGAGCTATTGTTCTCCCCTTTAAATCTTTTGTTTTACCACGTCCTCGTTGGCGTCGCCGTTGTGGTTTCTTAAAAATATCCTAATATTATCTTACCAGAGCTGTTTCGTATGTGACTGAATCAACGACTTCTTTGGAGGGTTCACTCGAGTCAGCCAACGGAAGTGGTGCCCCCAATGTACATCGACTGCACCAAGTACTAAGGAGCAAAGCGGCAGTGATGACAAGCCACTTAAAACTGAAACCTCGGGTTTTCATCGAAATGCTCGCGGAATTCATCATTCTCTCAACAAGGCCAATTGTGCTGAGATTAAAATTCGTAGAAACTGTTAGTTCTACTCTTAAATGTACTTGCTGTGTTGCAATTTACAACTGAAGACTTAGAACTTACAAATGAAGCGAGAAAATCCAGTAAACGACGAAAGTCTGGGCAGATCTGCAAGGGGGCATTCAAAACAACAGATGCACTTCAAGTGACACCTGAAGTGCGGAACGCTTCATATCTTTTAGGATGTAGATATCTAATGAAAACATCTGATTCAAGTTTAATTTTTTTTTTTAATCGTGCCGAAGCTCCGTAAAAACATTCCAGGTTGTCTGTAACCAAACACAAAACTTGTTTTGTTTTCTGATTTTGAACAGTACAGGAATGCTGACCGCCAACAAAGTCGTGCTTGTTAGAGGAAAGGATTCCTCCCTGGGTGGGGTTTAAAGCCCCTGTCCTTTCCCGATGGTAGAGATTACTAAGGTATATTTTAAGCGCGGTACTTCACGACGTAGTCTGAATAAAAAAGACATAGTGGTCAGCACATCTTCGAAAAGTGAGGATTTTAGGCTTTTTCAAATAGTTGGCGAGAGATATTTAGGACGATGATGTGTTTTCGCACTTCCTCTCTTAATCCTAATTTATGGGATCAGGAATGGCACAGTGGTGATAAAGCTCGCCTCCTACCATTGTGGCCTGAGTTCGATTTCTGGACCAGTTGGATTGAGTTTGTTGTTGGTTCGAGGGTTTTTCCCCAGGTCCTCCGCTTTCCCTTTCTCTACAAAGATCAACATTCTAAATTCCAATTCGAGTTAGAAACAGCAGACAAGAAGAGCCACCCCGTGGAGTGTCCACTGCTGCATCCCGTTCATTACTTATTTATTTATTATCGAGATTAATATTAACAGGAAGAGAAGATAGATGTAGAAACTGATCTCCCTCTTAGCCCCAGGCCGCGCGGCTATCCATACAAGTTTGACTTTCGCGCGGATCATGCAAATACAAAGTGTGAACTCAAGTTGAAATGCAATCGCTGGTAAAGTTCTTATGCCGTATTCTAAAATCGTTAGGTAAATCGCCCTTCCTTATGTTATTAGTATTTCCTATGTTATTTCCAATTTTGTAATTAGTCATTCCATTCTTAATGTACTATGTTCGTAATACTTTACTTAGAAACCACTGGCAATGGCGTGTAAATAGAAAAGTTCGGTCGAGTCGTCAGGAAATGAAACTCCTCTTAAATTTATTGCTGATCCGTTGGTTATAAGTGGTGAGAGAAAACTTCATCAGAGAAATACTGAATCGATCCCAGGTGATATTCTTAAGTACTAAATTACTAGCGAGTAGTTAGGAAGAGTCAACTTAAGATCTTTGCAATCAAAAGAGGACTTCTACACTACTGCTTATAGGAGTTTGCTCATTTTGGGGGTGCAATGCATGCTGGGACCTTGCGTCGATTCACGGTGAGTTTCTCTGCTGATTATACACTGCTGGACTACTATTTCACTGGAGATGGTAAGGAAGGACTGGGCAAGGCAAAGGATGCACGTAGCGAGTAAGTATCGCCTAGTCGCAGGTTGGTAGCGAGGAGGTTTAATTTTATTACCAGGAATCGAAGGAATGTGAGTCAAAGAAATGGAATTGTTTTGTACTTCCGAAAGGAATAACACACACATTCTTCTACCAGTGCCGTTACATTGCGCATCTGTTCTTTCAGCGGTGTACAAAATTACTGGCAACGAAAGAAAGCGACAGAAACAACTCTGGGCCATTTTTTTATTAAATCTTTTTTCGTACAAAGTCCTTTATTTAAAGATAATTTTTAAGCGATTGTTTTGAGTATTTTTTTGTCCCCATTTAATAAAACTTTTATTAATTTATTGATGTATTTAGTACATTTAGAAACTGTTCGCCAGCGATATTTCAGATAAAAAAGATTTTTTCTTGACAAATGGCAAATATTAAGAATTACTATTGTAATTTACCGCTTTACCACCAGTTTAATCTACCTCAGTCAAAACCATTGAATCAATGTTAGGCCCTCAATGAAAAAGACAGCTGAAGCAACCCGCGCATGCTCTGAACATGCGTCAGTTCTCCCTTAATGGCATCATCTTAATACTTGTTAAATACCCTTTTTCCTTATGGCGGTCGTTATTATTATTTAATCAGTCAAGCTCCTAAAACGGAGGACCATGGTTAGATGTAAGACACTGCAGTAGACACCCACAATTTAAATTGAAATCCGGTTCCCAGAAACTTACAATCTCTTAACCCTTTAACTCCCATGAGTGACCAAGACAGAATTTCTCCTTACAATATTAATACAATATTAAGCGGGTAAGTGCTAAGAATAAAGCAAAATATCAATTAGGAAGTTTAAGTTGATCCAATACCAAATTCTCCAACTAACATCATAAGAACTGTATAGCGTACGGTGCGGAGAGTTGGGAGTAAGCGCGACGGAAGTCCTATATGGTTACTTACAAAAAAAAGAAAAAAAATTGTAGAGGACTTAAGTTTTTCTTTTTAGGATATCATTCCGTGTGTATGCACCTTGCTGAACGTCCCGTGACTAAGCCTCGTGAGTAACCCTGCCCAATCATACTAATAACTTTGCATTTTGGTTGGTATTGTGTTCACTCGGGTTTGAAAAAGAAAAAAGCTTGCTTTATCTATCACGACTATCTCGTGTTATCGTTTATGGATGAACTCTGCCATATTTCAACCTGCTTGCTATGAACTGTTGTTGTTGTTTTTGTTGTTGTCTTGTACGCGGGTCATTAATGCAAAGGCGTCTAAGTTTCCCTATTTGCATCTTTAAACGCAAGTCATATCTCTGCAATGAATCACTAACCTATTTCAAATTAGAATGGAACAAACCAGAGTTGGATCACTGGCTCCTCATTATGTCAATAAATATAATCACATTTTAAAGATATAAATACAAATCATATGTTGGATTCTCTGGTATTTTCTAGTTTCTTAACTAGTTCGTCGACATTATGATGTTTAAATGAGATAATTGAACCGAAAGAAGATGATGGTCTCTTTAAGTTCTTGTCTTCTCTCCTTTTCTTGGGTTCTTTTGAGGGGTTTTTGTCTTTGTCCAAGTTGAGTCTTCGGTAGTTTTCTTGGAAGCCCAGCAGTATTGGAATACAGCCCGCACATGCTCCAAACATGCACCAGTTCATCCATTCGGTTCCTGAAGATGGAAGACAAGCGATTGACCAAGTCAGAATGTTTACAGAATATTTCCATGTGTGTCGCTGAATTAGTAATAAACCCAAGAAAATCGCAATAAACGGGTTCCGTATCAATCACAAAGGGGACAAAACAGTACGGGTAAGATTGTGAGGAAAAAATTAAGACACTGGCAGAAAACGTGGTAAATAGCGTAGCTATTTCCTCGCTCCCAACATGTTGCTTTGTAATTCAGTTGGTAGTAACGCCCAGCTGGTATTCAGCGGGAACGTGTTCAATTCCCCTCGAAGCCTGATTTTTTTTAGCGATTTTCTCTTTTGCAATTACTTAAAATATAGTTAACTTGTGAAGATCAATTTAATACCAGACAAATTTTCCTCAATTTACTTTTACTTACCGACTTTAGGCACCATCAAGACGAGCAGGAAGATAACAGTAAAAGTGTTATTAATGATAGTCAAAGCTCCTGTGGTGATTCCTTCCGCTACTGGGTAAGTGGACTCTACCGTCAGCTCATAGAACAGAGGAATAGTACCACTGACGAAAAATCCTCCTAAAATACTGGATTTGTACAGGGCAGCTGAAATATCAAAAGTACCAGACTTGTGATGAGTATTCTTTTTAAAAAATTTCTATAAGTGATCCGCTATCGATGTTCAGTTAATACTCGTCGGTTAAAAAGTAAAGACAAAACTGTTACAACATTTGTCACAGAGGATGAAGTGACAAGGCACTACAACTGTACCATTGTCCTTTTGAAAACTAAATTAAAGTCTTCATTCCAAATAATTACATTTGCATTTTTTTACAGACAATGCTTTTAAGGTTTTCGTTCTTACCGTCATCATATGCTATCATCCTCAGACAAAGAAGCGAGAACCACAAGAAACAACCTGCGGCTCCGAAGAACAGAACGAGCAGAAGGAGTTTCATTTTGCCGCCAAACAGATCTGCGCACCTTGCCAGGATTAAACCTGCTCCGATACCAGCTAATGTGGCGTAAAAACCGATCCAACCCGCCTCGTTCTGAAATAAAATAAGAAAATCGTAAATCAAATGAGAAAGACACACTAGCGTGATGTGTGGCGTGCTGATCAAGAACTTCGCGTTCGTCAAGGTCATTGGGCATACTTTCTCTTTCAGTGCCTCTCTCCATTCAGGAGAATCAATGGATACCAGCTATGGAATGGAATTCCACCTTAGGGGGGCAGCAACGCCCCCTTCTCACTTCACCCAAAGGAAACTGGGTGGGCGCCGGCGGTGTAGACCTCTGGGTTTGCCGAGTGAGTCCTTGACTAGACTTGTTAATCAATAATATAAACGCTAATCGGTATCATTCTATTCGCTAGCTCGGAAACAATTAACCATGCTAAAGATGGGTAGATTGATAGCCCGCTAAGCTATCAGTTTTGTGATAGAGTCGAAACAGTGAGTGGGAGTTTCTCCCGGCTTCGCCACTCGTTTTCACAGCTCCGCAGCAAAGCGCACACAAACCTACTGGCTACGGAGATTAGAAGATGGACTCACAAAACGCTGTCTCCCAGGACATCGTTTGACCCACATGAACTCACCTGTCCGATGGAGAAGGTCTCTAGATTAACTGCTAAGGAGGCACCCCAACCACTGTACACACCTGCATATGAGAGCAAAGACAGCTCACTAAATCAAATATTGATCATTGGCGGCGTAAAATTCAGAAATGGAGAAAATCGCTAGTTACTCATCTTTCAAATAAAACAAAACTTGGAAGACAGTCATATTTCACTAGTTTAGGTCAGCATGGAGTAACAAAAACGTGTAACCAGTACCCATTATATAAATGGCGTTAGTTTAGAGCCAAGCGCAGGTTTTCTTGTCACGCCATTTCAGTGACAAGCTTGGTAAAATATTACCAATTGGTGAGAAAACACTACGAGAAATTTTTGACAAGCTCTTATTTCATACGCTATTTAAGTAGGACACAGCATTACGTAAATCTTGGGGCTTGTGCTTACCAGTTGTGACTCCGTAAACCAGCGCAAGAGTCCAGAACTGCTTGTTCCTGTGTTACAAATAAGGCAAATAATTAGTTTTATCCTTCGATGTTCAGTGCTCGTTGAATATCCACGACTCTTTTGAGTGAATTGGGTTTTTCCTTTACTACTTCCTGGATGCTCGAGTAAATGATCAACTCTTAGACGAACAATCCTCAACAGAGCTAAATGAAGATAGTGAAAGGTAGAATTTTCAGGCCAGTTAAGTGAATGGAGCACATGCAAACTTGCAATATGCAAGACTACGAGGGGCTTAATTTTTTTTCCCTCACGTCTCAAGGGCGCAACGCCCTGCCCCGGCCAGGACTATAACCCGGGTCGTCCGACTCGGAGCCCAGTGCACTGACCACTGGACTACTGGACAAAGCCGTGGCGTTGGCGTGCCCGCGGTACAGTTGACCACGCATGTTAAAAGTAGCACCTTGTACGGTCGTACGGTCGTACGGTCGTACGGTCGTACGGTCGTACGGTCGTACGGTCGTACGGTCGCACGGTCGTACGGTCGCACGGTCGTACGGTCGCACGGTCGTACGGTCGTAGGGTTGTACGGTCGTAGGGTCGCACGGTCGTAGGGTCGTACGGTCGTACGGTCGCACAGTCGTACATCCAAATTTTTTCGGCTTGATGGGTTACTACTATTTTGTATAATTATGGGGCTACGCTCTGCGAGCTCCGCTATGAGCGGAGTACAAGTGGAATAGTGTAAATACGAAAACAGAGCGCAGTGTAGGGTTTAACCCTTAACATCAGTATGTAAATTCTCAATACTGTTCTCTGAGGTGCTGACAAGGAGAAGTTGTTTACTAATCAAGAGTCCCTTTGTTGGCGATCATTTCCTTTGTTCTTGTGATTTTAAAGAGCGATTCACGGGTCATACTGTTGGGAGAAATTAGATTATTATCACTCTTGGGATTCAAAGGGTTAAGAACCGGGAAAGTAAGAAAAAGATGGTATCTTACTTAAATATTTGTTTGGCGCCGGCGAAGAAGTCTTCTCGTTTTCTTCTCGCTGATTTACTTGGTGGTAGAGGAGGTTTGTTTGGGAAGTACATACAGACTAACAGGAAAAGAAACATAACAACGCCACATTCTGTAAAAAGAAAAAAAAATGATTAAATTAGCAAATGTACAAGCAGGCTTGATAAAAAATAATCAACGCTGATTTTGTAAACTGAAGCTAACTCACCAACATATAGTAACGTCATAATTTCTTTTTTTCCGTCCTTGAGTAGTCGCTGTTTAGCTGAAAACAAGAAGGAACAAAGGAATTAAACAAACATGTAACAGTAGTGTTCAAAATAAAAGTAATGATGACGATGATTACAACAACTGTAATTATGGTAGAAGTAGTAGAAAAGAAATACGGGATTGAAACAAATTTTATAACTAATGCCGGTTTTTCCTTTGTTTCTGTCGGATATCAAGAACATTACAGTTCATTTCTGACAAAATAAATTTTGTGATAACAACGCGGAAGAGGTTTCCACGAACAGGAGATCAGCACTAAAACGTTTTAGATGGACGAGGACACCGTCCAGCGCTAACGCCGAAAACACGAGTCGTGGTAGCTTAAAATTCCTTGCTATGCAAGACAATTCCTTGCTATGCAAGAAAATTCTTTGCTATGCATCACAGTAATATGCGATGCTAACTTCTGGAAACAAAGGCAAACTTTGACAGGCATCAGCGAATTTGCGTGTTTCACAAACCTCTCAAACTTCCGAAACTGATTGACAAGTAACCGTGTGCAATGCCAATACTAAATCGAGAAAACAGGTCGTGGAGCTTAACAGACTGGACAGATGAAGGTTATCATATTGATGTAACACAAAACTCTCCTAATGATTTTACAGGGTCATGTATCTTAGCTGGAGGGGAGGGTGACAAATTTGACCCTTGGAGTCAAAACTACTGATAGGAGTCGAAACACACCTTCCTCTAAATCAGGAGTTATCCCGATGCCTGCAGTTCGTTGATAAATAGCTTCAATTTCCCTGGGATGAAGCTTTCTTTCCCACACTGCTAACTCGTCATACGCAGCTTTTGAAAAAGCATAGACATTATTTGGTCTTCCGAGAGTGAACATCGTGAAATAACTCCTCTCGAGTTTGGTGGTTTTCCCCTTTGGGTCCCCACCCACATTAGAACCATTCGAGTAAATCACAAGTCCTTCACGCTCGTCCCACGTGAACGTCACGTGCGTCCAATTGCTACGTGGCACGGAGAAGCTTCGTTTCCATAGCACCGTGCCGTTTTCTACTTTAATGGCCAAGTGGTCTTCCTTGTCGTAAGGAAAATCTTGATAAATTAAAAATCCTTTAAGACCATCTCTGTTTCCGCTGGTCCCCATGAAATACTGCAGACCGTTAGCGTCCAAGATTTCATATTTCATCCACAGCGCAACGGTAAAACCATTCGGGCACAGGGACGGGTCACTCACACAAGTGTTTATAAAAGGGCCAAGATTTACCCAAGCGCTTTTACCGTCAGTCATTAAACTCTGATTGACGACACCTTGTTCAGTGGTGCATTCATTGAATAAAAGTCCCTCCTTGTTCGTTTTAAATTCCCTGAGTCCTTTGTTGATTGTAACTCTCCTATAATCGTCAGGATTTCGTAAATTAGTGCTATTTTCCTTCCTGTCTTTTCTGATGGACTGGACATTTTGAATGCTGATGTTCAGATTGTCCAAAGGCCAATAGTACATAGCATCTCGGTATATAGATTCTAAAAGCCAAGAAAATAAAAAAAAAGTTAATTCAAAGAATGCTCATTCGGGCTACCACTGAGAAGGATGAAAAAAAGAGTTATTGTCTTTGAGTAATTAGGCTTTATCGTTTGTCACTCGATGTAATGACTTCCAATTAGGATCGCGACGTTCCGACTGCTTAGTGCAAGTTCTCGGCTTTCAGGCGATGAAGTCGAATGGTTTACATAGGATGACTCTCGACTCTTAAAACCCTGAGAATTACAAGCATCTAATTTCTCTTTACTTTAAATCTTCTGATTGTTAACTTTAAACTTGAAAATCAAGGTAGCTCACACAAAGTTTTTAAAACTTTGCAAAAAACCGATTCATGTTTTGTTGATAACAACTATCCTGTCTTGCCGTTGAGCAGTTTCGTTTCTTACCTGAATATAAAGTGTTTCCATTGAGGTACAAATCTAAAGTATCACTATAAAAATCAAACCAACAGAAAGGATATTAAAGTCTGTTTAAACACAAAAGAATACTTCTTAATAAATTTTAAACATAAAGCTTGGCTCTAGAGCTACGAAATTTGGAGACGAAATTTTATTTATCAAAAGCGAGTGAATAGAGGTATGTAGTGAGAATTTTTAGTTTAATTCCGAGCTCTCCTTTAGGTACTCGATGCACAAACCAAATGGACAAATGTCTACGAAACATAAAAAAATCTTGGTAGCCCAAGCCTAAGCTATCTCTATCAGTCTATACGCAATATAGGCTTGCAAAGAAAGCTTTAAAAAACTAAAGGGGGTAAGTTTCTAAAGAGACTGTGGTACTGCGTCGGTGGGATAGTATAACAGGTAATTTAGTGTTAACAACTGAGTTGAAAACGTAAATTGGTCACCGTAAAGAGTTTAAAGACTGACGTTGCAAGCGATAGACGAAGGGCTAACGCTCGAAACGTCAGCCTTTAAACTCTTTACGGTGGACAATTTACGTTTCCAACTCAGTTGTTGACACTTACTTACATTTAAAAAACTGATTTTTTTTATTCTTTTACAAATATCTTTTTTAATTACCTGAGATTTTTCGACACGTTGCCTCTATCCGGTATCAACTTATCCAGCTCATATTTAACATCTGTGACAACTAATGGGCCTATCACAAAAGATATGGCAACACCTAGCGACCCACACAACGCCGCAACCGCTGTTGATGTAGTCCGCTGCTCAGATGGGAACCAAGTTGATGACAGGAGCGTGGGCGCAGCTTGAGTGACAGGACCCGCCAAACCATTTAACAGTTGACCAGCGCCCATAGACCTTAGCATAATAGTAATAAAAAAGAAGTTATTTGAATCGAAGTGGCACTATGGTGAACTCGTGGATATAATATGCAGAATATAATTACAATAATCAGTATTTGCGCCGCAAGCCAGTGATTTGTGAGTCCAAGAAACAAAATTGAGCCGTCATCTTGAGCCATCCCCCTCAGTCAACATCCGGTCCGCCATCTTTAAATGCATTCTCTCCCCAGACCCTCTCCAAAGGCTGTGCTAGCGCCACGCAAATTGCATATTGGGATCAATATCAGTATCTGGGCAACTGCCCACCTACCCCTCCCCTAACCCAACCCTAACTTGTAATCAATTGACTGTTGTTGGGTTAGGGGAGGGGTAGGTGGGCAGTTGCCCAGATGCTGATATTAATCTGCATATTGAATCCCCACCTTACTCCTAACTGTGCTTCGCGTATCCGCGGGTGAAAAATGATGTTTCGAGCGTCCAAGGTAAGGGGAATGCCTTATGAGAATCACATTGTTTTGCCCAAGAATGACTCGCTGATCTGGAAAAGGTTCGAAATAAGTTCGAGTCGAGCCTTCAGATCAGCGGTTTACCATGTTAACCCTTTAAACTCTAAGAGTAACCACCATCTTATTTCCCCTACAATATCACTTCTGAATCGCACATTAAGGTCATGCAAAAATTAAGGTGTAAAGGGTTAACTGTCAGCTCGTTGTTTCCTCCTTATTGAAGACGCGGATATCGGAGAAAATTATATCCCTATCGAAAGGGTTCCAGCATACCGGCTGTTTGTAATTTTTGAAGAATTATTGACAATGTTATCATCCTGGATGAAAAAAGAGCAAAATTCCACGAGTTTCGTTTTTGTGACAAATTATTTAAGTCACGACTCCCAAACTAAAGGAGACCATCTTCTTTTCCTTAAGCTGTGAAAAGAGGGAGCATGAATATTGCCGTCAAAAACCTTACCAGATAGCGTAGGACGGATCTGACGTCACACATCTTAATGCTGTTCCAACGAACATAAACGCACAAGAAATAAGAACACTCCGTCTTAGTCCTGTCAATCAAAAGGAACAGTGGCTGTTGACATCAATCAGATAACGCTTTGCGCTGGATAAATCTTTATCCGGTAGATAGCGCAGTAAGTTTTGTTAACACGTATCTGTTGGATAGCGTTAACTGCTCATTGAGCACCCAGATGTTAAGATGATTAGGTACATTCCCAAAGACTCCAAATTTTTTTCAAGTTTGACAAAGACGCGAGCTTAGTCGAACCGTTTAACAAGTGTTTCAGTTAAAGGACCCAACAAAAAATCCCTAATAGAAAGTAAAAACTTCCAAAAGTAAGAATCATTAAGTTAAATCATATTATGATATTCACAATTGGCAATACATGTATCCTATCGACTCTCCTGTTTTCCTATCACATTGGCTCAGCCAAACCTCTCAGTTGAAGCAATATTTTCAAGAGTAAGAAACCAAGGGCAGGCGGAAAGGGAGGGATCCAGGTGTGCAGGTGACCCTCCCCACTCTGAAATCAATATGAAATCGCTTTGGCTTGCCCCTCATAACATTCATAGGTTACAAAGAGTACATTAACATCTATCTGCCCTTGCTTCCAACATGTGCATTTAGAAGCTGCCAGGCACAAGTTCAAACCCCGCATAATCAAAGAATTTACTATAATAATTTTGTTTGCAGTTCACATACGAGGATCATCCTTTGAGGTGCCACGCTAGGCCATCTTTCCAAAATAAGCGCTGCGTGACAACTTTAACCCTTTAAATTCCAGATACGATTGGCGTTTTATTTCTCCCTAAAACATCCAAACCCTATATCATCGGTGAAGAATTACCTTTCTCATCCATCAACCAGGAGAAAAAAAACATTGAACATAAATAGGTGATAGGATCCATGCTAGCCAAGAAGGCGATTTCTGTGTTCGTCCAATTGAAAACCATTTTAGCGGTAGTAGCGATTGGCCCATACGTGTTCCACGCGCAGTACTGGCTAAAACTTATCACAGAGAATAACAACAGGATATAAAAACGTCTTTTGTAGCTTTTAACCTCTACTGGGGGATCATCTGTAAGGTAAGATCCTTTATCGTCTGTTAGGAGCACGGTATCGGATGAAAGGGAGTCTTCAGCACGTTCAGGTGAGTATCGCTGAAGATCTGCAGAGAGTAAAAGACAGAGAGAGAGAATTAAAAGTATTCATGTGCATCTGATTCGGTTGACGCGAACCTTTGCGGTACGTGAGAAAAGTAGACCCTTTCCAATTCTCCTTACTTTCTGCCATATAATTCTTATGATGTCACTTCAGAGAATTTAGTATTGGATCAACTAATAATCTCCTCATAAACATTTTTCGTTATTTTCATCATTTGTCAACTTGATATTGTATTGATATAGTGAGGAGAAATTCTGCCCTGGTCACTCGTGGAAGTTGTAGGGTTAGGCCCACCAACAAAAACATTGTAGCTCAATTGAAGTAAACACTCAACAGAGGCATTTTTCTTCGTCCAACACTCGCTTGTGACCCATTTTAAGTCTACATTTTATCGTCAGATTTACTAACATTAGTCAAATCAGCAAATTTTTTAAAGGTCATTTATATTTTCTGCACATTTTATATTTCAAGGTGGCGCCGTAAGTTTGTTTGAGAGAGCAGTTCAAAGCCTTTGATTGGACTTTAGTAATAATTGGAGGGCTGGAGTATATTTTTGCACCAAAACAATGGTGAATTATGACGCATGTTTTATTCACAAAGTTCTTAGAGTTGACTTAGGCGTAGAATTTGTCAACTCTGGCGGGCAGAGTGCTTTGAGAGCCGTTTCCCTTGACCAACTAATTCAGCCAGATTGATTATAAAACTGAAAACCAAAACTCCATGACGAATTTTTTGATTACAAGGCACTGCAACAAATTACTTCATTTAAACAGGAGCTGTAAATAATTAACAGTTTTAACTTTCTCGAAGTGGTGACTGCGCCTGCAATTTTCAGGAGAGATTGGGTAGTTTAGCAACAGGGTTTTTGCAACAACGAACGTGATTCCTTGACGAGAATCAGACTATTTTCCTTGAAAAATGTCTTCTCAATCTTGCTACTCAATCAGAATGGCAGGGTTTTTTACAAAGAAACAGCGATCGAACACTCAGTCTCCTTCGAAAGTCTTTCGGGTTTTTTTCCTCGCGAATTGTCACGCAAAGTTTCGTGACAACCGAAAAAAACTTCTGACTAATATTTTTGTTTCTTTCTTGTTTTAATTTTTCACCACGCGTACCTTGAACGTGAGTACACTTCTTGGGTTTATAATCTTCCCTTCTCACCCAGGGATCGTCAAGATCGACTTCCACTAATTCATTCTCTTCTGGATCTAGAAATGACTTGCGGTCCTCAGATTTTGAGCCGGTTGGGTACATCTTGGAACCCCTGTCTGATACCAGCACGGAGCCTGTGAGAGAGATAACAATAAAAGTAAAAATGAAAAATCACCGTTCTGAGGCGCATTGTAAATTTTGTGAGTGACAATTGTATCAAAGTAGTTGAAAAGCTAAAAGGAACATTTCCAGAAATCATCAGTAGGCCAAAAAATCCACTCTTGAAGCTTAAGTTAAGATGCTTTAAATGCTAATTACGGGTACCTGCGAAAAATAAATCACCAAAATAAAACTCCATGAACAAAACTGCCGGGTCTTACATGACCCTACAAGGTCTTTTATCAGGCATTTACATGCACAACATATCATCGAAAAAAACTTCAAAAACCGACCTTTCGATTATGACGCGAAACTATGAAAACACCCCATGATTTGTTTGCCACACAAGCGATAAGATATTTCGTTGGTGTGTTAAGATGCAATTAGTTGCAACAAGCGCTTCCAAGGTAATTGAACTTAATTTTACATGCACGCAATGCTCAAACAAAAAATTTATATATATTTATTATATAAAACGATTTTCTTAAGAACAAGGATCATGTGGTGAAGTTTCTGGATCATTCCATGTCTTTAACGGTGAGTTAAATATAAACTGAACAGATGAATAAATTGGACTGATAAAAAATAAACCTTACCAATGAATATTTTTGACTGATATCAAAACTAGATGAAAACAACTCGGATATTTGCTCAAAGTACTTAAGCTAAAAAAGCTCATGAAAGTTTTTCGATCTTTAAAGGAAGCTTACTCAAGCAAATCGACGTACAAAGTTCACTATTTGAAATGCTAAAATTAATCCATGACACTCTATTCTTGTTCAGAAACATGTATGCTATTATATAATACTTATTACGGCTGTTTTCCCACCGAAACAAATCTGTATGGAATTATATTCTTACCCCTATAGGCAGAAAACCTTCCCTTACAAGCATACTAAAGTTTTTAGGTCAAAAATGTGTTTCAATTCGGTGAAAAGAGTACGAAACCGGCATTTTAAAATTTTCTATTTAAAATTACGCAGGCAAAATCGTCGACACGAAAATTGCAAATCTAATGTTTTTCACACAGCTAAACTTAATCTGAGGGTTTCTTTAGAAAGGAAAAGTTATAATTTCAAATCCAGAATATTTACCCGATGAAAGATTCCGGTTCTTTCACAAAGTACGCCTTCGGGAGATTACAGGAAATCCATTGTCAAAAGCAAATCTATTTCTTAGCTTGTCTTTGCCACAACGCTCCAACGCCTCGTATCATCAGTCCTACAAAACTTTGCCCTGTTAATCCGATTCAAAAATCCTTTGCATTTATTCCACGAAATAATCGTTTGTCCTGACAGTATTCGGCAGATTGTTGTTGCGGAACAAAGGCTTAGATTATTTTTTCCCCGAAGCAGATATTGTTCTAAATTTGCATGGAAAGGGCGAAACAAGTTGTGAAAACAGAAGATGATTGACAGCAAAAGTAAGGGGAAAGTTTTGATTGGTCATTTCAACAAAGAGCGGGCTTTCCACGTGTGACCTGCGTGATGACGCAACCGTTATTTTTGTCACGCATACAATCATTAAAAACGTTCCTAAAAACGAACAATCATCTCACAACTTATATACGGGAATCGTTATCGAGAATCCACCAAAAATCCCACGAAGTGAGTTCCAACGTGATTCTAGAAATGCTAGTTTCTCATTAAATCGATAATCGACAGATTTCCTTAGGCCTTGGCCTTACAGAGATCAATATCCAAGGACTGTCAAGAATGGCATCAATGAGAATTAAGATTTTGAACTGTGTTAATTCTTGATCTAACTGAGACGAATTAATGACACTCGCCAGTTTTTAAGAGGAAAGGAGCCTCAGTTTTTTGAATTTAATCTCAGTTAAGAATTATTTTTAAACTTCACAGCTAGTGTCTAAATGGTACTCAAGATTAAGAGTGTTTCATGGTAACGGCCGCTTAATCATTTTCAGGGGGCGGCGTCTGTCAGATGTTTTTGTCCGTGCTTTATAAATTAAGTACGGAAAAAATTCAGAACGAACTAGCTTTGAATGAAAATCTGCATATCATTGATAAACCGCCTGTTGAGTTGAGTACGGACTACTGACTATGGAATCGGAGTGAGGGGTAAAGCATTATTTATCAAATACAAGGGGAAAGTTATTACAAAGGCTCTCCGATTATCAAGAGAAGACGTAATGAAATGTCCGCTTTTCCAAGGTCATACTAACCTAAAAAAAAAAGCCTCCGACAAAACGTTAAATTGAACGTAAACAAAGCTTTTAACCCCTCCAAGCTTGGTCAACCATAACACGTAATCATTGCACAGACATCTTTAAGCGTTTAAGGTCCACTTCGTGTAACTTTTTCCGTTACATTTGACGATGGGTTATGGTCCACTATCTGAACTATGGTTGTTAGACATCTAATTTACCAAGTAAGCCGGAAAAGTTTGGAAATGTTTTTAAGTTCTTCACTGATATGCTGAACTGACCTTGGAATTTAGACTCTATTTTTTGAGTTAAATCTTGAATCAAATCAAATATTTCTAGCCTACGGCTAGTGGTTCGGTTGAGTTTTGAACTTTACCAAATTTGCGTAATACCATTTCACAATCTGTGAGAGTGTTGAAACTGTTTTTATTTTAGAAAGAGAAGGAAACGTCAGATAAATTTTCCAGTTTATGGCTGATTTTGTTTCGTAACGTAAGTGAGAAAAACTTGCGCATGTTCAAGGAGCGAAGAATCAAATCATGTGTCCTGCGTTCAGGTCCTTTGCTATTTGTTTGAAATGCTCAATAGTCGAACCAAAACACGAAAAACAACAGGAAAGTGCGCGACCTTTCAGTTTCATCTACTACTAATGCTACACTAAGTAGAAAATCTCTTTCAAGTGACAGTTTTCACTTCCTCCCCCCGCTTCGTAATCTTTTTGTATTCACGTGCGGAGCGCGTGCTTTCACAAATTAGTTAATCACGTTAACCAAAGAAATCTAACCTTGACATTGGAGAACTGACGTGAACATTGTTCGCGTACTTTTAGTTCGTTTTCGCAGAGTTTTAGTTAGATGTTTTGGAAATTAGTTAGATTGCTTGGAAATTTACGATGTTTCGGAGTTTTTTTTTATCCAAATCTTGTGGTTCATTTAACAAGTTTAATACACATTTTTACGGAGTTTGGAACCTAGTCTCTTTTTTCGGAAATGGATATTTTAAAATTTGAGGGAGAAACTCGTGCGTGTTCAAGGAGCGAAGAATCAATTCGTGTTGCTCGCGTTCAAGGCCTCTGCTCTTTGCTTGAAATGCTCAACAGCCGAATCAAAACACGAAAAAATGCGCAAGAAAATGAGCCACCTTTCAGTTTCATCAATTACTGACGCAAGCATTCAGCAATCTCAAGATATCGTTTTGAACATTTACTTCACTGGTGTATTGAAAACCATCTAAAAATCAGTGTTGCATACAAGATTACATATTTCTGTCACAAAACTCACCCCAAGGCTACTTCGATGAAAAAATAAGTGGGACATACAAACCTTTCTTTACAGTAGACACCATCGGTGACAAATTGCATTTGACTTCATTCGCCTCATTTAACGGAGCAACGCTTGAGCGCATTTTGTAGAAAAAAACGACGAAATTGTCCTTAAATTCTCGCAAAAAGAGAGTAGCTCTCATCCATCGAGTTTCATCGCGATACTCGCATTCGTAGCCATTCAATCTATGGAAGACCCGACAATGAATATGACTAATTCAGCTACTAATTTCTTAATTAGTATTCATGATTTTCATGACGTCATAATTATTTATATGGCATCATTAAGGGATGTTGACATTGAGGTGGGGACCCCAGGTAGGTGAGGTAACCCGCCTAGGTGGGGTAACCCGCTTGTTCATATAATTTCTTATTTTATCTTGATCACGTTTACATGATAGGTGGGGTGACCCGCCTAGGCGGGTTGCCCGGTCTGCCAGGTTGAGTAACCCTGTCAGCCGGGGTGACAATTTGCCATGTAAACGTCCCAAGGTGGGGTGACCCGTCTAGCCGGGGACGCTTTCATGGCAAAAAACTCGAAAGTGAAACACGTATGCTTTAAAACTTTGTACATTTCTTAGCCGTCTCACGCCAGAAATCACCAGAAACCGCAACGGACACACAAAGAGTGTAAAATGTTCACATTTCGAAATATTTAGCGTTGTAAATCGACCATATTTCAAACTATTCCTTATAACGTACCAAGTTAACGGTTCCTCGCGTAACCTAACACCGCGTAACACAACGCGTGACACTTTCATGAATAAATACATACGTATCCGGGAATTAATCTTTCGTCTTTCTCGAGACGTGAGCATGGGATGCCTTTGCTCAAACTCCCTAATTGGAAGCGCAACAACAGCCTCAGCACAACGGGGTTGTAAGATTGTATGTAGACGCGTTTTGTTTTTCGACCACGGCTAGGCGGGTTACCTCACCTACCTGTGGTCCCCCACCTCCGTGTAAAAAGGCCCTAAAAAAACGGCCATTGTGTTTAATTTTCGAAAGGCGCCGCGAGGGAATTGTGCACACAACAGGAGATACAGTTTTGTAGGAGGAAATTCTCTACAAGTAAGACATTTCAAGATATCAAAGCCTATTTATTATGTAAATTTTATGCATTTTTTAATTGAGAAAAATAAATCTCTTACGAGATAAGTTGGCCTAGTTTATGCGCTGAAAACACTGTGCTAATATTCAAAATAATTCGAGAGATCTTTGAAGACGTTTCCTCTTCAACAGCGATTTTTTATTTTAATCGACAGAGATGAAAAAAAAAAAAAAAAAAAAAAAAAAAAAAAAAAGAAAAGAAAAGAAAAGAAAAAAAATGGCGAGACTTCCACCTTAACCCAGCTTGCGCACGGCCATTTTTATTTCGTCTTTATCGGGAACTCATTTCACACAGAGTACGTGCTATCATTCGGGATCAAACCTGGCTTATGCTCTTTCCCACATATCAGATCATATAGAGAATATTGAATTTTATGATTATGTCAAGGACTTCCGTTTCAGTTTAAACTATTTTTAGTCGCTTTGAAAGGCCGCGATGAGAACAAAAAAGTTCTCGCTCTTAAAACTCTGAATGTCAAAGATTCGAGAACGTTGGATATTGATATTGTTTTTTTTTATTTAACCTTCACCTTCACTTGCCTGCCTCGTGCCAAGGTGTGGAATTCTAACTGTATAAACAGGTGATAATTTTCCACTTAATAGATTATCAGCCTCAGTTAAATTTACGGAGACTGCTCGCAACGATTTTGAGACATTCTTTTTGATAGTCACCAAATATTGACTGTTCCATGCAGTCAGTGTATAGGAAATCAGTAAGAACTGGAATTTATTTAAAATATAACTTTATGCCCGATTCATTCTTCTCAGTCATCTCGTAACTGTTAGGGAAAAATCGAGATGTTTTGTGCATCTTGACGTTATCTGTGCACCAAAAAAGTCGCGCTGTGTCACAACATTTAATGCTGCAAGTAAGATCTGACAGTGGAGAAAATTATCATAGATAAGCAGAAACAACCAGTTCAAGCAGTCAGTCACAATTTGTTTGAGAATAAGAACAAAATCAGATTATCTAGCTTGAAACGATGCGAATTTATAGCAGTATTTTCAAGTTGGTTTTTAGGTCTATGAAATATTTATCCTTGAATTTCAACTAGACTTTATTCACCGATTTCGGAAAGTTATGACGTGCTCAGACGCAAAATGAAAATTTTCAGAAAAACGTTTGGCTGAAGAAAGAAAAACACTTTGACCCATGCACAATCAGCCTGTCACGATTACTTGCGTCAGAGGACTTAGTTTTAAAAAACTTGCCCGGGATCGTGATGTCATTCGAATGACTGTCAATGCCGAGGTCACAGAAGGAAGGCGTCACGGACCAATCAAACACAATCACGTTTTTGATGGACATTGAGGTCAGTTGTAAAGATTGAGTAACAACCGCTAAGGGCTGCGGCATGATATTAAACTAACATGAATCGTACTAATGTTTTTAACAGGATATGCCAAAGAGGAAACGCTACCCACATAGCTTGTGAACTTTGATCTAAAATCACTTAGGAATTTGCAGAACAGAATTCACAAGTTTTAATTGAGCAAAGGTGAAGAGTCTGTTTGACTCATTGAAAAAGCCCCTTGTTAAAATAAAGGAGTACCTCCCGCGATTTTTCACGTGCACAATATTTCATATTGAATGGAAGGCTGACAACAGAACAGAGTATTGCTTTCTTTTAACACCAAATCCTGAGGTATTTTCTTCTACTTTCAATTGGATTCTAGACCTTGTACCACACATAACGGATGTCAAAAAAATCAGACAAAGCGGAAAATCAGAAATTCCGATCTCAAACAAAGACAGATTGTAAAGAACATAAACTTGCGCTCTGTAACATAACAACCACGTGACTCTAAGTAAGGAAACACTCGCTGACGGTATAGTTTCACGTGGAATTTTTAACCACAGAACGAGACGGTTTATTTTGACAATTTTTTTCAATAAAATTCCTTTTTAACAGGTTCACGGTTTTAAAGGGCATCGATCAAATAGTTTGAGAACAAAGAATTGATAACAGAAAGATAATGTGACTGGAGATGTGAAGAGAGTAAAAATTCAACGTCATTCCTGGTCACTGCCAAATTGTCGTTGCTGCTTTTCCACGTGAAAAGAACGTGGAACGAAGTGGGATGTTGTCGAAAGATTATCCGTAATGTTGCCGCTGCCTAAGAATTCTCTGGTATGTTTTTTCGTCTGAGTAAGGCAATAAGAAAAAGAAAAATTTCCAGCGTTAGCGAAGCCAATTTCATATCTCCACACCTGACAGGTCAATCAAAAGCCTTTTCAAAAGAAATGACAGCCATTTCGTGCTTTAAAAACACCGACCTCAAATTTTTTCAAGAAACAAGAATCACTAGGGTTTTCCTTTTTAATGTTCACGCGATCTTTGACCGCATAAGAATAGAATTTTGCGTTTGATGTGAAGTTTAAGTCACATTTTGCGCACGCAACATCTGTTTCGAGTACGTCGCGCCCGGTCAGTCTAAAGTTATTGTAGGAAACAATGTCACATCTCTTACGCCGCGAGTGGTTTTACCTTATGTCTTTCATACATGACAAATACATTAACGATTTTACTCCCAGCCGTTAAATTAAAGAAGGCGTTCTGAGGTGGCTCTGGAAAAGCGAAATATGGAATCCAGTGTTAGATAAAAACAAAAACGAGAAAAAAAAAACACGAAAAGGGTTTACAGAGAATCCAGAATGGAAACCAAGTGTTGAACCTCAGGGAAACGCTGTGAACAAAGAAAACCCGCGAAGATGTTTCTAACGACGTTAAGAAAGTGTGGGTGTTTAGGGAAGGAAGGGTATGTGACCTTTAATAATATTATTCTCTCTTACAATACAAATAATCCGCAGGGTATAGATTAGAGCTATCAACAAATCTTCTCGAGCCTCAACTCGCATGACGTTGTGAATGCTGACAGGTTTTGTCTGTTTCTTTTTATCTTATAAAAACAAAGATTTTTTTTTCTAATTCGTCCATCGATTTCTCCGACTCGTAACAAAGGCTCTCTAATTCTGAAGAAAAGTTAGCCATAAAAATAGCGAATTTAATACCAAATAGGTTTTCACAAACACCTGTAATCTTACAAATCCCTGCACAGCAATGATTGTGCAATTTAGAAGACCATTAATAAGCTAAAATACTCACGCTTAAGACTTAAGTATTTCCAACTTTTATCGGGTATGTTTTCAATGTAAACGCAGACTGTCAAGAGCTTTCTTAACAGTAGAGCGCGGTATAAACACTATTCCTGAATCCGTGATCTAACATTTCCCGTTTCCCTCGACATTTTCCGCTCCCTGGGGAACACAGTAGGACATTAATAGGGTTTTACTGATTAATGACAAAGGTTTCGAGGTTGATGCCTTTACGTCGCTTTTTGAGGTTGCGTGGAAAGGTTAAATAATTTAAGATAATGCCCTTCGAGTCTGGACAGTGTGCCTTTAATGGATACAAAAAAAAAACCTTATTCTTGACGAGCAACGATTAAACGAATATCTTAAATTCACGGCCATGACCATATCCTTGGCAATATTTTGCACTCCAGTTGTTGTGCCCATGGTGAACATACAGTGAATAATTTTCAGTCATATCTTTCCCATGTAACATAAACAAAGCCTCGACCCAAAGTAAAATTTTCTTTTAACCAGAGAGGGAGTAAAAGCTGTTTATTTTCGAGCCATGTACGAGATAACTTCAGTACAATCCAAGCATAACAATAAAAACTCGTCCCGTAAGATCTGGGCAAACACAAATTATGTGCAATTATCATACAACAAACATTTTTACATCGCTTTGGTAATAACCTTGTGGCACAATACTCAAAAAAGATTTTATAAATTCCGTTCTACGGCTGGACTAAAACACAATACACCGGCTTGAATAATCAAAAGTCATTTTAGAACTTTCTATATCGTTTTATCCCATCATGAGCTTTTAAATTGTACTCAGCACTGCGTGTAGTCAGGAGTGTATATGCCATCCACGTAATGTTTTCATTCGTCGTGCATAATATTTATTCTCTACAAGAGATGAAAAATTAGTTGAGGTGACTCACCGTTTAGGTTTCTCTCTGCTCTCAATCCAGTGAAAAGCCATCGTTTTTTCCTCTGACGGAGAGATTGCCCGGAGAGTCGTTTTAACTTCGCTTCTTTTGATCTTATTTCAGGAGCCATTACCTGGGATCGAAAATGCTTTCAAGTCTACTCAGACTGGCTTCTGTGATTATTTAAAAGAAAAAGATAAACTGTAATAGAATCTTGACGGAATAAGACCATCAACTCATGGAAATTGACAAAAAAAATAATTTTGATCGTGTCATTCCGTTAATTCTTTTTTACCAACCTTGTTTTAAGAAATTGGCTCTCGACCTTTACCTTCGCGGAATCCATAACAAAACCCAATTTTTCAGTGTTTACCATATCTCATCACGTTCCAGTAATTTCCACTGTTTTTATTCGCCCGTATTTATTCAGGTACATTGAACGAATGAAATATTTTTCCGGCAATCTTTAGTTTGGGAAATCGAGTTTATCGCCGTAATTGGATGACTCAAATCGATCTCGACTTCTGTTTATGGATGGAAACCTCTACTTCCGACAACTTGCAAGCTCACATCACTTCGCGCACGTAGGGAATTCGTTGAGCTAAATATAGATAGGCTGGGGCATCCCTTGAGCGGAATTTTTTTCAATACCTCCATTCATGAACACAAACGAAAATTGGTCAAAATTTCCCTTCAGGCGCGAGCGAAGCGTATTGCACAGACGATATTCGTGAAGATAAAAATATTTCCGCATCTAAACGTTGTAAGCACTGATCAAAAGTCTCTTGATTCGTTGTGGATTCAAACACATGTTCTGCTCTTCAATTAACCCAGAGGGAATTTAATTTAAAATTGTATCTAACAAAGAGAAATCTGCGATGGTTACTAGAGCGCTTACCTCAGAATTTCCATGCAGAGGAAAACTCGGTAAAATTAAGCTGCAAAAGATTTCTGTGCGAAGATCATGCAGCTGATTCTCGCAATCCGACCAGGCCTGCACAACACTGACAAGCTTTGAGGGTCGCACACCACAAAGTAAATTGATATCAATGTCCAGTTGCCCAATATCCGAGCCGGCCGGACGCGCGCTATGGGGTTAACACACTTTCAAACGACCAACCCTGGCGTTGCAAGATCGATGCTAACAAAACAGCTGATCGAAAATATTACAACAAGCCTGCAAGTGTCGTGAAGCAGCATTTGCTGCACGGATATTCATGGGTTGAATCGATAATTTATTCCAAGTCGAGGTTGTAACCAAAATTTGCATCTGCGATACAATGATATCGCTTTTTGGGAATGACGCAACAGTTCTCTAGGAATCGAACGATTTTGAGCTTGACTAATCAAAGATTTAATTTTTTCAACTTTGGCGATTTGTTTTGAGCTTTAGTACTATTTTGAAAACGCAAATCAACAACAGATGCACCTGATTGCTTTTATTCCTTGTTAGAGGTAAGTAAAAAGGCTTTTGTCACGCGTCACACCATCTTGTTAGGTAAATTTGGCCCAGAACAACTCCTCGTACGAGGAGGACTGGACCAATTCTAGAAAAAATTTCAAAATGGCGGACGAAGACGAGGAAGATTATATGTCGGACAAATTTTTGCTAAGTACGACTGATAACAATCCAGGTTTAGTTCCAGACAAAATAGCAAAGAAGTATAGGAGAGAGATGAAGCATAAGGAGTTGAATCAGCGAAACAAAATGAAACCGATGAGAGAAAGGGAGATGGAACATCGTGAACAGGGTCTAGCAAATGCTTTAGACAGCAGTAATAAAGGATTCGCTATGCTACAGAAAATGGGATTCAAAAAAGGAATGGGCTTGGGAAAAGAAGGTACGTTAAAGAGTTTCCTGCAGGAATATTGCACCCATGTGCAAGGCATACAGTTTTCGGGATACAAAGTTTGCAGCGAAAGTTAAGGTATAACTGAAAGGTATCTCAGGAGATTTTATATCTTTCGGTATTTTTTAAGTATTCAGTACATAATTGTAGCTATAACTACGAGATATTTTAAGGGCTGGATATGCAGCAAGCAGTTAAAATTTTATTTAAGACTTAAGATATGTTTTCTTATTATTGTTTATTTTTATTTTTGTGGAACTGTATGTAACAGTCTTTTGAAACCAACTTTTGATAAGAAACTAGATGCAAAAAATTTAATTTTTCTAAGGAAAATGTATAGTTCTCATTTACGATTGACCACACTCGTTGGAAACCTCTAAAAAAAATTGAGTTTACTTTTGATTGCAGAATATTTAATTTCATGCAAGTGCATGTTCATTACTTAGTATACATAAAATAACACGTGGAGTGGACTCCTTACACCTTGAACTGACTTGAATCTTCAAGGGAATAAGGTCGATCATCAAGAGTTTGAGTTTTTAGAATCTTAGATCAAATAAATGGAAATAAAGAGAAAAGCACTGTTCATCCAATTTCTAATTGTGCTGGCAAATGTAAACAAATTTAGTTACAGTGTAGAGGAATCAAGGAATTTAAGGAAGAAAGGAAGTGTTGGCAAAGCTTTTTGGTGATAAAATGTAATGTAAACTAGCAAAACATGAACAGATCTGAGACAATTTGCTCTCTGCAAAGAACAAAAAATGAAGAAGAAAAGAAGAAAAGAGAAAAGGTAAAGTTGGAAAAATTGGAAGTTTCTTCAAAGTAAATTCCAATTTTGAATCAAAGCACTTTTTTTACTCGCTTGAAGTCGGGAGGCTGTAAGTTACGCAAGTCAACTTTTATGATGTTCAATTAAATATTCATGTTTGTAATCAATCATGCGTAAATGATATCGCATGTCTAGGTTTTATGCAAATCTAAAATGTGTATTTGATATTTGCTTTGTTTATGAGCATCTTAAGATTCTGGACACATCTCTACTGCTAAATCTTGTGTACTGATAGACTTAAGTTGCATGTTGTGGACATGTCTTCCGTGTTACGATCATGACTCTGTCTATAAGTTGTAGTTCTTCATTCAAAAATATATAAATTCAGACTTATTAGCACCCTTAGTGTTTAAAGTTGTTATGAATACACAGTTTTAAAACAATCTGATGAAACTGTCATCCACTGAGTTTGCTTGATGTTTCAAATCTGCCAATTAGTTTAAATGTTATTACCTATTGTGGCTCTGAAATACAGTGACTTGTATCTTGTATTTTGCTGTTCATTCCGCTCTTGTAATCAACCAGAACTCAATGTGCTCTGATTGCAACCATCAAAATAATTTTCTAGTCACTCGGTGTTATCATTTTGTTTGAAGAGCTGAACAATGTTTTGGCTGTAGTGTACTGTGTACATACATACCATGTAATTGGTGTAGTCTGATAGTTAAGCTTCTTATTGCCCACTTGATCATTAGAAATAAATGTAACGTGAAGAACCTGCAAGGTCAAGAATGTCTTAATTTAGTTTGATTCAGCTTGCTTTGGAGGTGTGATTAGGGAGGGATGTGGGAGGTGAAGCCCAAGGGAGACTGGGATAGTCTTGTTAAGACTGATCAGTGGTGGATTAGCCTTAGTCCTTTCTCAGGGCTCTCTCTTGGGGGAGTCCTTGTGTACATTAAAGATGTTTTGATTCAAGTCTGGTATGATCTTGTCATGAAATTATATTTAATATGAACAAACTATCTTCTCTCAAGATGAACTGAGCAATTGCTTTCTGTTTCATAACAAGTAGCCATTAAAAACTTACATTATTATCATGACTTTTTCGGCAACAACACATTATCAAGATGAGTGTTCTTTCTCCCTTTTAAATTGTTTGTAAGTTTACATTAAGCAAAATGACACAATGCTTTTTGACACAGTACACTTACACTGTATGAAATTTGGTGGACTACGGCACTGAGAATTTGAATCAAGCAAAAAATTTGTTATAACTCAGATATTACAATAAAATTAAGCAATGCAGTTGCCATCATGATCACTGTACAAAATTCTCATTATTTCTTATCTTAGGGACTGGAAGAGCTGAACCTATACCATTGACTGTTAAAGCAGGTTTGAGTACTTTTATTTACTTCTTTGCCTTAGATTGAACCTGGATGGCATGGCTCCATGAGACATCGGAGTGGAATCCACACCAAAGAAATAAAAAATGATCGGTTATTCCATCTTTTATAGATCGTGGAGGCCTTGGGCGTGATATGCTCTTAAAAAGACAGAGAGAGGTGAAAGAGGCATTAAAACATGAAACTGCAAAGAAAAGAGTGAAGATTGAGGAGAAGCAGAGAGACAACTTCAGAAAACACATGAGTGGCAGGTTTGCCGAGAGGCAAACATCAAGTGATTTATATAAGAGCCAAAAAGCATGTGAACAGCTGGACAAATCAAAGGTGAGGAGCTGTAAGGATGTTAGAAGCTCACTTATATATAAGTTTTTGTTTTCTTGTTTAATACTGGGCTAAAACATGGCCTCATCAGATACAGAGAGGCCTAACATATCAAAAGTGTTTTAAAGGAATATCTACAACTTATAATTGCTCAGTTGCTCTGATGAAGGGCTAATGCTTGAAATGTCAGCCTTTAATCTCTTTACAGTGGCCAATTTAAGTTTTCAACTCAGTTGTTAACAGTAAATTACCCTGTTATACTCTCCCACTGACGCAGCACCACAGTTTCTTTAGAAACTTACCCTTTTTATTCTACAACTTGCATAGTTTTGAAAATTAGTATTGTGTTATATTTATGATTTATCACTGAATGTTCACTTTTTTCTAATTATTTTGTGTTTTCTTTGATGCTTTTTTTTTTTTATTAAGAAATTGAATAAGTGGATTTGAAAGGTAACTAAGCATAGGTGAATCATAATTTTTTGCTATCACTTCTCTAACTTGTAGGACTTACCTTGTGTCGAGAAGTGGTTTTGGCCACAGGAGGAAACAAAGGAAGATGACGAGGATAAGGAAGAAGATGAAGAAGAAAATGATGAGGAAGAGGAGGAAGAGTTGGAGGTTAGTTGTCCCTCAGGAGGAAAATATAGAAAGCTTTCTTTGGTGCATGCTTCCACATTCATTGTCAGTAATAGTTATTGGTATACAATATTTTTGCAACAGGACACAGAAGTATGTCAAGGCCTTGGACATTTCAATATTGGAGATTGATATGATAAACTCTTTTTAATAGAATATGGTACTGTGAATAAATTGTTCGCAGAGTTGTTGGAGTGAAGAATCATGGAAGGGCTTGCTCTTCAATCTAGTAAGATTTCTCGAAGAATTTTTTTTTCCTGAAACTTCACAATTTCAACCACATTTGCCAAAACTACCATGAGAATTTCTATAATAATCTACTCCTGACTCTGAGAATAGTTCCTTTTATATCTGGCAAGTGTTGTTTGCATGTTAAAGAATTAAACCAGGTTATGTGGTTGTGAAGGTGGTTGTAACATAGGGTTTAGGTTGAAAAAGCTCATTTTGATACTCCAACAAACAGCAAGCAGTTATTAGGGCCATCATAGTGATTTGTTTGTCCATGAGCATACAGTATGTTAGCAGCTTATATGTAGCCCAGTAATTTATGCCTGCATAGTTCCAACACTGTGATGTTTTCTTGCATGCTGGACAACAGCCATCAGAGAAGCTCATACACCTAACAATGTACTTGAGAAGAACTCATCAATACTGTATTTGGTGTGGGACCAAGTATGATGGTAAGTAGAACAACCAAACATAGGAGATTTGAAACGGGTGGAGGGGGGGGAGGGGAGGGGAGGGGAGGGGAGGGGAGGGGAGGGGAGGGGTGGGGCAAGTGGGGAGGGCTGTCCCAAGAGATCTGAAGGGGATGGCTTCATCTTGCATTTCCCACACAAGCCTTTGCATCATTTGGCATCTTTATGGGGAATGGGTAGGAACAGTGTATTTTAGTCTAGCATGTGCATGGGGGGGGGGGGGGGGAATGGATTTAGCTTGGCGAAGGTCATTCTGTTGTGCTGTGCCGGTCCACCGTGATGTGTTACAGTTTCACGAAGTGAAGGTGAACAAAAAGATTTTGTGACAGAACCATCTCAGAGGTTAAGACAAACATTATGTTCTTTTTAATTTTAAAGCAAAAATGCAGCTGCAATCTTTCAATACTAAAGTAAGGATAATTTTGTTTTCTTTTCAGATGATCAGGACATGGCCGACAACTGTCCGGGAGATTCAGCACAAGATCATGAATAACAATCATGAAGGAAGAAGGGAAAAAACCAGGTTATTTTATAGAGTCCATCAAATTTGTGTTAAGATTTTCATCACGATGACTTTCGAACGAATACCGGTGGTAATGAATGTTACGACCATACTCGTCAGAGAAAATACCGATTGTCGTTGTTCACGCCCGAATGGGTATTCACGACCGAAGTCGATCGTAACCGATCACTGGCGATCAGAACTTGATGGCAGGTTGCGATTATAATTGAGAGAGGCGATTGTTCACGAAAGTAATCGCATGGCTAGCGACAGCTAGACTACGGGGACAAGTGATGGAGAATATAAGGCTGACAGGGTTCTCATTGACGATGGACAAACTGAAGATTCTCATTGACGATGGACTCTCTCGAAACAAATATTCATTTTAATGGTGCATTTAGTTATATATTCATCTAAAATGATGTCTGGTATATTTTTTCAAAATCTAAAGTCTCGGATTTGTTCATACAGCCGACGAGCTTGGTCAAAAGTTCGTTAGGATGGTCGAGATTTATCTTTATTAGCGACGAAATCCTATGAGCGCGTTGGGCGCTCTATAAAGAGAGGCGAATGCTTATCTGCTTTTCTGCCGAGGAGAACATGCGCATCACACACCAAGAGGAAGGATACACCGCATTACAACTCGATTAAGAAGAGGAATTCAGCTATTTCCCTTTCGTAGACATTTTAAGCACCCTGTTGAACTAACCGAGCTAACAGTTAAGTGAATTAAACGATTAAAGTTGAAAATAAAGTAGTACTTTCTCCGGATGAACTGGAAAATGAACATGACAAAATGTCAGGGAAGCTTCTCATGTCCCAAATGCTGTCATGAATTGGTATAGGCATGACTAATTACAAAAATTGCAAGAGTACATGGCGAGCGCCTCTCCGGAAAAAAGGAAAAAACAATTCAAGCACAGAAATGTTTGTTTGCGTAAGTTAAGTATGAATAATTGTGTAACAAATATCCTCACTTTTACTGAACTCTTTGCTTTTGTTGAAATAGGACGCATCTAATTTTATCCTGAATATTTTTTTTAATGCACTTTGTAGGAGGGGACTGAGTTAAATTAAATGCACTCAACACCTCCTTTCTGATCCTCTGATAGGGGAGGAAATTTTCTCACTTTAACACTTGAGAGCTAAGCCAAAGTACAACATTATAACGAGGAAGGAAGTGGTGACAGGTTTTCAGAACCTTACCGGGTCACATGCAAGCGTTCCGCTGAGATCGTGGGAATGAAATCAAAACGGCACATTGCTCACACAGGGAGTTTCATCAGTAGGAGTCTCATCAATGTTTACACAATAATTAATCCCTGTCACATTATTATTCGATGTTCGACCGTGGTCTGGTTTGAAAATTGTATTTGAGGAATAAGAGCCAGTTAAGAACCTTGATTCGTTTCGAACCTTTCATGTAAAGTCAAATTTAGCAGACATCAAGTTAAATCATGTGACAGGTACTTTGACCTTGTGCACCAAAGAGGCTTACATAACAAAACACAACATGATAGTTTTCCTGGCCACGTTCGCCTTAAGCTGTAGTTTATGTAAATAATTAAGCACGTAACCCGAAGAACATTTTGAGAACTTTTCCAGGCTCACAAAAAGCGGCATAACACAAAAGAGAGATGAAAAAAATAACAAAAATTAGAAGGTTCAACCTCGGCTCTAAAATTCGACGCTCTTAAAAAAAGCACATTGTGTACCCAATGGAAGAGGCAAAAGTTAGCTTCCATACCTTTCCATGCCTACATGATAGAGATTACATTTTCCTTGCTACGTAATTTACTGAGACCTTACCGGCAACAAAAACAATTTTCCTTTTCTTTCGCTTGTACCATAGGGTGGGACAACCATGCAGAAAATTGATCATAAGTCACGTACTGTGCAATTGATAGTTCACAGGAAGCTACAGGGAGATGCCGGACGCTTGTAGTTCTAGGCGATTTCATCAAATAACCATAAACTGTACTAATATCAAAGAATAAAGGCAAAAGACATACTTACGTCAGTGTAATTTTTGTTTTTTTTCCAACTCACATCACCTATAACACATTTCATTCGTCAGCACCAAAACATTCACAAGGGAACGAGACGATCAATTTTGTGGCAGCTAGAGAGGGTGAACTCTGGATCAGCTCCGGTGGTCGACACTCAACCGGAAGAGGTGATGGGAGCGCGTGACCTTAAAAAGGGTCAGGATAGGCCATGAAAGAGCCGACCGTCCGAGGGTCCATCGGTCCAGTCCATGTTGCATCCTTTCCATAATTCATTAAAAAGCTACAGGAGTCTCGGCGTCTCGGCAAGTTTCGGATTTTGCCGTCCGCCAAACCCAAATTTTGAAAGCATTGGAGTGAAAGTTGTTAAATTAGACGCTGGGACATTGTGTGAACACTTGGGTTGTAATTGTAAAAATAAGATGTCTATTTAAGCAAAGCTCAGTAACCTTTAAGTAACTAATCAAACTGGAGTGTTAGGTTCTTGAAATATTCTTACAATAATGGGCTTTACTCCTGAAATATTGCAAAGTGAGGTGAATTAAGTCTTAGTAATCTCTTGGGAAATAACTGCAAAGTCGAGTCAAAGTAAAGATACCTGACATGGTCACAGTAAAAGCAATAAATTGAAAAGTTATGGAACTTCTCAAAGGATTAAGAAAATTGACAACCTTTTTGTTCGATGGCATGGAGATGTAATTATGCTGCGGTTCGTGGTTATGACTGACTTTGAAAACCAATATTAAAGGCACTTGATGAAGTGTGAATTAGCTTTTTATTTTTCCAATACCCTTTTTTTAATTTACAAACGAATTTATTAACTGGTGGAATTAATTTTCTGTCGTTTGAAACCTTACTTAATGTATTGAAAGGGGTACCAGGCTAAAAAGCGGCACTCCACGCGCTTTTAATAATCGGCTGAGTGAAATTCTCTCATTTTGTTTCAAGAGAATGTGATTCGACAATTTGTAGCTGGTATTTGTGGAGACTCGTCACTGACTTAATATAAGCCAGACATCAATAACTTAAGGTGGGTATAAAATACGTTTGTTAATCTATTGCAAGATTGATTCCTCGACTTCTTTACAAAGAATGCACAATGGCAGGAGGCTGTTTTTTCTCCATTTCTTTGGATTCTCGACTTGACGGAAGGCTAGTTGATCTACCTGCAAATTCAGTTTTACAAAAATAATAATAAACAAAAGGAAGCAAAAAAACAGAGGAGAGAGAGGCTCGTGCTCCCCTTTTCAACAGCCCGCTTTGTTTACAGCACTCTACCCATATTGCGTTCTGAAATTAACGAACAGATAATCTTTCTGGTTTTACTTTACCTAGATATGACGCGTTCGACAGAATCAGACTTCAAAACATTGGTGGCCCTGTGTATCACAACTGTAGTTTTATTCATCGTCTGGTTGGTTGTTCTTTCCCTAATTGCTCTCTACTACTGGCGTCAAAGAATTAGAACTCGACCAAACAGGTTAGTCCAGATTAGAAACCTGTCAATCAGGTGCACTGAGACTCGATGGCTCAATGGTGAGCCCGCATGACATTAGGTCAAGAGGTTTAGTTTCCACCCCTTGCCGAGGTTTTGGGCCAGACGGTGGGGGTGGGGGTTGGGAAAGGAAACTTTGACCCGAAATGGACTAACTAAACTCTCGTCCACTTTATGGCCCTGACGTAGACTTCATCAAGAAGCCAGTTTTTTTTTGTTTTTTTTTTTTTTTTTGTGGAGTCACTCTTGATTGTTGATCTTCTTGGAGGTATTCCTGTCATTTCTGCCAATTATTTCCTTTGAAAATCCTGGCATCTGAACCTAATTTTCATTATTTATTCTCCACCCTTTGGTAAAGGAACGCCATTAATCACGTGGTTGACCCAAGTTCATCAGAAATGACAGCATGGGACTCTGCACAGGGGACTGGTACGGTGCAAACAGATAATGCACCAACCATACAACGGTACAACAAGTCGACACAAACTGCAGCTCTACTGATGGATCATTTGGTGACACCAGAGAGGCCCTCACAGCGCCTTCCTCCCATCACAAGCAAATAATACTGATATTCATCAGTATCAAGTATTGGTCAACGAATAAAGTGAACACTGATTTGTTTGTCCAGGGTGAATATCACATATTTCTCTTCGACTTCGGAAGTGGGTTTGATATCTGACATATCATAATTTAAAAGGAACTGGCTAATGAGAACTTTACATTAATTCATGATTGTCACATAGCGAGAGCACTGAAGACAAAACATTGTGGGAGGTCATGGAGCTCACAACATAAACTGTAGCATCGTTGTTTTCATATGTCAATTCTCTGGCTTTTCTAACCATACGTGTTCATTTTTAGCTAATATAACCGGTTCCCATCAACGGGAGCCTCTATATCCGCTAGTTCCTTGAAAACACTCCTTTCCGTTGAGTCCACCGTGAATCGCAAAAACTGATTTCGCTGCTCAATATATATGAGCGGATGTTTGACATAAAACAATAGGATTATCATACCTCTGTTTGATTGCATGGGTCTTAGAACTCAAAACTTCCTCTGGAAACCTTTTTATTAATGGATCTATTCAGGAAAGGGTTGACTCCAAGGCTTTAAAGAGGAGATGGAGGATCTTAGCGACTGGCTACTGAAGTTAACCAGTGTGCGTTTACTTTTACTTTTTGCCTTAAAATGTCTTCTCCCTTTGTAATTTCTTTCTGTAATGATCAGCAGGTACCCATTTAAATCAATTTATTTGTGTGTAGGATTAAAAGAAAAGTTCGCCCCGACAAAAGCGTAATAAAAACAATATGTAATGAACGGTTTGGTGTTTTAAGACTAGCAGTCTTTAATGAAGTGTTGTGGTGAGATCATAAAAGTTTTAGATGCTAATAAAACAAGCTCGGGGTCCCTTTATAATTCATCAATTAATTGCCTGCAAGTCAAAACGAAGTCTTTGACGACCTAAAATTACAGGCAAAAGTTCCTACCTTGTTGGCCATTGTTCTCGTGGTCTTTCTGTCCATTGCTGTGCCGATGTCTGTCACTTATCTCGTGTCCCTCTGCAATGGTCACGTCAAACGAACACATTTTATAAAGAATCGATCTGCTCTTCCAATTTGACGTCTTCCCGTGATGACGAGAGTTGAATGAACCATAAAGGTCGTATTCATACACAAAAGTCACTAGAGTTTCACCGTGATATTGCGACAAGCAGCAAAGTGCGTAAGAAAATGAAGAAGTGAGATCAACGTCTGATACCAAAAAATAAAATATATGATGAACAGCTATTCTTGAATTGTCTCGGCAAAGAGGAGAGGGGAGGAGGGAAGGGGGAGGCAAGCAGCGTTTTACGGATAAAATTTAACCAAGGCTCTCTATTCAAGAAACCTGCCAAATCCGCAAAAATGTGAGAAAAAAGGACTACACCTACAAGTGCGCCTTTCTAGAAACTATCAAACCCGCCCTGTCAAAAATACTAGCGTTAGTTCGCTATGTAGATAGCAACAAGTTAAAGGGTAATGGTTTACAGCCGGAATTTTTTAAACCTTAAATTGAGAGCTTACCGTCAGACGATGGTAGTTTCTTTTGGTAACGCTTCTCACCCACCACCACGGAAAGACATTTCTAAAGAAAATTCCATTCATGTAAATGGTACAGTGCGGCCGTTCATAACTTAGAGGCACTTACGTCCAGGCTTTAAATACGAAAGACCAGGGATAACTAACCGCACAAATAACAAAGAAAAAATTGAATTCACTTTTTCTCGTTAAAAATTGCTGCGCGAAGAATCCTGATAATACATATCACAACTGGTATTTACAATTACAACAATCTCTCTATTGAAAGTTTGGTCACAAAAGACAAATTAAGCTTGTTAATTACCTCATAACTGCGCGGTTAACCCAAAGGTGAATCATTCTGTTATCGCGCACACAGAATATGAGTTGTCTCTTCTGCTTTCATAAAATAACCTTTTACTTAACTGTATTCCACGAGCGCGCGTTGGACATGAGATTGTTATGACCAATCTCGTATCCAACAAGAACGAATGGAATAATTGTCTAATCAAATTTCATTACATCCTGAAATTTTGGATATTTGAGGCTTTTTCAGCTCCGCAACAGTTAACGCAGAGCATTTCCAAGTAAGGTGACTCGGAATATAAGCTGATAATCGGAGTTCGAATCAGAACGCCAGAAATGTAATATTCGGAGTTGAAAATTCAATAATAGACAATACTCGTGCCCTGCTTTTCTTATGTTCTGTCACTTGTGTTCTTGCAAGGAGAATACCCTTGTTTAAATTACCTTGCTCTACTTATGTATATATGTATATTTAAATGGAGTTCTTGTCCAAAGGTTTGCAACCAGTAAGTCGCTGTTTTCATCACCGAAACAAAGAGCAGTAAATCAGCATTTCATGATTTCATGCAATTCTCGAAGAACAACCTTTTCTGGCGAATTGAAGAGTGGAACTGAAGCCTGTTTCTTAACTATGTGTATCTTCAGTACGGGTTTACGTAATGATTGAAAACTCCCAGAAGTTATTCAAAAAAGAAAAAAGACAACAACAACAACACTAGAAACAACGAGCCTTAAGGCGCTTCCAGGTTTAATCACTTTTTCTGTCGACTTCTTGTAACTCTTTTAGTAACAGTCTCTGTTGATTTCATAGGGGCAGTTTTTCTAGAAACCTTTTTAGGGGACGCTAAAGATTCTTCATCTTCAATGTGTTCCTCGTCTTCAAAATTTTTCGCAGAGTCCTGCAAAAGTGTAGTAGCCTCTGGAAGTGAAGGCGTGGATTTCTTTCTCTGTGATCGACGAGAAGAAAGTGTGCCCACCGCCGTGACGGGATCAGGGGACAACTGAACTTCTTTTACATCCAAAGATTTCCGTGATTTTCGAGTTTTAGGTGTCTTTTCAGCTTCTTCGCCGTTAGACGTATCAGAGTTAGGTGTTTTAACCTTAGGTACCACAGGAGTGTCGTGAGATTTTGTTTGAAACCTACCAGAGACTTCCTCAGTTGTCAAACTATCGGATTCCCGAGACGAGAGAATGTCTATAACAGTATTAACCAAAGCATCTTCGGTTGATACCGAAGATTTCGTCCCTTCGTCTTCACGGGACCTATCTGCTACGACGTTTTTCTGTTCAGCCGATGACTGCTCGTTCGCGGGTGTTTCATCGTCTCCTCGACTGTCACGTTCTGACGCTTTATCATTGAAGACAACATGCTCGGTATCCGCCAAGTCAGAGTCTTTTGAGGTTAATTGCAAAGAGGTACGTGTTTGTCTCTTGACGGAAGGTTTATTAGTTCGCTGTGAGATATTTCTTGGGGCTGATCTACGACTTCTTCGGTTGCTGCCAACGTCCATTGCTTCATCCTCTTCCGCTATATTGGAAGATGCTTCTACTTGACGAGATGTTATGCTTCCCTGTGGTACCTCTGGTTCTTGTGATTTTTGCGCAGATTTCCGTGTTTGTCGTCTGTTGGTGAGTATACCAGACTTCCCGTTTCCTTCTATTTCAGGTGAGGTTTCTATCTTAGGACTTTCAGAAACCACTTTTTTTCCCTCCTCCTGGCTAATGACAACAGGAGTCTCCATGGAAATGTTCTCGTACTCTACATTCTTGCTTCCTTCACTGACCCTTTCCGTGAACACTGAACCTTCCGTCTCTGCTGCTTCCCTTCGCGTCTTCCTCGTTGGTGGCCGAGGGACCACTCCTTCCATTTCAGTGCTTTCCTGTTTTCGTTTTCTTCCCCGTCCCACTTTCCCTTGCCGTGGACCTGCCGGGGCAGTCTCTGTCTCTGAAGAAGAAACCAAACTTTCACTTAGCCCTTCCTGGGAGTCACTTCCGGTCTCCGGAGCAGCACTGCCCTGACTCAATATATCTGATGATTCAGCCTTATCAATGTCGCTCACATCCATTCCTCCTCTAGACTCTCTGTCTTGAACATCTTGAATGTCCAGGTTCTCGGCTATTGTGCTTGGTGCTCCACTCATTCGGGACCTTCTCGCCCTTCCAGTAACTGCTGGAGTTTCTTCCTCGGTTACTGTAGAATCGGTATCCTCTGTTGAAGTAGCTGGTTCGGGTCTTATGGACCTCCGAGATTGCCGGGTACGTTTGCTTCGAGCGGGTTGCATACCGAGTGACCCATCCTCCTTTTCGGAGAGTACAGAACGTACACCTTCGGTGGAAACTGTTACTTTAGGGTCTTTCATCGTTTCTGGCAAAACGCTATCAGCATCATGATTGTTGATATCGCTGGTAGAGTTGTGTTCATTCTCGCTACTCTCCAACAACTGGCCATTATCTTGGTCATCTTGCTGTCCTACAATTACTGATTCTACGCTATCACTTAAGATCTCTTGTGACGCCACCACGGACTGTTCAGAGGTAGGGGTGTCTACTTCTTCATGACCAAACAAGTTTTTGTCTTCAGACGCAGTAATGATGACATTAGATTCAAAATCTATTACAAAGGAAAGAAAAGAAAGAACCAGGGACGTTAAACGAAAGACAAGGCATCAGCACGCTGAGATGAATAAATATCACTAAAAAGTTTAATTTCCGAAACCATTAAGTGATTAGCTATCTATTTTTAAGTACTCCCATAAAACGACACAGACAGAATTTGCACCAAAATTTAATTTCCTCGTTGAGATTGAATTATTGTGAAATTTGTTACCTGCGTCTTCTTCACCAGGAGGCTTTTCATCATAATCGACCATCTGTTGTCCTTCATCGCTGAGTGCATTAGGCTCTGTTATATACTGCTGACTGACTGTTAGATGTTCCTTCTGGATCTCTTTCTTCTGGTGTTCTTTCTCATGACGAACACGGGCTTTTGCTCGGTCAATCTGGTTCAAAACCATCTCAAATCGGGCAGCTGCTACTTTACTATTATCCTCTGCAGTATCCTGCTCGGAACTCGGATCCTGTTGAGCTGGAACTGATGTGGCTGATATTGCTGCAGTCACTGGAAGCTGCGACCAAGGCGCGGGAGGTGTGGCTTGCGTTGGTGCTGAATGATGTGGTCTTGCCACAGGAGTTGGACCATACTTTGTAGATGGGGGAGGTGGGTAACGGGAGGGAGTATGGTAAGGGTAATTTCCCCATGCACCTGCAGAGGGCACTGGAGTAATGGCTGGTGTGGGATAACCTGGAGGGGGAACCCCAGGGGGTGGAATAGCACGAAGTACCCCAGGGAGTGGTAAACTTGGAGGTGGTATCCCAGGGGGAAGAATTCCAGGAGGCAGAACCCCTGGGGGTGGAACACCAGGTGGAAATATCCCAAGGGGTGAAATACCAGGAGGGGGAATTGTTGACTGCGGTGCAGCTGGTGGGGAAAAAGGATAGGTTCCAACTGGTGGTGGCGGAATGGAAGGTGGGGGATAGTACGATCCATAATAACTGGGATATGCTGGTGTGTAGCTGAGAAGGAAAAAAGAACAGCAAAGTCAAAAAGAAGATCTGCATTGAAAAAACATCACAGATCGAAATGTTGATAAGAATCATCTTTCACTCACCCATGGTAAGGAACTGGTGGAGGAATCCCAATAGGTGGTGGGTACCTTGTTGGAGGAAGCCCCATGGGAGGAGGGTAGGATGGGTATCTAGGAGGTTGTTTGAAGGTTACAGCGGTTTGTTTGGTGGATTTGTTTGAGGTAGGTTTAGCTGTCGTGGCTGTGGCGGATGAAGATGTGGTAGGTGGCAGTCCAAAGATGAGTTCAAGGTTTGTCGTGGACCAATTCAGGTTGAAACCATACTGACATTTCTGGCACTGAAAAGATGGTGGTTCACTGTCACCTAATTTATGTCATGCAGGAGATCAAAAGAACAAGTTAGTTTATGGGTATAACTTCGTCCCAAATCAAATTCAGCATCAACTTCATCAAAACAAAGGGGAAAAAAGCGTGGATATAAGACACGATAAAGGTACAAAATATAACAGAAATAAAACAATAATTCATCTCCAGTTCACTTCAAGCAATCCAGTCAAGTATTATTCAGCTGTAATTTCATCAACCTTTTGGCCCAAATGCATCATCGTTCAGGATCTTTGGATGATGAAGGCATTCCTTTTTTTTGTTTTTTTTTAAGTCAATCTTTTAATTAATTTGCTTCATTTCTGATACCCAGGCAAAAGGCAACCAAGCAAGGGGACTCCCAGTTTGTTCATCAAAATTAAATGAACAAGGAGCTGGAGCAACATCAACTAACAAAGGATGTACCTGCTTTTGTTTAGCTTTATAGTTGGGTGAATTTGCCTTAACCATTTGTCCTCTAAGATTAGGAAAGACTTTTTACCAAACCCAACAAGAGCTTTGAAGCCCCCATGTAGCTTGACAAGTAGATGTCATTTAGAGATACATTGTATGGTTAGCTTTTATTAACAGAGTCCATTACAAATAAAGGCTGTATAGTTGAAATGTCAAAAATTGGAGTCTGACAGGATCATTCCAAAATCAGAACTTTGGAAAATCCACAATTTCAGGATGCAAAAAAACATACACAATTTATGAATTTTATTTAAAAATTTATGTAGCCCTCTTCCTAGGACTGGGTGGTACTGTAAAACAAGTGACAATTGTGATTTAGGGCCCCCATTACTGAATATCACAAGTCATAGGAAAAGCAAGTCACATGTAATTTTTTTACTAAGTGTTCTGTCAAGACCATTTCTCTCCTTGGAGGCTCTGGATACTTATGTGGGGGAGGGGGTGGGGGTGGGGTAAAGTGAGCATTCACATTAATCTTAATTGTGGGTGTTGGTGGCAATGTCTGGTCTTGGGCTTAAAATAAATACAATGGTAAGGGTCAACTCTTGAAATAGTGTTAATCCAAGTTCAATTATTGGAAAATCTGACATATGTTTTGAAATGTACCAGAGTTAGAGGACATTTTGGAAAATTGTTTTTCATGAAATAGCTTTGTTTATACTGTCAAGTAAAATTGTATCCTCTTAAAACTATGCCATTGGTTTTCCAACTCCAGCCATCATTGCAAGCTGGCTTGCCCTGCCTGTGACTTTTGTCTGGGTCTTCTTTCCCAAAACTTTGTTTCATGATGTAGTGAAAAAATAGATGATAATTCCAAATAATCAATTCAACAATCGATTATATGTAAGTGGGGAAGTCCCTCTTCCCAGAATTAAAAATCTATAATTCTTTCTGAACTACTTCAGGACTCTTTCATGTGCCATCCCTCTTGTGTGGTTATAAACTGTGACATGATGCAGACTGACAGAGAGTAACACTTAAAGGACATGTACTTTAAATAGCTTTAAAACAACACAAATAATAATCTTTTATCCTTTCTTGGAAGGAAATAAATTTTATTTCAATTTCACACCATTTGATTCTGCAGTGTTATTTTCAAACTGGTAGAGCTATTCCTCTACCCGTTGAATTTTCAAGAATTTGAAGCCATTTATGCAGCAATAAGAGGTACTACTGGTGGTACTTCTTACTGGCTACCACCTGAAAAGGAGAACACTGATTATAGAGCAATAAAAAGTAAATTTTCCATTCCTTACTATCTGTGCTCACCCATTCTACCTCACCTTTAGCCATTTTAAAAGCCTGATTTCTTTTGAGCAACTGTTGAAGACTTTGAGGTAGATCAGTATCTTTGGTGTTTTCTGACACCATGATGATGTATTTAACATCTGAAGAGTCACAGTAAGGGCAACGCCCATTGGATGACACAGGATAGCTGCTAGCGTCTGTTGATGGTGCTTTGTTACTAGTTGTTGTAGTGGATGTTGCAGTGGCTGTTGATGCTGGCACATTGACCACTGAGCTTCTTATCAAATTGCTTGATGATGTACTAGGTTCTGAAAAATTGTCTGAATCAGACACAACAGAAGAAGCTTCCTTGTGTTTGTCATCATCCTCATGATCTGCATGGTCTGCTGCATCTTCATCTTCATCTTCACTGTTGTTCTGTTGGGACAGTTTTAACTCTTCTTTAGCAAGCATTTGTTTGATGAGTTCTTCTTCATCAATGTCATCCTCCTCATCCTCATCATCTTCTTCGGTTTCGTCCTCTTTGTCTGATGAACCTGAGAGGGTAGAGATGGAAGGTAAACTCCCTCACAACTTTTCCAGTGTTTCTCTATTCCTAAATTACTTTCCAGGACATTAACTTATGAAGATAAACAGAACTCATTAACTAACAGAGTCATCTAACATATAATCCAGAATGAATACCACACAAAATTGGATGAATGTGATAACAAGAGGATATACATACTTTGCATTGTTGAGGTTTGAGAAGCATTTCCTTTTTCATGACTTTTTTGGCCTCGTAACTCATCCAAAACATATAAAGTGTTATCTGATGATTCACTTTGACTGGAACCTTCATCAGTTGCATGAAAAGTGAAATCAGACATAAACATTCAGTATGCTTGAAAGACTTATTGAATACCTAATCTGATCGACCAAAAAGTAAACTTAGAACAACCTGAAGGTTGAAATGTCTTTACCATTGATATAGTAACATGATAGAACAACAAGATGGCAACATGAGAAATTTATGATAACCAAAAATATAAATTGACATTTGTGTTGAAAGTTCAAAATAATATAAAAAAAATACTAACCTCGAAAGCGGCTCTCATCTGGGCCTGATACAGGTTTAAATGCCTTCTCGGGGTGAAATTGATGCAAGAAAGATACATGTATGATGATTGATCATCTATTCCACAACAGCCACAGATAATCACCTCCATTAGATATCATGCACAGACAGATATCCAATAGTAGTCCAGTTTGAACAAAACTTGCATGATTCAAGATAAAATAAGTGCACTGCATATATATGGAAAGGTTTTCTGCAGTACTTTTCAATAAAAAATTTCTTTGAGTAGTTGAGGAACATTGCATTTTACTTGTGACTCTTAAAAATGTTGTTTAATTATAAATTCCTTTGATTCAGTCAGATACAAGAGAGAAACAGCAAGATTTGAGATGAGATACATAGATCAAAGGCCAAACCTTTCATAAATAAGAGTCAGGGGAAGGAAAAGAATTGCAACATATCAAAAAAAAAAAAACCCCAAAAACCACACATACTGCTACACACCTGCATTGGATTGTCTAGAGACTCCAAAATTTGGCGCAAGGAAACATTGCTCCAGTTCACATTAAACCCAGCACCCAAAGGATCAGGGGGGCAGAATCCTCGGCATAGGAAAGTTGGTGGATCCTATGAACATTGAATGTTTTGTAAACATTTATAACAAGAGTGGGGCCAAGGAAATCTGAATTCTCTGTCCTGATATGACACCCAGGCATTTTAATTTATCAGTCACATGTTCTATCAGTTGAAATCCAAAGAACTCCTTAGAGAGCTACAAGAAGCCATTTTTGAAATGCAAAAGGCCTCTGTTTTAGTCTGAGAGTACATGTACAATGTAAGTGCAAAGCTTTTGATTAACCCTTGTTAATTCTCCCTTATAGCTGCTACACATTTCCTTTGTAAATTAGTTCTGAGAACTTAGTGCTAGATTAAGATAGCAGCTTCTACCTGATAAGTTTGAATGTTCTCATTACCTGTTTGCTGAATAATGTACGTATATTATCGGAGGAAGTTTCAAGTTAATCACTTCTGGGAGTTAAAGGGTTAAAGAAAATTCATCCTCATATGCAAATTATTAATTTTCACAAAACAGCCTTATTTTGAAAGTTAGTGTTCTTAAAACTGGGATTGCCTATTGCTACCAGAACTATTGACACAACTGCACTGATTTCTTTGTAGTTCTTTCCCTTCCACCCCTGCCCCACACAGTTTTTTTTTTGTTTCAAGTTTTAAGTACAGCCACATGGTGAAGATGTTACCTTACCTGATATCCTTCTTTTTCTTGACTTGACCACAGAATAGCTCTTCCTTTGGCTATCAGGGAGTGCAGAATTTCAGGCATATCCCCCATAGGAAACAATCTAAAATACATTAGAATTCTGGTTAAAATGTTCAACAAGGTGCACAAAAAAGGTCCTACAATTAATCTTCCTTCTATAGTTTAGCAAACCATGATCACCTTTATCAAATATGGAAAGTGTACAGTGTTACAAGCAATCACAATGGGAATCAAGACATGCAAACAACTATCCAAACAACAAACTACTCAGTATTAGCCCTTTCCATCCTTAAATCAGTATACACATTTTCCATATTGTTATCCAAACATTTCTAAGGTGCTGACAAGGACTTGTTCAACAATCTAAAGCTTCTTTAGTTGGTGATCATTTCCTTTATTCTCAAGAAATAAGATGTGCATCACTCTTATGGGTCAAAAGGTTAAATTGTGTGCAGTGAGGTTTTTCTCACTCCTGATTGGTCTTCTTTTTCAAGGCACATGAGCAGTCTTGAAGCATTTTAGGTATTCATAATTTACTAAACTTTTTAGTGGTAAGAAAACATACTTATCCAGTATGACATAGAGCCTGTTTGAATTCCCACAGCGAGGACACAAACCATCCTGAGAAACAGTATACTTTGTCCCTCTCCAGTCAGTTCCCTTAATCCTATCATCTATATCTATGAGGTCAACACTGCAAAAGAAACCCAGATTGCAGCTGTTGTATACCATTATTAAAATACTCCATGGAATTAAAATATTTTTCACTAAGAATTCTCTTGGTGACGTGCAGCAAACTTGGAATCTGCATAATTTTAGTTTAATTAGTCTTTATGTATGTCTTTTGTGTTTATTCCTTTACATAGCTTACTTATTCATTTTTGTACATCACTTTTGTACTTCAATGTATATTTTTTAACAGGAAACAAGTCATTTGTATGCTTGGGCTAAACTTCAGAATGCCCGGCCATTTTGGTCTGCCTCACTTACATGTGTCGGGAGGCTTTGAAGATCGAGGCATAACACAATAGACGTTATTCTTAATCAATGACATGTAAATGAGTGGCCGGGTATTCTGAAGTTGCTCCCACGTTGTGTATATTTTTTCCCAGTTTTTCCCGTCCCTAATTTTTTTCAGATTTCCTGGGTCACAAGCCACCATATAAAAATGAACATACCACCAAATCAAAATACATTCATGATTTTGAAAAAATAAAACTAAACAATTATAAAACAAAAAAAAAGGAAAAAGAAAAGAAAACACACTTCATCATTTTCCAGAATGATTCATATGCTGACGGTTCAAAAGCCTGTAGGAGGGCGAGAAATATTCAAGCGAACGCACCAAACTGAAAACTCGATTACTGCTACTTTCCGCCATGTTGGTACCTATCCCAAAGTGCTTGAGGGCCTTAGCAAATAGCTGCTCATGCGCAGCTTAAAAAGCGCGAAAAAAACAAAAATGGCGGACGATGGAAGAGTCTCTGTTAATAGCAAACAAACAGTTCTCAGAATTCACGATAAAATTAAAAAGGAAGTGCATGAAATAGCAAGTAAGAAGTCTTGGAATGCGCAACAGAAAGAGGAATTTGAGAGAAAGCTGCTCGAGGTTGGAGGATTCTCTGATTTTCCTTGCATGAAAGAAATTTAAGCTTGATTTTTAAATGTATAAGGGTGCCAAGAACATGTCAGTGTCTTGCAATTTAGCGATTTACGTGTAAATGTTAATTTTGACTGCTTTTCGCTTGATCAAGCTTTACAAGGAATCTGTTGAGGAAACTATCAAAGAAAACGTAACCATTGGCGGTCAGGCCTGGGATAATGTAGGCGAATCAGAAGCTTCAAGTAGTTCTCTTCTTCAGGAAGGTGTGTGCATGCGTATTAGAAAGTTTATATTTTGTACATTTGAGTGATCTTTATTCTAAGCGTATGTGAGCGATGTAATAAAGCCTAAGACCGAGGGCTCACAAGCTTGGAGCTTTTCAAGTCGCTGTAATGAATTTTGGCTAACTTGAGCCATAACATGCTCGCTATAAAGAAGATTTTGATTTAGTCCCCTGTGAAATGATTTTTTTGCTATTTTACGACTTGCTCTACAGCTTGACACACTGCTTGTCACTGAAACAAGCAAATTGGCTGGAAATGACTAATGGAAGTCCATTGCACTTCTTGATAGATAGTATATCATACAAAAGTTTATCTCTCTTTAACCCTTTAACTCCCATGAGTGACTAAGACAGAATTTCTCCTTACAATGTCAATACAATATCAACCAGATAAGTGAAGAATAAGGAAAAATATCAATTTGAGGAAAATAAGTTGATCCAATACTAAATTCTCTGAACTAACATTTTAAAAAGTATATGGTTGACAGTAAGGAGAATTACAAATTTGATCTGGGAGTTAAAGGGTTAACTTCAGACCACAATCTCAAGGTAATTCTGGTTGTCGAATTTGTGGCAAATTTAGCTGTTAAAATTTTTCTTGCCATGGCAACCAAAATGTGTTCAGTCCACTTGGAGAACTGAGACCATAGACATGACAAAATTTTCCAGGTAACATAACGCTAAGCTTCCAAAGAATCTGCATTATGACTCATCTTCTAACTCATGTTATTCTCAACAATAACACAACATTCAATGGAATAGAACCCAAAATGTCAGAAAATACTTTGTTAGAGTCTAGACTGTCAAAATTTCTCAGGGATGTTCATACTTTTTGGGAAGAGCAGGCCTTCTAGGCTTTCAAAACTACCAGCTGCCTGCCATTCTTAACTACCCTTTTGTTGCAAACATTTTGGAGTTCACTGTGCAGTGCTAAAGGACCCTTTAGTTGCAGAAGTTTCAAACGTTTTTTGTTATGACCTATTTTGAAAATGTTCTTCAGTCCCCAATGATTACTGGTCCTTAATTTGCAGAAATGGAGCCCCTTAACAGAGACAGAATTACAGAAGTTCTTCAAATATGTTCTGAACTGGATGATATGATCAGAGATACCACACAGAAACGTAAAAAATATCCTCAGCAAATTGTTGAAGGAGTCTGTAACATTCTTCAGAGCCATAAGGAATTTTTGGTGAGATGATCAATAACAGTACATTTACACCAAACCAGAGCCTTATTCACAGACTGACAAACCCTCACATTTCAAGCAGTATTGAATTTGAGACCTTACTAATCTGCAAGTCAATTATATGATATTCTTATATCCACAACAGAACATTCTCCAGAGCAAATTAAATATGCATTGTTGTCAGCTCAAGTAGAAAATTATAGACATTTTATTTGTATCTCTGTTCCAATCAAAATGCATGCTAAATGGCCATGTACAGAGAGAATAAACAACTTTATCAATAAATGAATTGCATTAATAAAATAATAGTAATCTTTAATGAGGATGCCAATGTCATGAAGTGGTTTACAGAAGGGTCCTCAAAAATCTGTTGATTTCTTGTGTATTTTTACCTGTAGGAAAACTATCAGCCGGTGATTAAAAGCAACTTATTGTCTGGTGGGTCCAATGTCATAACACCAGGTGAGGCAAAAATTTTTGTTCATTTTCTATCTGAAAAACCTTTTTTTTTTTTAATTTATTTTACAACATGGGATGTTGTCCATAGAAGAATAATTCAGCAGAAGTCTTAACTTGTAGTGAACTTCATGTGTGTTGGGCAGGTACTTACTCTTTTGAATGCTTGTGGTGGATGTATTGAATGGTCATGAAGTTTTTTTTTAATTGTTTGATTTTCAACTTTTATTTTAGATTTGGAAGAGTGCATACAGAGATTACAAGGAGCAGCATCTGATGTTATGCAGCTATCAAAGGTGTGTTTTTTATTAGAAAAAAATGACAGAGGGGTTTGAGGTACATGTAGTTGTATACAAGAGTACATTGTGGCTTTTGTTGACTGGCTTAGCATGGTTCTGAAGTTTTTTAAATTTATAATAAAGTGTTTTTGTTGTTTTCAACAAAGTCTCAATGAGAGAGAGAGCTCCCACTTATGCTTCCACATGAACTTTGTTTGCTGGAATGTAAAATTTGCCTTGAAAGTTGCCTCTGAAATAAATGACCTCTAAGCCATTTTAATTCATTTTTGATTGGTTAACAGTATTTTTTCTTTTCTATTTTTGTTCTAGTCTTTTCCTGAACTTCACAGCAAAGCTGAACGTCTTCAGCAAGCTGTCCATTCCCGTCAAGCCATGCAGGAATGTGAGACTGATGGCGTTTTATTTGCATTAGAAAATAAGAATGAGACTTTGAACTCATCTTCCACTGAACCAACGGTGTTGCAAGATGATGAAAGCACTGAAAAATTGAAGATGGTAGATTTTCTGTGGTGGGGTGGGGAGAGGCGCAGGTCACGTCCTCCTGTGAGATTTGATGCTTCTCAAAATACTTATGGCCTGTGAATTTATGGCTATTTTGTTTAGTAACAATAATAAATGATTAGTTGTTTTAGCAGTTGCTGTAAACTGGCATGTAGTTTCATATCCTTTGTACAGAAAGTATGTTCAGGAGTCAATTTTTATTTATGATACTTTTGTTGTTGTTTTTTTTTTTGGTACCATGATCACTGCTTTTAAGGAAATGATAATGTTATATTTTATTTTGTACTTGCCGATTCAAATTAATTTTTAACCTTTGAAGGTTAAATAGGAAAACTGAATATTTCTAAATTCAATTTTGTACACTTAGGGTATAAAAATTATAGATTAGATGACCTGGTTTTCATGCTGCAAGTTTTTTGCTTCCCACTTTCTTCTGTTGCTAAAGAAGATAAAGAATTAAAAAAATTGTGCAAAAGAACATTTGCTTGTAGCATATTTGCTGCATTGAAAAATGTAAGTGTCATATTAAGTGTAAATAGTATGGATTAATTTGATACAGTGTTGGGCAAAAAATCTACCAGTAATACACTCACTCATTGTAGTGAAAGTTCAATGTAAATAAAAGAAAATTCCTTGGTTGTTACAATCGCAGTATATGAAAACTTCATTTATTAGAAATTAATAAATACGTTTTTGACCAGTAAGTCCCATTGTGTATTTACTCACTCACTGTAGTGAAAGTTCAATGTAAATAAAAGAAAATTCCTTGGTTGTTACAATCGCAGTATATGAAAACTTCATTTATTAGAAATTAATAAATAAGTTTTTGACCAGTAAGTCCCATCATGTATTTCAAATATTGATGTCATGTTCATTATCAGACAGAGTTTTTCATTAATCATCTTTGCAGTAGTTGTCTGTTTGAAGAGAGAGTGCTGTTTGACTATACAAAACAGTTCCTGCGAGGAAGACTACTCTCTATGTGGGAATTTAGGATAAATGTCTGAGCAGTTGAGGGTGGAGGTAGGGAAAGGGTAGAGTTATTTCTTTCCTAAGAGAGACTAGCATCTAAATTCTCTTTATGATATCACCCCCAAACTGCATAGTAAGGTCACAAGAATAAAAGAACTGATCACCAACTAAAAAAGCTCTTGATTGTTTAACAAATTCTCCCTGTCAACATCTAAGGAAATGTAAAGAGATAAGTGTGGAGAATACCTACAGTGATGTTAGAGTGTCAGGGGTTAAAGTGAAAGGTGATACTTTGAGCACAACATGTGGACAACTGGATAAAGAGCAGTTTATAGAAGGGGGGGGGGAGGGGGGGAGGAGGAAGGAATCTACCATTGTCTGTATTCCATTCGAGATCGCAAAAACAAAAATGAAAAAAGGAACAATTTGAAATTAGGATGTTTAAAGTAATGTCTCTAAGTTGATAGCTCTCTGGATCCTTAGCAACTGTGAGCTTGACAGAGTATCAAAATCATCAGTTGATCACCTGAGATTATGCCTGGGATTACGAAGGATAACTTGAATTGATTTAAGAATTACAGATGGTCCTGCCTGTCAGTAATGGGTAGAAAAAAATTGGAAGAAAAAAAAATTTAGGACACTTTCAAATCACAAATAAATTATGGGGTTCCCTTTCATATTTTCCTCCTTGTAAGATAAGTGATGTGTAGAGACAAACTGTTATCCAGTTCCCAAAGGTGCGAGCGGGGATGAAAAAACGGGGAGAAACTGGAACAAATAATTTGCGTTGGTATACATTCCATTCACCTTACACAACATGTACCTATGATTTCTAAAATGGCGAACGTTGAGGAGACGGCGACCGAAAACGACAGCGAGAATTATGATATGCCTCCACCTAATCTTCCGACAAAACCTCCAGACCAGGCAAAAATTGCAAAGGAAGAATCAAAATCAAAACCTTTATCAAAAGAAAAGAAGGAATCGGTGCCAGAATTGCCCTACAAGGAACCATCGTGGAGTGGTATCCCAGACGAATTCTACAACTTGGAAGTTTTGAAGAATGGATGCATAATAACAAATGTTGATCTCACTAGTAAACCTTTTCATGTGTTTGGAAGGCTTCCTAATTGTGATGTTAGCTTAGAACATCCTTCGGTTTCTAGATACCACGCGGTGATTCAGTACAAGACGAGCGATACCTCAAATAGCGAGAAGGGTTTTTACCTTTATGACCTTGGTAGCACACACGGAACATTCGTCAATAAGTCAAGACTTGAATCTAAACGTTACTATAGACTGCGTGTAGGATATGTGATTAAGTTTGGGGGAAGCTCCAGATTATTTATTCTCCAGGTAAGCTCGAATCTGAAATGGTGCAGAAGAAATCTAATTATTATAGTGGTTTGTCTTTGATTGATTCGATCCATTCATTATGTGGATTATTGTGTAAAGATGCGTGTATTGATAAAAGCACACACACATACCGTATTAAGAATGTACATTAAAAAGATTACGCACTTCTGATTGGCTGAAAACGAGTGTATTTCCATGTAACAAGAGTGTAAAGTTGTAACATGAGTGCAAATTACAACATGATTTCTCGTGCAATTTGGTGTAAATAAGCACTTATAAATTTTCCAAAGACTAGGGCTTGTACAATTTTGTTGCCTTTGAAAATTTGACTTGTGCTTATTAACACCAAATTGCACTCAAAATCATGTTGTTACCAATACTTATAGCATCAAGCACCCACCCTTAAATAAGTGCCCACCTCGAATAAGAGCCCATTTAGAGTAAGTGCCCACCTTGTGGGTAGAAAAAGCTAAGCACCTAGTCTCTAGTAAGCACCCATTTCAAATCATTGAGTGTACTTCCCTCCATAATACTGTGTTATTTTGCTTTTGTCTGCAGGGCCCTGAAGATGGTGAAGAATCTGATTCAAATGCTGCTATACAAACAGACAGACAAACAGAAGTCAGGAGCAGTGAAGTAGGCAGAGTTATGACCGAAGAGGAATATGAAGAATGGAAGAAAGAAAGAGAGGGAGGAAAACAAAATGAAGAAGATACAGGAATTGATTGGGGAATGGGTAATAATTTATATTGAGTAAAAATTTATTCTGCATTCAAAGAGAAGAGAAGTCTTATTTTGGCCATTTGCTAATTTTTCTTCAAATAACTGGCCCACTGAGTTTTTTAACTGTTACATTAGCACTATTGATGTTATAAAAGGGGTAAGATTTTCTCGTTTTTGAAAATTGCATCAAGTATGATATAGCTTGCTTTGCTTTCACTTGTATCTGAGAATTATGAGTTGTTCATAGCATATTAAGTATAATTATAAATTTTGAGCCGTCCAGCAAAATTAAATGGTTTCCCTTTTCAAAAATAAATATATAGCGCTTATTACTTGTGACATAAGTGGTCCCTTGCAATGATCATATCCTTTTATTTAATTCCTTAGGGGAGGATGCAGTTGAAGAGCCTGCATATCCACCTGATTTTGGTGAAACTGAGAAGGCTGAGGAGCATCATTTCAAAGATCCTAAGAAGACTTTGAGAGGATTCTTTGAAAGAGAAGGTTTTTAATATTAATTATGATTGTGGTTCTTCATGAAGTTTTTTGTGTCAGTAGTGTCCCATTTATGTTGTTTATTTTTTCTTTGTTCTATGTTCAGTGACTCTGATTAATTGTGCTGTAATATTTTATTGTTATGGTTGTCAGGGCTGGAGTTAGAGTATGATGTGGAAGAGAAAGGTCCAGGTCATGCAAAAGTTTTTCACTGCAGAGTAAAGTAAGTGAAATTTTGAAATGACATGGCCTTTATGGTAAGAAGGCTGGATTTGAAAACTGGAGGTCCTGGGTTCAAATTGTCCACTTTTCATCTCAAGAAGATTTGCTGCTCTATAGTTTTGAGTCCTACTCCATTGCTATGATTTATGTCTTGTAGAATTTGGGGTATTGGTTTAAATGTTATACAAAAATACAAAATTTATGTTTTATTTTCTTTGGTTGGTGATTTAATACCATGACCTATAAACAAAGTTATTACTATTATAGTTATAACCAATAGTATGAATAATTATTATATTTATTAACTCACATGATATCATTAACACTACGGTAATTGCATTTCAAATAATGACTATAATAATTTTGATATGATATTTTATTAATAACATAACCCTTTAGACCCTAATGGTGACCAGCATTGTTTCTCCTTACATCTGTTTGATAAACAAATTCTCCTTGTCAACGCAAAAGTAAATGTATATTGAAGAGTGTGGAGAATATGAAGATTGACCATGTTACATTTTTTATAGATTGCCAATAGATGGGCCAAGTGGTGATCCTCTTTATGCCGAGGCTGCTATCACAGGAAGGAAGAAGGAAGCAGTATTGGAGTGTGCAAAGGAGGCATGTCGAATGCTGGATGCTGCTGGCCTCCTGAGACAGTCCTCTCATGGTAGTGGACCACTTTATATTTGGATCAGTCAGATAAATTGATGGTTGATTTTAATAATCATAAGAAATTATATGTTTCATTTATCTCTCTTAAGTCAATTTCAAGTTGGAGATGGATTCTATTAAATGTGTTAATTCTAGTTTTGTTGTTTCCTGTGCAGAGAGTAGGAAACACAAAGAGAAAAATTGGGAAGAAAATGATTTTTATGACAGTGATGAAGACAATTTCTTGGATAGAACTGGATCAGGTCAGTTGTAATTTGTTGCTGATAAATATCCGTGTTGAACAAAACATAAATTGTTAATTTACAAGGAAACGTGAAGCAGCCTGAGCAGAGAATTAACAATCAGATCTTGGGGGTTTAATTGTTAATAGCTTTGACTCTTTGACCTTATAGTTGAGAAGAAAAGAATACAAAGAATGAAGCGTGCCGGTAAAGATCAGTCCACCACAGAAACTTATGAATCTTTGGTAAGATATTTAAACACTTTACAAATTAGATCAATGTTTACATTAATTTATTGCATTGTGACAGTTGGAATCATGCCCATATTTCCCTGTTCCCTGTTATCTTTACTTAACACATTAAATTGCTCTGGGTTTTCTACAAGTTCTCAAACTTAAGACCCCTTCCCCCAATATTGCAGCAGAATCCCCCCCTTACCAGCTAAGCTGCAAAGGACTCTTTGGTGAGCTAGGAAAGGTGGTAGAGTCACATAAAATTATGAGACTGTCTGTATATAACAAATTCTTAACTTTGTGTTGTTATTGTTCTGAGCAAGACTTCAAAGCTTCAGATGTTGGATGATGAAATTTCAGATTGTGAGAGTAGATTAAAGCAAGATGCAGCTGGTAAGTTTTTTGTAAAGTGGATTTATTGGTTAAGATAGATGTTCCGAGAAATTCCATTTTGCAGGTGTTTCCTGCTATATTTTACTAGCCCTTTGTACTTGCAAATTCTACATGTGATTTTCAAAGAGGATTAGAATTTGTCAGTGAGCATTTTCACCCTAATTTCCAGTGCAGTTTTTATTAATTGACATCTCATTTGGTTTGACTACTTCATGTTTTTTAGGAAGAAATGGTTCAATGTCTGGAGATGCTGACTCTTTGGATGATTTCATGAGCTCACTTGGAACATCACTAGACAAGACAACAAGGACTCAGATCAGAAGAAAAATATTTGACCTGAAAAAGGTGAATTTAGTAATAACTTTAAATTTACCATGAGTAACTGTGTGATTTGAGACTACATTGGTTTTGCTTTATGTTGCTTTGTGTTTGATCTTGAAATAATTTTCACACAAAGCCAAGAACATGTCTTTCCCTTTGGCCTCTCAATGTGTCCCTTCAAGATTTTTGTTACTACTTTCCACTAGTTTTGGTTCACAACACTCAATCAGTAAAATTGCCTTTTATGCATGTAATATTAATGATGATGAGAAGATATGTAAAGGCATAATATCTCTATTATTTTCTAGGAGAGACAAAGACTGGTCAAACTTGTTAATATTGCCAAGCCAGCTAATCTTCCACCAGTTGCAGAGTAAGAGGAATTTTCAATGGCAAATGTGAAATCTTATTTTAAACAATTTGCTAGAATATTCCACCCTCACATCTGTGTATTTACCATGAGCTGTGTCAAAATAACTTAATTTTAAAATAGAGTATGCAGTTAGACCTAAATTGCTGCATTTCTAAATTTGGTCCACCTAGTATTGTTTGGGTGTTTTTTTGTTTTGTTTTGAGGTTAATTAAAAATCACTGAAAAAATGTCAATTACTCCAAGGCAAGTTGCTACAAGCTGATACTTGTATTAACACCTTCATTAGCTATTTTTAACAATTGTTTTGCTTTTCAGGCAAGCACATGATAACAATCTCAAAAAGTTGAGCACAGAATTTGAAAGTAAAGCTGCTGACTCTTCATCAAGTAAGACAGCAGATATAAACACAGATTCTAGACACATATTCCCAGCTACACTAGAGAAAGAAAAAGAAACCAAAAGGTCAGCTGATAAGGAACATTTACATGAAAAGGTACTCAGGGACAACAGTCAATCACATCCTACAGAACAGAAAGAATTTGCTGTTCCTGTTTTGCCTGCTTTGGGTGGAAGGAAAAAAAATAAAAAAAAGAAGGATGTTGTAGTGCCATCAGACAGTGACAAGACTGTAGACGTAGAAGAAACAGAAAAGTTTGGGCAAGAAGAAGATGGGGAGAGTGAACTAGGAAGGAAAAGAGTCAATTCAGATGGAGCGATGGACATGCAGGAAGATGATAAGAACAGAACAGAAGAAAATGTAAGCTGTGAATATTTCCCCTAAAATATGTATTGTATTGTCAACGTCAAGTGGGAAGTATGATGGTATAAAATTATGTGATGATAATTAGGAAAATGCTACTTAAGAGAAAGTAAAATGATCTACAAATCCCCTCTATCCAAAAAGGGTAACTGAAATCTTATGTTGTAGCAGTTACTTTCACCACCTCATTTTTCTTTGCTTTTTTTCCTAGAATGAAGATATTCCAAAAAAGAGAAGAAAGATGAAGAAACGGTCATATGGTGTGCCCACACAATGGCAGGCTGATAGTGACCCTTCATTTACTGCATGGATGCCTCCTGAAGGTTTGTCCACTTGTTATTGTTGAAAGTGATTGGTATTACAGTTCTTATAACTTAAGGAAGTGTTCCTCCAAAGGACAAAATGATGGTGAGGTGCAAACTAAGGGAGTTGAAAGGTGGTATGGTCTAAATGATCAATTAAAAAAAAACCAAGGCACATATACCACCTTTCATGGCATCTGTTCAGTTATGTTCTCTGATTAAGGGAGACCTAGGTAGACATGGCCACAAGTCAAGCTGATGAAGTCGTTTTAATAAAGGGCTAATGCCCAAACCTCAACTCCAGAGGTTGTAAATTTACAATATCAACCCAGTTGATAAATCCAAATTATCCTGTGCCACCTGCACTGACACAGCACCAGTCTCTTTAGAAGCCTACCCCATTTTTACATTTTTGCTGAGTTTTTGACCAGAAAAGTTTTTGCAAGGCTCAAAAACTATGTTGAGATCAAAATAGGAGCCTACCCAACAACTGGAATGGCTGAGGAAAATGTATCTTATCAATGAATGGGAATTTCCTGGTAACAAAATAAAAATTAATTGGTGTTTGTCATGGTCAGAAGTTGTCTTAGTTGACTAGGGTGGCACTGAAGGATTATTTGGACAAGATTGGTGATTTAACCCTTAAATTCTTAAGAGTTGCCAAAACAGAATCTCCCTTTACATTATTGATACAAAATCAAGAAGACAAGTGACTGGAATGAAGAAAAATATCATTAAGGGGATTATTAGTGATCCAATACCAAATACTCCAAACTATCATCATCAGAATTGTATGGCAGACAGTAAGGAGAATTGTTAATGAGATCTTGGGAGTGAAAGGGTAAAGATCAACACCAATAATAGGAAATAATAAGTGACCAGGCTATTAATGATCTTTTGTTTTGGTTCTCAGGTCAGACAGGGGATGGAAAAACACATTTGAATGAAAAGTTTGGCTACTGACAAGTCTTTAAATGAATAGAGAGCAGTTTCATAACAAAATGTGTCTCAGTTGATTTATTTTCAATGTGTAGTAGTTTTGACATCAGCAGTAGACTGAAACCCAGGTTGCTCATAAAGAATTTGAGGACCTTGGTTTTCATCAGTGTCCATTTTCTTGTAATTCTAACCTAACCGCAACCCAAACCCCTTCAGTCAACTTTACAGAGCGTTTATAGGAAATTTGACTTCTGCTGACCCTCCTTCAGCCAGGTTACATCTCTGACAAAATGGTGGAAGACAGGGAATTAACAGCCATAAACAACCTGGTTATGGTGTGTGCACACATCTTCAAATTAAGTTGTCATGTCTCATGTCATGAGAAAAAGTTGTCCTGCCTGCCAGGGCTAGCCTACCTGCCAAAGTGAGACAACTCACCCCCCTTTCTCCCCTCCTCTAGTTGACCCACTGACCTGAGATAAGTTGACAACCTCATGTGAGTGGTGGACTGAATTGTGTAAAGAAATAATTGAAAGGTTAGCTTGCCTAGCATAACTCAGTGGGGGGGGGGGGGGTTGTTACAGTTACCCAAGATCATATAAATGGGGCCTTAAAAGGATCATAACATTCTTTGCACATGACACAATGGATGATTGATTTTGCAATCCAATAGGACAAGAAATCTTCAGCAAGATATCTTTACTTGCTCAGTGTTTAACAGACTGTACAAATGGCATGTAGCATGATGCATTAAGGGTGCAACTTAGACTTGTGTACAAAGCTCATAAGAGGCTGTGGCCTGTTACAATTGTACCAGTGATATGAGATGTTTCTGTAATATTGGCTCCAATTAAGCACACTGCTGTATTATCTTACAGAAATAAATTTTTAAGTGGCCAATTAATATTATCAACTCACTCAATAAAACCAAAGTATTTTCACTCATAATATTGTCCACTAGAACAGCATCATAGTTTCTTCAGTAAACTTACCACCTTAAGTCATATAGCTAAGTTCAGTTTTGACATTAAGTGTTCAGGACCAAAGCAAACAAAGATGACATCGAACCTGGATGTAATTTATTTCTTTTTTTTTCCTGTTATCAAACTCAGTTTTGTGCAAGTCGCACTGAACTTAGTTCAACTGTCTGAGAACTATTACGTCATCCATGGTTATGGTGGATGTTCAAGATTGTTCGAAGCAATGTTAGGCCAGCGCCGAATCGTATTGTACAAGTTTCTCAAGCTTAAGTGTCCTTTTTATCCTCTTCGGCTTTGTCCAGTAACAAAGATCTTATTCCAACTTTCTGCAGTTCCTCGATCAATTCACCTTGTTGATGCAACTGTAACACAATATCGCATCCACCGATAAATTCTCCTCCAATGTAGACTTGAGGAACTGTCGGCCAGCTCGAATATTCTTTCACTCCCTGCCTCAGTTCCTCGTCTTCTAGTACGTTATAAGCTCCATAACCTTCGACACCATGCATCCGAAGAATCTGAACAACAGCATTGCTAAAACCACACATTGGTTGCTCAGGAACTCCTTTCATAAAAACCACCACTTTGTCCTTCTTTACGACTTCATCGAATTTTTCTGTTGTCCATGTGGCTGCTTGGTCACTGAGGAAGCGTAACTTAGCTGTAATACGGCCTGTAGGAGGACCGAAGGAAAGAGATCTGTTTAAAATCCGTCGTACAACCAAGGTGGCCATCTTAAAAGTCACCAGTCTTCGCAAGTCACCCTCATTCGAACTAATACCCAGACTTCCCGGCTCTTGCTCTAACAAGTCATCTTGAGGGTCGTTTTGCTATAAAATGGAGATACGACCTAATAGGGATGTGATACAATTTATACTTAACTGGACGTTGCTCGGAAAAAACCTTAATCGAAAATGGAAACTTGACGAGGTGACAATAAATTCACCTTTAATCTCTTGCGTGACATGTAACAACATGTAGTTGGTTCTCAGAAATGTCTATGACTATGTGCGCGCCGAAGCGGACGGCAGCCGGAAGTTGAGAGTTTATGCATGCGCTACAGATTTTTGTCTAAATCTTTTAACTTTGTTAAAAATGTCAAAATCTTACGAAATCGAGCCTGGAGAAGTTGCATAACACCTTCCCCCATCCATCCCTACTATGAATGCGAGACTGAATTCACCACTGTCATACGATCAGGCGACAAATAATTAATTCAAATCAATTGATGCACATGGATTCGCAATCTGTAGGTCAGTTTTTTGCACTTGTAGCTTGAAAAATTTTGTATTTTCACTAGTTTTCACGCAGTAACTTGTATAGTGGATGTTTAATCAAGGAACTTACCGAGATCTTGCGCGATTAATTTTCTCAGTTATTCGCTAACTTGACTTATCACTCACTTTGACAGTAGCTGATATTTTGGATCTTACGCAACAACCTCCGATTGATTGGCTACCCAGATGGGGTGACGCTTTTGTCACGAAAGCGATGACGATTGGACAGTCCTATCAAGAAGAATTAAAGGACAAAGATCTGCGCGATTGCTGTACATTTTGTACCATTGACATCTTAAAGATCTTTGAAACTAAGCTGGAAGACAAGATTTACCTATAAGGTTAGCGCTTTTAGTTGTGACAGCTTCAAACTTACGCAATTTCGTCGCCACACCCCCCGTTGCGTCTTAACAATCTTACAGCTGTCTCGTTGCATCTTAATCAACCGCTGAAGGGTATCGAGGCGCTGCCGTAAAACACTGGGCTTTTACCGGTGACATCAAAATGGGGGGACATGTATCGAGGACTGACTTCGAATGGTCATACACAGCCGAACCACATGCTTCAAGAAGGAAGGAAATTTTAGGTAAGAAATGCAAACATCGAGCTCGTTTTCTTTTTTTATCGTTAAAGGGAAGGACTCGAACGCTCTCAGATTTTGCGCTTTTTTGCTTTGGCAGACGATGAAAATTTATATTTTCACGCGGAAAGAATTGCCAGCACAAGTTCACTCTGGTAACCATTTTCTAGTTGACTCTTTTATTGTTTTGATCAAATGGTTTTCTCCCGAAGGGAATTCATCTGAAATAAAAATTCTCACCCTTCTTTGTGAATAAACGAGAGAGAAATGCCGGTTCCGTGCATCGGGATCTGTAGCCGCAGGCATCAGGAATCATGGCCGCTCTTGATTTAGTATTGATTTAGTATGAAATACGAGTATTTAGTCATCGAATTTTCCACGACTGTATCAATTCTTCTCTCAAAAAATTTAGACTAGAGAACCCACATGGAAGAGCATTTCTTATTTCAATCGTTACACCTAAAGGACCATGTTATGCAATGAGATTAAACAAACCTCGTGTAAAAAGTATTATGATTTTCCACTGAAAAACTTAACAGTATCCAATCTGAACTAAATGAACCTTGTTCAATCTCAAGATCGAACGTATTATTTTGGATTGCTTCGTTTCTTATGGCCTTAGTCTGATATTCCAAGCTGTAGTAGTACAAAATGAATTATTTATTCAGTGTCAAGCTGAGTTGTCTGATGTACAAAGGGCGAAATAATATCATCCGTCGGGCCTGATCATTTTCCGTTTTGCTTGGAAAAAGTTTGAACAGCTATCAAGATTCGATTGAACAAAAGTAACATTTATATTCACATGTACTCTCCTGAATGACGAGGCAGGATACAGCGAAAACAGTTCATCAAATAAGTTATATAACAATCAAAACAGAAATTTACACAGATACGGTAAATGTATGCAAAGAAAAGTAAAACCACTCCTTCTCTTTCTCAGTCACTTCTTGTGACAACAATAACAAAGAATAACGAATCTTTTCATGCTCACAATAGGAGATGTTAATATGAAGTAATAAGAGAATTATTTAGCATTTACAGGCAAATCTTTAACAAGCGAAGTTAAATCGTTACTGGAAATCCAAGGACTAGAGGAAGTGAAAGGTTTCCTAACCACTTCTTACCCATTCAAAGTTTTTTATTTTAAAGCAGAAGAGTGAAAGAAACCAGACTAATATAGGAAATGTGATATTATAAGGTAATACAGGAACTAGACTTTTTATTCAAGGAATCATGTTCTGACTACAAATAATTTTTTTTTTTTTTTGGCGAAAGAGTTTGTATTAAGGTCTTTCAACTGATGAGGAATGTCTTACCAGAGATTTAGTGCATGATCTATGAGACCATGAGAAAAAATTGCTTGTATTTTCCCACTACCTGCAGTTTTACAGAGTTTTTAATAATAACTAGAGTTACCATTTCATTTCTCTGTTGATGTCACCTATTTCTACGATCAATGTAGATTTTTTCATCAACCTTCAAGTTGCAAGTGTTTTATCTTTTCTCTGTGACAGATTCTGAAGTTACCATTTTATTTTCTCTTGATATCAACTTTTTTTTGTGATCAGCACAATAAGTTTTTGTTCACTAGTAAAATATTTTCTGTTTTCTCTTTTCAGCTAAGTACCCCCAAATCAAGAAGTTGATGGGCTATGATCCAAACTTCAAGTACCAAGTATTGCTGTTAATTGTGATCCAGTTCACATTGACATATGTGCTGAAAGATTTCTCCTGGCCTATCATCTTTTTGGCTGCATATTTTGTTGGTGGCGTCATCAACCATGCATTACTCCTAGCCATACACGAGATCTCCCACAACTTGGCATTTGGCCATGCACGACCAATCCACAACCGAATCTTCTCACTGATTGTAAACTTTCCTATTGGAGTACCATGTGCCATCTCCTTCAAGAAGTATCATTTGGAGCACCACAGATACCAAGGTGATGAAGAGCTGGATGTGGACCTGCCCACAGAATTTGAAGCCCGTTTGTTTTTTAACACATTAACCAAATTTTTCTGGGTGGTATTTCAACCATTCTTCTACTCATTCCGCCCAATGTTTGTAAACCCAAAGAATCCTTTGGCTTTGGAAATCTTCAACATTATTCTCCAGTTTGGTGTTGATGCAGTGATAGTGCATTACTGGGGAGGAAAGGCACTTGTGTACATGATTGCAAGTTCATTGTTAGGTATGGGGCTTCACCCAGTGGCTGGGCATTTTATCTCAGAGCACTACATGTTCGCCAAGGGTTTTGAAACCTTCTCATACTATGGCCCTTTGAATATGGTCACCTTCAACGTTGGTTACCACAATGAGCATCACGATTTTCCAAGTATTCCTGGTTCCAGACTACCCTTGGTGAAAGAGATTGCACCAGAGTACTATGACAACTTGCCACAACATCACTCCTGGACAAAAGTACTTTTTGATTTCATCACTGATCCAGCAATTGGACCATATGCTAGGATGAAACGAAAGGCTATGAAGCCAAAAAATAACAAGGAATAATAGAAAGACTTGAACCAACCGAGTGAGGAGAAAAACTTGTTCTATCGGCAGTATCTTGTGAGATGTAATATTGTAGTTTGATGTCAACAGACAGTAGTACTTTGATAGTATACTGTCAGTTAGGGGTAATTATGGGTTATCATGAGTGGTATTTAAAAGGCTGAATGTTTCTGTTGAAGTGATGAAGATTGATCCCAAAAAATAAAAAGTAAAATAGTAAAAGTTTCCTTGAGGCAAAGTTACTGGACACTTTAAGGGAAATTTGTTGATTTTGAGGTCTCAGAATTTTTCTTTGTCCCACACTTGTGACAAGACAAAAAACATCTTTTTCTATTTCTTTATTGAGCATCTCTCATTCTATTTACAAACATGACGCTATCGACATTGCTGATCCTAGCAGTATGCAGGATGCGTGTCATATGAACTTTGTAATAGACCTCGTTCTCCACAGAGTCTCTCTGGCTCAGAAGTAGAACATCAGAGTAGTTTTTCTGTTTTCGCACTCATAACAAAACAAAAACATCTTTCTGTAATCTTAGATTGTTTGTTAGCAAACCAAGAATTTTTTCCTCTAGAAAGGCTTATCTGTAGAGCAGTGTTCCAGGTTTTTAAATTTACTTTGAGAATTTTTTTACCTTTAATGAACCAAGTTTCATGAATAAATACACAAATTAACTAAATTTAAGCCTTTTTACAGAAGTATTTTCTTATTTATTATTTTCAAAACTTCATGGAATTTATGATGTCAAAATAATATAGTGTACAGTTTAAGTCCTGAAGGTTTTTGTTTAGGGATGTTTGAGGTTATAGTTATGATATTTCTTCTATTCCAGAGAGAATTGGTTAACAATATTGAGAAAGATACTTTCAATCAGGATCAAAATGCTAGAAGCAGACTTACAGAAACCTTCCAAGGACTGATTAACTCTCCCTTTCAACTGTGGCATACTTCCTGGTAAATTATTTAAGTGAATGCACATGCAGTGTTATGTCAGAAAATACACCTTGCTTCAAGGATTGACTTTCATAGTCCCTGCTTTTGTTGGTTAATGTAATTATACTGAAATTCCTCATGACATGCACCTAAATCCTATTCTCAGCCTTGCAGGAGTAAATGAAACTAATAGCAGATGATCATGTTGAAATTTTGCATATATGTTATTACCTGTACTTCAATATCAAATTCCTAAAAGAAGAAGATAAGTTAATTGAAATATAACAAAACTAAGAAATATTATTTAATGTACTCTCAAATAAAATTAAATCATTGCAAAATTGTTTTAGGACTTTCGATTTGAAATAAACTGAATCATTTTGGGAAATTGAAACCAATAAATAATTAAACATTTGTGTGTTTTCATTAAAAAGAAATTTCATTGAAACTGCAGATGAAAATCATGGGAAGCAATGATCATGGCAGGATCTTTGATTTGCTTGATTTTCATGATCTCCTGTTCATCTCTTGGTGGTATTTTTTAAACCAAATGATATCTTTTGAAAATTTTTGTACTTATGCTTATTTGAAATTTATGTCTGTTATCTTTCTTAAACCAATTGTTTGGTTAGTGTTGTAAGTGACAATGTGGCAGAGATAACAACACTACAAGGATTCACTAAAACTTGCAGATTTATTTTCAAAAAGCAAAAGATAAAGTACTTGCAAACAAAGATGATGGCAGACTTAAATGTAGTTGTTGACTGATACAGACAGACTTGCTGGTAGGGGTTAGAACCTTGATGTAGATTGAAACTTAAATGTTGGAAAAGCTAAACTACCAATTGTAACATAAATATAAAGAAGCAACAATTGAAGGCTAATTGCACTTACAATTGTTACAAAACTCCCCTGTGTACTGGAAAGTGTGAACACTTGCAAAGAACTGTATTATAGACTAAACTGCATTGTTTGCATAGAAGGGTTGATGAAAAATTTCTGTCCTCGAAAAAAAATTAAACATAGAAAAGGGTAGGTCAAAAATGACAATAGACTTAACACCTGTAAAACAAAGAAATTGATCAAAACAAAGTAAACCGAGATGGTAATGTTAGGTAATGAGCAATAATGATTAAACTGTGAACTTAGATCTGAAATAAGCACAAATAAAGTGAGAAAGTGTGAAGCAATTTGTATGACCTGTTTTTATTTCTGGCACTTTGAAAGATCTTTGGCACAAGCTATAACAGAGATAAAGTGGATTAAATGCAGGCCCTGACTGGGTCAATGTGCTGTGATAATGGGCAAGACACCACCTAATAGTGAAATCAGTTTATGGTAAACTGCCAAGAAAAGCAGGTTATATCCTGTGGGTGAAGGAGGAAAGACTGACCCTTTACAGTGTTGGGCACACAGTCCAGATCTGGTTTCCAGTCATCAGTTTGAGTGGGTATAATTTCAGTATTAGTTGCAATATATGGAAGAAAAAGGGGGAGATTTTGGACTATATAGCTTGAATTAAAAAAAGTTTGATTATTGTAAAATAAATAACTGATTTCACCCCCATGATCGAAGACCAATTGAAAATAACCCTCAGGTATACACCACCCAAGAGGGTATAGAAGAGATTTAAAAAAACACTCAGATATACACAACCCATGAGGGTATAGGAGAGATTAAAAATAGCCTTTAGGTCCACACTACTCAGAGGGTTTAGAAGAGATAAAAAAATAACCCTCAGGTATACACTACCCATGAGAGTATAGAACAGATTAACTTATCATCAACAGATTTAAGTAAATGTGTAGACACCAACTGACTGCAAGTGTTAATGTAATTCTCTAAATTGATGACAGAAATGACAACGCCTCTGGAGAGAGCATGCTACAAATTTTTTTCAAGGCAGAAGCTCTTCATAGGTAACTATGCAGATACTTGGTTTGGGACTACAGAAATTCAGCTTAGCAAGGTAAACTAATACATGTGTCGTGAGAAATATACTTTATTTCAATAAATGATGTACAAGTTAGGCATGTTAAAGCCTTGGTTTTAGAAGTTGACCCTCATTTCAAGAATCACTCAGTGTTTTTCAGATCTGGGAATGAAATGAGGTCTCAGCAAATCCATTAAAAGAGGAGAAGTTTCTTAAACAATTAATTTCTTTATTTTTGATAAGTTTTTCCTCATCTCAGTCACGAAGTTAAATTTGACTTAAATTCTCACTTTTTATCTTTAAAATAACCTTTAACAATAACAACTACATTTAGGATCGGTTATTTTTTTAATATGGTTGCTACCAGATTATCTGCCATAAAATGTAGCTCATAATATTTATTCCATTACACACTGATCTCAAATAAATGTTGTCTTTGTGATTATTGAATGTTGCAGACTGAGGAAAAATTACCAAGAAATGACCCCCTTACATAATGCTATAACCAGCCAGAAGATTTTGGGGGTTATGAGATACAAAATAATGAGGATGGCAAAAATTGGTGACCTTAATCATTCTTTGAAATCTGTACAATTATGGTGAGACATTGCAAATCAAGAAACGCTTCAGTTTTAAATAATGTTTACATGTACCTTGTAATGATTTTACATAATTGTTAACATTACGAGTTAATAGAGGAATCCCTCCTCACAAATGCTTAATATCAAATGTACACTGTGGTGTTTACTTGATAAGTATATACCGTTTATTAGTTTTGTTAAAGTTTAAAGGAAAATGATGCACCACAGGAACACCCTGTTTCTGAATTAGGGTTGAGTAAAATTCTGAAAGCAGAGCGTATAAGTTCTTCATGGTAGTCCACTGTGGAACCTTTCAGGTACTCCAATGAAATTTCATCAATGACAACCTTTGCACCATCTCTTTCAAATATTCTAGAAGAAAAGCACATTAGAAAATGAACTTTTTAACTCCCAAGATATGAATGTTACTTCTCCAACCTAGCTACCACATACTCCCTTCGAATTCCTTGTAAATTAGTGCAGTCTGTTCATTGAGAGTGACTTATTAGGCAAGGGAAATTAATACACGAAAAAAACTGCACTGTGCGTAAATTTAGTCGAATTTGTGTGATGTTTTTTTAAGGGGAGAAAACCCCTTTCAAGGGACAAAGATGTTCGCAAAAACTATCCTGGTCCTGGGAAGCAAATTGTTCGTGCAACTTGTTCTTGCAATGTGTTGTAGCTGCATGTCACCAAGTCTATCTGGTCTCTTAATCTTTCAGTGAAATGTATACTAATAGGAAAGAGAAAAAACCTTGGTACACAAACCTATCATCTTCGCTGATATCAGAATCAACGTCAAAGGCGTATTTAAATCCTGAACAACCACCTCCCTCTACTGCTACACGAAGAAATCCATCTTTGTCATCTGGGAATATCTTTTTCAGTTGCTGTTAATCAAAATTACAAAAGAACAAAATCAAAAGATGAGTCACCCTTTCCTTTAATTAGGAACAATTGCAAGATGGAGGAAATGTTACACAATCCAACCTTTATACAGTTGTCACTCAGCTTCAAGTCTTGGGAAGCCGCTTTGTTTTCTTCCTCTACTGAAGAAAACTGCCGAACGAAAGGTAAATTTTGTTCTTTGAAATAAATGCAACGATGTATGAGTGGTAAAACTTGACTTCTACAGGCGGGTGATGAAATTTTTCGCCGTACAAAACGGCAGGCGGCCATCGCCGTCATGTTTGTTGCTGTTCTTGGTAGCCGCGCCTTGTAATTATTTCTTCATGACCTTGTGAGATTAACCAGCGGTTAGAAAAAAAAGAATATGGCGGACGATTCGAAGGTAAAACAGTGTTTTCTGTTTTTATTTTTTTTTTGCACATTTTAACTCAAAGCGGGGCCCAATTTTTGCAGTTCCTGTTTTACATGATGCTAAAGGCGAATTTCATATGGTATCACTTCCTATGCGAGGAGCTCTATTTTCTTATTTGTTGTTGTTTTTTTAAATTTGATTTAACATGTGATTTTCAAGGAAGAGAACAGTTTGTCTATTGACGAAACCCTCAAGTTAATGCCCTGTTGCCCACGATGTATTTTACGACTTCTTGGAGAAAGAGACACCGACTCATACACAGACAGTGTTGAGGTAAAACGCCGAAATCCTATCGTAAATTATCTATCAATGGAGTGCCCTCGTGGTGTACCCAGAATCCGAAGCCTTTAGACTTAATAGTGTGGCACCGGTACAATGGTTTTTTTCGGCGGTGGGGTCAGTTGAGTTGCACATCTCCCTGATCCTCATATCTTCCCTACTCTCAATTTGTCCTCACTCTTTTAAATTTTAAACCCTCTTTCCCCATTTTATCCACACATCATGCACAATACATTTTTGTTATTTACTTATAACTCACCTAGTGTTGAACTCGCAATCTGAAGTTCTCTATCGCTGGACTACAACGACCTCGCAAAGACCTCTGCACTATAGTTTTTTTAAAAAATATTTGTCATTTCCCACCTCCGCCCTTCATGACTTTATTTTCATTTACAAATAGTTTTATTTCTATTGTAAACAGTGGCTAAACTTCAGAATACCCCGCAACTTTGGTCCGCCTCACTTACATGTGTCGGGAGGCTTTGAAGATCTTAGATCTAAGATCTATTCTTATTCAATGACATGTAAATGAGTTGCGGGGTAATCTGAAGTTGCTCCTAAACAGTTTTATTTCTATTGTAAACAGTTTTATCTATATTATTAATAGTTTTACTTCGAATTGTCTGATTAGAATTTCATCTCTTATTCTATTTTTTTAAATTCACTTATCCATTTATCTATATTTCATTGTGGCATGCCAGTGAAGTAGCTTGTGCAGTCTTTTAAACTTAACCAAACAGCTAAGCGCATGGTTCCACTCTGAATAAACTATTGTATTATGTTTTGCATGTATTGTCTGTCATTCTTTAGAGAGAAATTGAGAGCATTTGTGTAGCTTGTCTTGGTATCTTGGAAAAGGCTAATGAAAGTGCTTTCATTGATAAGGTAAGTTTGATAGAGATGAGTTAAATTGATATCCTGTCCATGCTCTTGTTCTTGACATGGAAATATTTTTATCTACAGGGCAAGGGTTTCTTTCTTTCTTTCTTTAAAAAAAGGGAAAAATAATGATCCAAAGTGGAGATGTTATTGGGAGAAAAATAAGATATATCATCATATGACCTGTGCAGTCCTGAGTATGCTTTTATTGCAAAACATTTGACAAAAATCCCTGTAGGTCAGGCTGGGTGGGAAAGTTTTTGGCTCCTTAAGTCATGATGTAGTGTATGGTTTAAAACCTAACACAACAGTTGGCCATGCAATGTAGTTGTTCTGTGTAGGGTATTGTCTTGAAATTAATCCTTTCACTCCCAAGATCTTATTAGTAATTCTCCTTACTGTCTGTTATACAGCTCTTGTGATGTTAGTTCATAGAATTTGGTATTGAATCAACTAATAATCCCTTGACTGATATATTTCTATATTCTCATCACTTGCATGCTTCATATTGTATTGGTATTGTAAGGAGAAATTCTGCCTTCATCACTCATGATAGTTAAAGGGTTAAGGATGCTGTGGCTGAGAATTCCTGAGATATTGACAGCCTTAAGAGAGGTCATTATCAGAGTCAACTGAAGAGTTGTTTGGCAGTACTTCTCTGTTTATTTTAGATACAATCAGCAGTCAAGAGTAGTGGTCATCAGTTTGATAGTTTTGTGTTGGCTGTTTCTGTGTCGCATTCCTTGACTCTTCGCCAGGTATGGTCCAATGAGTAATTAATACATTAATTCAATCAATATGAAATTACATCTTTAATTTTTGAGTTAGATCATTCACTAAATATAATTTTTGTGGTTGATAAAAATTTCAATATAATTTAAAATCATTGTGTAGATAGTTGATTGAAAATAGCTTCTTTTTTTTGTTATCGCAACAAGTGAAACCCAAAACTTGACACTGCTTAAGAATAAGTGTAAAGCTGAAAGTGTAATCCTGAGTACTTTTGTTGCATACATATCTTAGAAGAGACTTTTGAATTTTGTTTATAGCACTCATTATCCATATTTCTACAAGAAAAATTCAGGTATGTGTTGTTGGATGGCTTTCCTTTACTCAATAATTTTTCTAAATGATTTGACTGTGGCGTGAAGACATATGGTAGGTTGCATTTTAATCTGCACAGTTTGCTGAGCTTGAATTATCTCATTGGTCTTTTATTCAGAGGGAGATTCAGGAAGTAGGCTTCCTTACTTGGCCGAAGAGAAATGGCTGTGAACAGGGTATTGGGATGGTTCAGGGGTATTTTGAGGCACTTCCTCAAAATGTACCTGTCCTTTGACTGGGGTGAACATCTTTTGTGATGTACATCCTTTACCTAAAGGTTAAATTTATATTTCAGAAAATGCAAGAGGGCCAAATTCTTGTTTTCCTTTATGGGGCTTTTCTAAGTACTAATATTTTGTTTGATAATGTGGGATAAATATTGTTATTTTATCCTCTTGATAACTATTTTCTTTTGGTTTGTGTTACAGTTCAGCATTTTCCAGAAAGGAACTGGATGAGATCCCAAGAGTCAAGGATGTGTTCAAATGGGTTCTTGGTCCAAAACTAGAGGAAAGATTACAAGTTAACTATAAGCCATTGGTAAGTTCTTGAGATCAGGTGTGATCTTCAATCCAAACTAGAAACAGAAGACAAGAAGGTTAGGGAGAATTGAACAAGATCAGCAAAGCAAAAGCAATTGTGTAAGGGTCTATTTGGTTACATTTGGATGTTAACCCTTTACACCCTGTGAGCAGTATGCATATTCTCTGTACTGTTATATACATTTCCTTCCAATGACAAGAGGAATTAGTTTGACTGTCAAGAGCTTCTTCAGATGGTGATCATTTCCTTCATTCTCATGACCTTAATGTTGATTCAGCAGTGAGATTGTGTGAAGAAATTAGATGCTAGTCACTCTCAGGCTTACAAGGTTCAAGGTAGTAGAAGGAAATGGATATTTTTACTAGCTCTTGCTTGTATTTTTTACAGGTTAACCAAGCTCAAAGTCTACTATCCTCTTTCCTCGGTTAACACATTCCTCACGATTGACATGGAATATTCTAACAGTGTGCCATATGCTTGTCATACATTACCAGAGCACAATCTTCCCTCCCCCCCCCCCCCACTATTGACATGGAATATTCTAACAGTGTGCCATATGCTTGTCATAAATCACCAGAGCACAATCTTCCCTTCCCCCCCCCCCACTATTGACATGGAATATTCTAATAGTGTGCCTTATGCTTGTCATACATTACCAGAGCACAATCTTCCCTTTCCCCCCTCACGATTGACATGGAATATTCTAACAGTGTGCCATATGCTTGTCATACATTACCAGAGCACAATCTTCCCTTCCCCCCCCCTCTCCCCTGGCACTGTGCCTTTATATTTACTCTTAATCAACTCACACACTATTCCTGTTTGGTTAAAAGAAAAAGACTGCCATACAAGCCTTATGCCAGTGGTAAAGGGTCTGACCTTAAATTCTAAAGCTCTGAGGTTTGAATCCTCATTGGCAACTAAAAATTTTCCCATTAGTTTTTGTGGTGCTTAAAAACACTTTTGAATGATTGATAGAATTTTTTATTTCTTCTGTAGAGCCCCTTCAAGATTTCACTGGATTTTACCCATAAAGATGCAGAGAGAGAGGTTGAGTTTCTGTAAGTACTTGCAAGTAGGTAAACATTGAATATAACTTTTTTAATTTCTTTTATCTTCAAACGTCCAATAGAGAGGAAGGTCTGCAACAGGAAATTATGTTGATATTTATTTGTATTATTTCTCAAGCATAGAAATTTGATGATGTAAGTATTCATCCTTTATGGTAAGCCATGAGATGGGTTTTTGTTTGATGAAGGATTTCTACCTTTTTTCCTGTAATGAGCAGAAATGATTCACCAAAGTCAAGGCTGCGACAACGGAGGAAACGACATAAAACAGAAGTAAGTCGTTTATTAGATCTATGACTTCACTTTGTTTTGAAACAGTCAGAAAAGTTGTAACAATTATACTGCAAGCTGATTATCTTTAAATGTATCTAATATATGGTGGTTTCAATTGTGGCAACCAGTTTCAATTCATTTTTATTTGCTTCAGACTATGTTGGTGAGTAGAGGAAACATTTAAAAAAAAATTTAAAAGTCAAATTGGAAAGTGTTGAAAGCGCGGGAAAACGCGAATGACCAAGTTGCCATTGGTTTTAGTATCGAATTCTGATTGGTTGAAAGGATGCCGCGGGTTTTTTTAGACCAATCAGAGCGCAAGTAAAGCAAAACCAAAGAAATCCCGGATTACTCTTAACACTCAGTTGAAATGTCCCTCTTTGGTTTTCTGGCAGAACAATCCAGAGGAAGGAAAACTTTCATCGTCATCTGTCAACAAAGCTCTTGCGGAACTATCAACTGTGGATCTCCTAAAAAGGTAGCTGTGACACTACTTAAACATTTTAGCAGTGCAGTTTTACCGATGTTTATCGCTCTGACGTAGGGCTAACGCTCGAAACGTCAGCTTTGAAACTCTTTACGGTTGCTAATTTACGTTATCAACACAGTTGATAAAACCAAAGTATCTTGTTATTCTCCCCTACCGATGCAGCACCATAGTTCTTTAGAAACTTACCCTCTTTTTCGATTTTTTTTATCTCTGTTTCCTCTTTACGTCCTTGCGTAGAAGAAGAAGAAAGACACGATTTTTTTTCTCGGTCGTCGAGTGAAAAAGTTGAAGGAAATATTTACTCCAATCTCTTTCCCCTGCTAGCTGACCCTTTGATGTTAATCCTGTTTATTTTCCTTCAGAGTCACCGACTGCCCACCAAAGTCAGCTCAGTCACCCATTGAGTTATCACAGATAACATGTGGTCACGATTCCATCTATATTGCAGGTTTGTAAACAATAAATATACCAACGAGAGATGTTTGTTTTGTCATTATCGTGGAAGAAAGAATAAAATATTGGGTTTCTTCACCAGTAGGCGGAATAGAATATGTTTTCAGTCGAGCCGAATTCACTTGTAACCCTCTGTCAGGATAATTTAAATGGAGGTGCACTTGATGGGATCGAAGATTTTGGGAAGAAATCATTCACATACTGATTGTTTTGTTTAATTATATTTGTATGGACTTTAGGAAGATACAACAAGTATTCACGAACTCTTCCTCAAACGCCTTGGTTAATCGACAACGTTCGACTCCGCGAGTCGTCAGTTGAGGTAATGTTTAACCTTAAAACTTGCACAGTTGATAAACATGTTATTGTAATCTTTCCTTTCAAACTTAATGCGTAAACAAGAAAACAGCTGAAGAGAAGATACAAAGCTATCAGCTACATGGTTATTTTAAATATGAAGTCAAATTCTCCCAAACGTATGCACAAGGAAATGTATAGTAGTGAGAAAGAAGAAGAAATAATCCAGTCATACACATTTTAGAGATAGTAAGTCTTCGTAAATGAAGTGGTTAATTCAGGTTTTCAATAACTTTTTTCATAAGCGACTGCCAATTAATGGTGTAATGGGAGGCTAAACAGACGGCTGTAAGAGGTCTTATGGGCAGCGGTCAACCGCTTGGCATCGGCTTTGATTGAAACCTCTGTCTAATGGGAATGTTTCCTAATTCTAAACCGGATTAAATGAAATGAACGTCATTAAGTTCTGTCTAACATCTTTCCTTCAATATCGTGTCGTCTGCTTTTCTGCAGGAAAAAATATGTGACCTCCTGACAGCCAAGGTCAGGTGTGACGGTATGTATCCTCTGTGTGTTGTGAGGGGGTAGGGTGGGTACGAGTTGTTTATTAGACATGTGATAAGGACGCTGATACGCGTTGGAGCGGCTGGGTTTGAGACCTTACTGTTTTCTTTATGGGGAGGAAAATATGTTAGGAAAAGTCACACCTCTACTTCCAAACGCACTCTGTTTGTTTCATTCAATTGTTCATGAATTATTTTTTGCAGATCATAAATTCGCCTCCGCCGGACGAGAAGACGTTGACGTGCGCATGCTCGGTAGCGGTATGTTGGCGCCACATGTTTTTTCAAGCTAACTCAGATACGCACATTGGAACATTAGATTCTACTCATAGATGATTATCTCGGTAGTACAGCATCAATTAGTTGCGGTTGTTGCTTAGCCCTTTTTTTATACTTAGTTTGTTCTACAATTGTTTTAAAGCACAAGGCATCGTTTCATTATTCCTGATGAATTTGGTTTCATGTGGCCAGTAAGTGAGTATGTCCTTATTATTGCTAGTTTCTGAGACCAATGGTTAGATTCCCTTCAAAATCTCAAATTTTTAGGCTTGCTTTAATCAAGTTCTTTTAATGCAGCTCACCTTATTGTTTTGATAATATTTTACAGATAGAAGAAAGATCGTTTCAGAGTTTAATTGTCTTGATCTTCTAGGGCTCGAACCTAGACGTTACAGTCCAGAATCTGTTACCCCTTACCGTGCCTTCTACGACTTTTAATGCGAGTATATGTTCAAAATCACAGGAAGGCCCTTTCTGGTTGAACTGATCAATCCGCGCATTACTCGTCTGAAGGAGTCTTTCTTCGCTGAACTTCAAAGAGAAATAAACTCTTCATGTTCCGACGTTGCCATCAGAGACCTCCAGCAGGTTACAAAGTAAGTGATCATGTAGCCATACGTTATTTTATTTTACAGAAATTCCAAGTGCGTATTCTTTAGATTAAGTCGAAGTTGTTTTCACTGTACGTGTAGAGAGTTTTGTTATTGAGATTGCCGCAACTTTATGTTGTAGGGAGCAGTGTCTCGCCCTGAAAGACGCGGAAACAAACAAGACTAAAACTTATCGGTAAGTCAACAACAATTCGTGGTGGGGTTACATATGATAACGCAAATTTTTACAATCCCGCTAACTAGAAAAAAAAAAGAAAAGAAAACGCGTGAAGAGACGGGCAAAACGTTTGAGTCTAGACTCCAATCCCTACCATCCCCTCCCCCCTACCTCTTCCAATTCCACTTCCTCGAAAGGAATATTGATGCTTCTCCTTAAACTGCTTCTCTGTCTGCAGGGCGTTGATATGGACTGAAAACGAAGTTACTGAAGAACAGCTTCAGAAACTTAATGACATGAAGGTAGAGCTTTTTCGTCCCTATATTTAAACTCTGATCATGAGCGGTAACTTCGCCGCACACAGTGTATGGTTTGAATAACTAACTTCTTCCTGGCGTGGGATTGTCATGTTAATGACCGAAAGAGACCTCGTGGAGTTAAAAACTTACTTTATGTAATTAGTCCTGTAAGAAATATGCTGCACTTTCTAATTGTTTACTGGTATCGACTACATAGGCAAAAGGTTTTTCACCAATCATAATTCAAATAGTGTGTCATTTTATCGCAGTTCTTCGTAACCATCCCTACAAAACAAAACGTTTCTGATTTGTGGACACGATTCTCGGATGACACACCTGTGAAAAAACCGTGGGTAGCAAAAGAAAATATCGTAGGAACTTGTCATAATGGAGTAACTTTTTCATAAATTATCTTGCCTGCATAGAGTTTCAATTAAATCGACAACTGATTTATTTAGATTATTGGAGTCTGACTTTATTTTCTGTTCCTTCACATAGGATGTAAAGATTTATCAGAAAACTCCTTTGCGTGTGTTGCACAGGTGAGTGATTACTTTCCTTTATGTTGAAGTGTATCTGTCTATCTGAATCTCAAGATGTTTAGCCTTTTTTATGTGATAACTCCATTCCTATTAGAAAAAGAGGCACGCAATGGGTAAGCTAGTCTACGGAAGTCTTTGTTTTTAGCGAGTATCAAGTGTCCTCTTATGAGGCTCGAATATCCCCTTATAAGGTTCGCTTCTCTATAAGTGGAATTTCTTAGGCACCGCTTTTAGTTGAAAAGGTCGCTGAAATACGAGGAAAACCCATAGAGGGTTCATTTTGCAGAGCTTAAGGTGATGTGACTGGAGACAAACGTGGGTGATGTGACTCATGAAATGAGTGATGCTGCCATGACATGTTACCAATTCGTCGAAAACTGATACTTAAAACCGGCCAGAAAAAAAAAGCTACCCAAACAAGGCATAGCTCTTTGTAAATAGGCCATTTAACGTTGTGATAAAGATAACGATTGTGCTGCTAAAATCAAAACTGCCACTTCCCTGATGAAATTGATGAGAACGTTCACGGACGGACTCACGGGTACGATGACAAGGAGCCTTGGTCGCCTTGGGTACCGTAGACTCAAAATCGATAACTATTGTGGGATTGGTTGAAAATGCATAGATCTGTTTTTTCAGTAGTAAACCACTTAACCCCAAAGAGTGACTAGCATCTAATTTCCCCTTACAATAGCGCCTTGAATCAAACATTACGGTCACGAGAATAAAGGAAATGATCACCAACTAAAGAAATTCTGATTGTTAAAGAAATTCTCCTTGCCAGCGCCTTAGGAAATACACAGAAAACACTATGGGGAATATTAATCCTGATGTTAGGGTGTTAGAGGGTTAAAATACTTGATCAGGCTTGTAAATAATCAACTGCTTAACCCCTGCTTGGGAAGTTTTTAAATCATGTTATATTTGCTTTTGGTATTTTTTTTTATGTTTAATCGAGTGTCGCAGCTGTTAACTACATGTAGTTGTAAAGCTTACTGCACCTCCCTGTTTGGAAGGAAAGGTTGATTAGCGTTAAAACGTCTTAAGGTTCTTTTTTTATTTTTTTTTGGTTTGTAGGCGTCCTTTGGCTGTGAGGGAGCGATACATTTTTAGCATGAAATCAGAACGGATCGACTCCAATCACTGGAATCTTTTTCTTAAAACCCAGGCAGGAACGTATCCTAATGCCCTAACATCCGCTTTCCTCGTGAACATTAATTTACTGGGAAGGCTGTCGAAGGAAGTTCGGCATGTTACATTTAGAATTGCACCTGTTTACAATGATACGGTATAACGAGTGATAGCAGAAGACGTTTTCCTTAACTTTTGTCAAGTTATATCAAAGAGTTTGTTCATGGAGACTTCGGAAGAACGAAACCAAGCTTGGGAGATTTATTAAACGCTGAAACGGACATTTTAGAACTGGATGTAGAGGTAGGATTGTAATGATTACTTAAAGTAAATGTGTGACTTCAACAACTTGGTAACTCTGATGAGGTGAAAGTGATAATGCTTCGGTGTGGTGTACTGAACATATGCATTTCATTGGGAATAAACAAAGTCCCCTCGCGAACCACAAATGCCCCGTTATCGTTCTCATTGCACTCAAGATGCCTATCACTTTTAAACTTATCACATGGCCGAGCTCACGAACATCTGAAATCATACTCGCATCACAGCAAATTGGTAGGCATAATTAAACCGTCAAAAATGCTTTTGTTTTCTAATTTTTGATTTGTTTTTGTTTTCAGTCAGTGGATGTCGACTGGCCTCCAAGGAAAGATGATAACAGTGCATCAAACGACAAAAGTTAACTTGGTTGTCGAATGCCTCCTAATTTTTATACGCGAACCGCTAGTCAGAGAGTCTGGTCAGCATTAAAAACATTTGGCGTCACCTCATATCAGGCAAAATGGCGGAGTGCTGTGGAGGCGTTTTGCGTCGCGATGAACCAAAAGAAGTAAGACGATCACGACGACGATAACGTTACGATGATGATGACGATGATGACGATGACTATGAAGATGATGACGATGACGACGGCCAATAATGATGACGATGATGATGATAATTCATGGTGTCATGAGAGTAATATCAGCGAGCATTTGCTAATGAGGCTCTAATTGGAAACAAAGAATTGTTCCTAGAGCAAGCTTCCGAAAACAAGAAGCTAATGAATTACAACCCTAGGATTTATCTTATATAGTTTGTCTTGAAGACGCGCCCTTAAAACGAATCAGAAGACCTACTTGCTCAGATAATTCTTTTTTGTTTTGTATTTGATGTTTGAAACACATATACATCAGTCAAACATGTTGTTTACTTTCCCGTCTGGCAACTACCGATTAAAAAATATCTTACTTGCAGACGTCTAAACGATAACAACACCATTCTTGTATTCGGGTTTTGCCTATACTTAGGGTAAAATAAGTCTTAATATTGCAGTCAAAGGTGCAAATAGTGTAAAAGTAAATATTATCTTGGTTGTAAGACTGGCTGAATGAGGCGATTCTCATTTTCTATCTAAAAATATGAGCTTACTGCCTCATAGCTCGTCTGTATCCTCCATAACTAGTCTAATTGAAAGTGTTTACAACGTAACATAAAACAGTTTCACATGATCATAAAAGGCTTGAAAGCCTTGGTTATACAGTCTTTATCTAATCTAAATGTCTATACTGTGACGTTAATTAGCCTAACATGACACCCAGCGTAATCATAACTGTGAACAACGGAGGCAGTAACGAAATCATTAAGCGTGACCGTCTACAGCTAGTTGGAAGCAGTGCTCTGCTGTGTTTTCATTTCCTGATATTTTGGCGTTGCTTTGATAAAACCGCTGTCGATAAGACTGTACCCCATATCAAGTATGGTTGTCTTCTCGTCCCGGAACTGAAATCCAAAATCTTCTTTTATCTTTAGAAAGCAAAAAGAATAAGGAAATAAATAAGTGAGAGTGGGTGCGGGGTGGGACACACGGTATCCCCATGATTAGTTCGCTGGTCGTGAGGATAGTGTTTGAGATAGATGAGCCGGGTCATTGTGTGGTGCTCTAGAGCAAAACAACTTACTTTCACAGTGTTTCTCTCCACCCAGGAGTATAAATGGGTACTTGCAAATTGTTGGGGAAGCCTGATGAAATGCGGGGGGTAGCCTTCCCCCATCTTAAGGGAAGTCAGTAATACTCTTAGGCGCTTCATGCTTAAGAAAACCAGGATAAGCTCAAGCTGAATGGACCACTTGGCCTTAGTGCAGAGTTAATCTTATTACGAGTGAATTTCACGCGATGAAGGAACGAGATTGCGAATCGCACGATCTTATCAATCGACCACGCTACCTATGAAACTACAAGTCGAACCTTTCACCAACGCCCACCCAAAGTACTAAGTCTACATGGTTTCTTACGAGAGGTGGTCGCTAAGGGATGTTCGACTGTATAATCAGCCACCCCCAGCCCCTCTACACAATGTTGTATCTTTTTCATCGCCAACATTCACTTCACTCGTGTGCAACAATTTTGAGAGGCTGGGCGAGGAACAAGATGTAATTTAATGTAAGGATAAATGATGAAATCATCTTGTTAAGGAAGTCTATCAGTCAAGATTCTCAATTTATTTTGTCACTTGTAACACGAGATTGCGACATGGGAAATTCTCAAACTTCAAGTCCTTGTGGAGACTCGGATGTTACTTTGTCGACGTCCGTGACAATTTTTTTGATTTTAAATCCTTCTCTTAAGGCGATTTTCTCTTTGAGTTAGCTCAATGGATTAACCGTAAACACAGTCGTGAGGTATCTTTCTAACACTCCCTCTAAGTTACAGGTGCTAAAAGTTACCTTTTTGTTGTCCAACCTCACTTCTTTGTTCAGAACAGGTATGATCATCTTCACTGTGGGATCAAACCACGAAGTAATCTTCAGCAAGAATGTTGGAGCCACTCGAGTGGGTACATTGTAACCTGTGCCAAGGAAATACGTGTTTAACCCCAGAAAATAGTCGGATCAATATCAGTGTCTAGGCAACTGCCCACCTACCTCTCCCCTAACTCAACAACAGTCAATTGATAACAAGTTAGGGTTAATATCTGGTTAGGGGAGGGGTAGGTGGGTAGTTGCCCAGGTACTAATATTGATTCAAATAGTCTTATGTCATTTCCCTACCTTCCAGTCCTTCCCGGCCTTGTAACCTTCTTCTTGACAATGAACAAGCTTAAGGAACAGCGTTTGCAGGAAAGCTATGTGTTGGTTAGAGTCTAGTTCCTTACTGTGGGATATCTAAACAGTACGAATGCGCAGTGTCGCTAATTGGGTTGTGGTTTTTGGTTTACCGCCATATCCTTGTCACCCGTGTAATTTTTACAATACAACAGACAATTCAATCAGTGTAGACGTCCATGGTTTTGTGAGGTTAACCGTGATAATTAACGATTAACGAAGCCTTGACTGTGCACTGCTCTGTTGTAAAGCACACAGGGAGTGGCTAGAGCACGAAAGAAGCGTAAGGGAAACAATGAAGCTGAAAATAGGACCTATTTTGTTTTCTAGAGGATTCAAACAGAGAATATTTTCAATTCCGATATGACGATATCATTTTCAGTCACAGTTTTTAATGAGATGAATTTCATTTGATCTGCGGATAAAAATCAAACAAACAAATGATCCTCGTGGGCAGACTGTAATTTAAGCAATTTCAGTAAAAAGAAGCCGTCCTCCCAGATGCTCGAGCTACGACGAACTAAGTCACCGACAAAGCCACGTAAGGACTGAGGCACAGTTTAGAGCTTTGATTTTTCGCGTAAAGGAATCCCATCACCATTTTAAATGAAATAGATCACCTTTGACTTACGGATAAAAATCAAGCAAAGGAAGAATCCCCTCAGGTGGATTGTAATTGACGCAATTCTCAGTGTTTGTTCAACTTACCAACTAACTGTTTGTTCAACTTATTAACTAAACGTTTGTTCAAATTACCAACTTATCGTTTGTTCAACTTACCAAGAGGTCTAAACTCTTCATCCAGCATCTTTGCCATATCATCCCACCATAGGCAAACAGAAACCGTGACATATCTGTTACCTGGAGTAAAGAAAGCAACAAAATAACTTTATGTACCTCCCTCGGCAATGATTTTCTTAACGCCAGGCTACTCTGGTAATGTAGAGAGCCTTACACGTGCCAGAATACTTGTATGTTTAGATTTGGTATGAACATTCAGAACTTCATAGTTGTTTGTCAGTCAATGCCACTTGTTCTCTTGTGTTCAGTCAAGTGGTTTAACTCTAATTAATTAACACTGATTGAAAATTAAGCATGATGACTTTTTTTTTTATATACCTTTGCAGAGTCTATTTGCGCGAACCAATTATTTAACGGGGGGGGGCCGTCTTAATGGACATCTCTCCCCGTAAAGCGTCCTACCTCCAAATTTTCCCTATAACTCGTCATTGGGGTAGAGGGGAGACACAGCCAAAAAATGTATACAAAAAGCAACGGTATTGAGGGAGGGGAGGGAGGGTATCAAAGGTAAGTGTTCCAAGAGGGGGTGACCAATCGCTCTAACCTGGGGCTTTCGATGACGTCAATGCCATGATGTGTGCCGCTGCAACATCTCTGACATCAACTATTCCAATGGATAGCTTGGGTAACATTGGCATTTCACGGTTAAGGAGACGCCTGTGAATCTGAAGATAGGACAACATGTTTATCGAGCAGTTTTCAACAACCCACTTTAGGTATAACTCGATGAACTCATGGAGTTGAAAAGACCAGGAATATTTTAATCTTTGAACGGTACATGTAATGTCTGACAATATTATTTCAATCAGTAAATTTCAAGTCGAATTCATTTCCAATGAGCTAATGCCACTGATTTGCGTACCTCCATACTGGTGCATGTAGATCCGTGCAACACTGGTCCAAGGATAAGCCCAGGATTGATGCAACTGAGCTCAAACTTCTCATCATCTGTCGACAGAAACACGTGGAAATTTGAGCAAAGAAAACGAACATGGCGTGTTGCTAGAAACGCAGTTTTATTATTTCTTTCAATCTATCTTTCTCTCGTTCGATTATGCATGGTTTCTGCAGCTTACTTGTCCATTTAATCCACAGTGTGATTTCCTTACCTCCCCCCCTCGAAAAAAAAAACACGAACTTGGCAATAGTCTCGAAAAGCAGCTGTTATCCGGAAAAGGAGCATGCGATAAAAGCCTAAGAGTGCATCAGCAATGGAGCCAATCCTAACTAGAACCCAAAAATGACTCCCTCTCTCATCTCTTAAAACCGAGCTACGCGGTTAAGATTAGTATTGGGCCTGACCTGGTAAATTCTTGACTAGTTCCCATGCTGCCCTCTCTGCCATCAGCTTGCTCTTTTCATAAGGGATGCTCTCTTCCTCAGATGCCCAGTCTTCCTCATTAAAGAGATGGTCTTCACCAGCGCGCCCGCCTAGTGTTGGAAGAAATATAACAATACCTGTATACTATTTGGACACTGCAAAATACTCACTAAGGGGCTGATTAAATGAAAGGTGTTGGATCTTTCACCTCAGCTGGACTCATTCCCTGATAAAACTTAAACCGCGAGATTGGAAAAGCAGACGGTCAGTTAGTTTCCTGCTGTTCGAACTCGGTTCCAATAACTTTATGAGCCTAAAGCCACTTTTGTAACCAAAATGTAGGGTATTTTTCATGCAGTGCAACGTCTGAGCTAAAAAATAAAAATAGTCTGTTTCATCTGCTGATATTTTCACTATTTGAATTTCAAAACTATCAATACCTCGATCTCAGTATAAACAAACTTGCAAAGAGAACCTTTCAGCGGTTACTGCAAGTTTTCTAGACGAACGTGGTAAATGGAAACATAAATAATGCAATTCATGATTTTGCCCGAAATTATGACGAAAACTACATGTTCGCATCCACTCTCTTTGGAGTTGAGCGCTTACCATAGACTGCAGCACAAGAACTTGTGAGTACAACTCTTTTCACGCCGCCCTTGGTCTTGGCGCAGGCTTCAAGCACGTTCTTCGTTCCATCTACTGCGGGCCCAATCACCTCCATTTCATCTCTTGGAGTTGCAGCCGGGAAGGGAGATGCCACATGAATCACATAAGTGCAATCTTTAACGGCGCTGTGCGAGTAAGAAGCATAAAAAACCTTTAATTAAATTATAAGGGAAGTTAATGGTTGTGTATGGAATAAAGATAAAGGGGAAGTGGAAATTTACACCTCAATAAGAAAAACAAATAGCTTCCCCCCAAAATTAGGATGAATGTGGTTAGCTTCTAGAATGAGCATGAAACGGAAGGACAAAACAAAACATACAAAACAGACAAGACAAAAGATTCTCGACTCAGACCTTTCTGCTTTTCTGATCAGATGCCTCGTTTTTTATGGCTCTGATCTCACAAAAATGTCTAAAGAATGTCACACATGAACCTAGTACATGGCCTGGCTAACCAAAGAGCACTGTATGACTCACTGAGTTCCCAGCTGGTAGAGCAACTGCATGAAAAATTGAAGGCCCTAGGCACGATAACTTGCAGTAGACTAAGATTTTTGGTACTCTTGACAAATGCTTCACCAATCATTTCTTATTCGATAACAGAGCTTAAAATTTACCAACATTCTTTATCCCAAAATATCAACAATTTGAAAATTTCTATCTTCCACACTCCGTCAACTAAAAAACTCGCAAATTATGCGTGTACGTGAATGCGGACCTACTTTTCTGACCCAGTCTTCCTAGCTTGGGAGAGCACGACCACTGCACAACACGTATATTAAAAGATTACATCACCTCGATGAAGGTGTAAGCGGCACAACATAAACCAAAATAATTTTATTGTTTTGTCGTAAATCGCTCAAGGAAGGGTCAATTGCAACAATGTAGTCCAAAAACTGGTGCTTTAAACTGAGAAAAATCGATTTACGTCGTAGAGGGTACCTCGAACGAACAAGTGCATGATCTGAATATTTTGCAAGAATGTTTATCTTGTTCCCTCCACCATATCTTATTAAAAAGATTATAGAAAACCGTGTAATTCGAACGTTTAAATTGAAAAAGGAATTCAGCCATAATTTCTTTTATCCTCCTCTGCGCCGGAAAGGTTTAGAAGAACAAATTGAATCATAATTTTTGCAAATGAATCGTTGCTCACAGTATGCATTTGCTTGATGTAAATCGCCAGAGAAAATAAACAATGCGACACGTCCATGATGGGCACACCTCACTGAGCCGATATCGTTTACATATCATACCTTGCTATGGACGGGGTTTGTAAAAGCTACAATTAGTCCAAAAATTAAAAAATTCAGAGTTCTAGGATTAATCTTTATTTTTACTTAACGATATGCGGATATTTTCGGTGTTACAGCAGCTCTGAGGGAACACCCCGAGGGCTTGCGTGACTAACCGTGTGAAGGAGTGCCAATTCATGTTTTCTTTTTCTGCACTCCGATGATACAAGCGAGAGCTTGACCAAAGAAAATTAAAGGGAAACTGATATTGATCTCATAAAATATACAATGCGACACGTCCATGATGGGCACACCTCACTGAGCCGATATCGTTTACATATCATGCCTTGCTGTGGACGGGGTTTGTAAAAGCTACAATTAGTCCAAAAATTAAAAAATTCAGAGTTCTAGGATTAATCTTTATTTTTACTTAACGATATGCGGATATTTTCGGTGTTACAGCAGCTCTGAGGGAACACCCCGAGGGCTTGCGTGACTAACCGTGTGAAGGAGTGCCAATTCATGTTTTCTTTTTCTGCACTCCGATGATACAAGCGAGAGCTTGACCAAAGAAAATTAAAGGGAAACTGATATTGATCTCATACTTACTCAATCCAAGATTCTTTCTTTGTAAGATCTGCCTCGACCAATTCAAGCTCTGAGGACAGCTCTTTCAAAGGCTTCACTTTCTTTTCATTTGTTAGACTACGAACCGTTCCTCGCACGATGTATTCCCTCGAGTCCACCAGCTGCTTCACAACGTGCATTGCAAGAAAACCGGACGCACCGGTTACAAGAACTCGCGTCATTTCGATGCTGTTAGTTGAGAGCAACGGAGAAGAAGGTCAAATTTAGCAACCGGGTGTGATTATTTGCCCGACTGGTCAAGTCGACGCTTCTTGGGTGATTATTCGGGTCAGTCAGGAAGTGTTCAATTGGACTGGATTTGATCATGAAGTGGACGGCGGAACATGCACTAGGCACCGTAAGGAATACATGCTAATTCCTCATTTAAATTAAAGTTTTTTGTTCGAAACAATTTTACTACCCTGTAAAGACTGCTCTGATAACAACATCAGGTGGCAATCTGAGACTTGACCACAGACAAATCGATTAATCAAAGCTGATATATGAACAGTTGTTTTTGATGCTCATTTGGTAGTAGTGTCAAAAGCCGTACCCGTAACTCTTTAAATCAAAATGCTCTTTTCTTCTCTTAACGGCCTCTTAAGTTGTCCTCCTGCAATTGACGTATTGTGAGTGAAAGCATACAGAAATGGATACGTTTAATTTTGAAATGTTATTTCGGTAGTAGAGATCTGTAAAGTTCAAAGAAATCCTTTTATAGACATAAAAATTTTGTATGGAATTAACATCCCTTGAAAAAATATTTATGTCTGTTTGGCTCCAAAAACCCTGTAAAATTTTCAGAATGGTGCTCTATGATGTATTCTCGAAGCAAGATATGCATTAAATTCATCGCTATGAACACTACTGAACTAGTAGTTGAAATAAGACCTGAAAAAAAATTCAGGTCCCTAACGGGATTTGAACTCATGACCTCTGCGATACTCGGTGCAGCGCTCTACCAACTGAGCTAAGAAGCCATCTGGGAACTAGTTATTATATTGGATCTAGGTAAACCTTCGAAGTGGTGAATAATGGCTGTAAACATATGAAAATCATATCTGTGTACTGCTGTTGAAGAAACGAATATAGAATCGATCCTCGCGCTTATGAACACTACTGAACTAGTAGTTGAAATAAGGCCTGGAAAAAAATTCAGGCCCTTACGGGATTTGATTTTGTAGTGTTCATAACTGCGAGGATTGATTCTATATTCGTTTATTCAAGCGCAGTGCACACATATGATTTTCGTATGTTTACAGCCGTTAAATTCATCGTTATAATCAATATTATTAATAGCAATTGCCATTATCATTACTCAAGAGATTATAATCTCTTGCATTTCTGTCGTCTTAATTATTATCATAATTATCTCATTCAAGGAAATCTTTTGGTCATAATACTTAATTTTATCACTGGTTAAATCATAATTTTCTTATTGCTTTTTCCCAGTGTTTCTTGCTATCGTTGTTCCATTATTTTTTAATGATCTGGACCGTGGACAATTAGAAACCCGGCAGGGAGGGGTAGGAAAACTCTAGTTGGTTAATCATTGAAAACATAAACCGTATTTGCATAAATGTTCAAATTGTTACGAAATGTAGACTAAACAGCGAATGTTATCGTGGATACAAATGCGCCTAACTGTGCTATAATCCGAAATCAACCTTAGCTTATGAACGAACTTTAGCATCAGCCCTCGATTAACCTAAAGAGGTGCGTTTCAAAAACGAATTTTTAACGCGAACTCTCACTTGCGTAGCAACCGAACAATTAGGGATGAGGAGAAGGAATTGAAATTACGAGGATAGCTTTCTGCGTCCAAAACAGCTGGGGAGATTAATCCATAGCTGTGTTTGAACGTAACAGTCTTATCTATTTATAAACTGTTGTTAACTCCGATGTTTAACTAACATTTTCCGCTCCACCGCGAGGAAGACATTTTTACCATGGCGAGGAAGAAGAAAGGAAGTTGGACGAGTCGAATCTGTGCTGTTGTTATTATCCTGGCTTTAGCTGGCACAATGTCAATGAACATATTATTCATCTTACACACCACTTCTCGAGGTACGAGCCAGGAAAAGGAACCCATGGAATATGATCACAAGTTTCATAATGTTCCGCAGATTTCAGTTGCTCCTCCGGCTCAATATTGGTTGAATGGAAAGGGAAATTCGCTATCTCGTGAAGGTACGTATTTTAAAAAATGTTCACGCTTCTCGAGCTCGAATGTATGTATTTCGCTTTAGTCTTGCGTGCTTTTGAGGAATTTATTAGATGAACAACGTATAAGTTTGAAGAAAATCGCTTTGCCTTCCATAGAGTGTTTAAATCTCGGTTTAATACCGCTTATAATCACAACATTGGCATATCCAAGGCTCCAAAATGTAAATTATATATATATTTTTTGGAGCATATCAATTTACAGGAGTTCAAAGTATGCGTTAATTTATAGAATTTGGAAACAGTCAGCAGCGTAGTATTCTAGAGAATTACATCCTCTCGACTTTTATTTATCCAACGGTATTTACCTTCGGGTCAAAGACGTCGATACGGATATTGCAATTATTACTAAATGTTACACGAAATGCAGTCCAGTTGGACCATTAATTTCCCCGGTATTTTGACGCTGCTTAGGTTTTTTAAGAGTGCTTAATTTATTGGAGGTTTCTAACTATTACGCATGGAAAGAGGAAAAATAAAATTAGTCGTTATTTTTCTTTTGAACCAGACATTCTGACGAGTATGATAATCACTGACATCGCACTTTTTGTAGTGCTTTTGAATATTATTCAGTTCATTCAGCCATTAACAAATAGCTATTGTTTTGTTTTGCTTTGTTTCAAACTTTTATTTCCTTCTCTACCTTTCTTTCCTTAGGGATTGGGTTGCTAACGGCAACAGAGAGTAAATATGTAGATTTAGAGGTGTTCTCGAGTAAAGAGAATGTTTCAATTACCATCAACGGACAACAGGTGTGAAGAAAAAATTTCCTCATTCAGTTTTTACGTAATTAGTGAGCAAAATGGCGGCGCCGTTATCGCTGAAAACGTATTCTAGGCCCATTAAACCGTAGTTTCATGAGTAATTCATCAAAAATAGTAATAATAATTATGATCACAGTAATAATAATATTTTTAATAAAAATAATAAGTAATGGTAATAAGATTGAGTATAATCCAATTCATGAAGCGGAGACCAATTCGGTCTGTAATGCTACGAGTGATTAACATAATCGGACGACGACCGCGAAACGGGAGTCCGATTTGTTAATCACGAATATGATTACAGGCCAAATTGGACGACACGAAGTCCTGTGTTACCATTAATCAAAACCGTTACAATTTCCTAAAATGAATTACTAATTAATAATTGAAAAAAATTACAAATTTTCGAGAAAATGATTGAACCCAAGGTTGTGATTGGTTGATTTAAACTACAACTTTGAAAATGATTGGTTGATTTGAACAAGAACTTTGAATATGATTGGCTTATTGAACTGTCCGATTATTGACAATAATAATACTAGTAATAACGATAGTGGTGGTAATAACAATAACGATATAAATAAAGATGATTTGCACAAGTAAGTAAGCAAATATCCTTCCTTTGACGAAAAGGTTAAGAAGCAAACAATTTTTCCAGAGATTCCAGCTTGGGGAACACTGCGAGTTTTTACGTACAGATAATGCCAAAGGGCAGGAGCCCAATGGACTCCTGCAAAGGGTCACTATCTACAGTCCTGATCTAGGCGTGTATTATTTCTTCGCAAAGTGGAGGCCATTGTGCAGTTCGCGGGACGAAATTGTTACGAACAACTAACCGACAAAAACCTGTATTTCGTAGGATGTCGACTATTTTATTGCTTTGGTATTATTTAAAAGCTTACTTGTTTGGTTCTGTACAATAAAAGCGAAACGTTCTCTCATTTTGAATCAGATATCAAACTTAATTTTGTCGGAGTGAAATGTAACGTGTGAAAAATGGAGTAATACCTCTCCGGGGACATAACTCGGCTAGGAGCCACTTTAAGCTGGGTCATGTTCAGCTTGGTGAGACGCTCAGACTAAAAAAAAAAACAAACCTTTTTACTAGAAAATTCCGTTATTTTCTCGACGCTATGAAATGAATGTAACCGTTCAACATTTTGGAGAAAGTAAATGTTAAAGTCGTACCCAGACCCCTCATAGTATCTTAAATTGATTCAATATGTCTAATCAATAGATTTATGTGTTTTTTCTTGTTTAGAGGGTCGATATTTCCGAGATGCTACTAAGAGGACTGAATGTTGTAGTTTTAAATGAAGTAACTGGCGCTGTGATGTCCTCGAGATGGTTCGATACATATGAGTCAAAAGAGGACAGCGGTTATCTTATGGAATTTCTTTCAAATTTAAAAAACGGCAGGATAATCTGTTTTGCCGTGAAGGTGCGTACAGACGGAATATGAAGTATGGAGTTGTTTCTACAAGCTACGAACTTACGTGTATCCTATACGTGTTGGGAGATGACGAAATCTATCTATAATGAGCCTAACAATAGGTCTGTCGAGCGCAAGATCAATTCATCATTCTTTGTTATGAGAGGAGGAAGGGGTTGGGAGAAGGACTAGTTGCCGGGTACAGACTATTATCTTAAAAGAAGACGCCAATTTTGAGCTCGGATTTCGAGTAATAAAAGGATCTTGGGATCAAAAAGTTCTCAGTCGCCGCTAAGATTTCCGAAACTTAGACCTTCGGAATTTGCGCTCGAAGGCTCTTTTAAAAAGCTACGAGGGTGTCAAAGGGATGTTGGCTTTTACGGTTAACGGTTAAAATTTTGGCCGTTTTACGGCTAATAGTCAACCCTATTAAGACCCTCAGTTACTGAGAAACCTCTGGTTGACAATAAATAATATCGTTGTACCGTAGACGTAGGCGGGACGTATGATGAGCTGTACAACGCCTGATAACATGACCGATGCATTATCTATTCAGCAACCATAATTTTCATCTTGTGTACTCAGCTGAGCGGGTGAAATAGAAAATATGTGACAACGGACTCATTCCTTCTTATCGTTTAGGACGAGGCGTCTCTTTCCTTATCAGAGAGCACGCGCATGTTCATCAAGCGTTTGGGAAGTGCTTACATCGATCAGCTAAAGTGGAGAGGCATGTGGGTGTTTATTGTCCAACGGTTGGGCACTCGAAACATTGTGTACGGCGAGAGTTTTCAGGATGCACCGAATCTTAACCAGTGGGCAAGACCAGTGAGGCTACACGTAACCGCACAACTAGTGGCAGAAAATATTGTCAACTGCAAATGGGACGACTCCGACGCTACCAAGAGACGAAGAGAATTTTGTGAAAAATATGAAGGATATGGCAACGTTTGCAATTGTAAGTACATGTATAATCTGAGCTGTCATTGAGAGCCGGTAGCCCTTCAAAAGTGCTGGTTAGTGGGGCATCTTAAGCTTGTTACTTTCACCTTGTTTTACCATAAGTTGTGGTTAAAAATCGCATGATTACAATTAATGCATTATTATCTTACAAGCAAAATTTACCAGTAGCATGTTTAGATGTTTGCTCGAAGGTTTGTGTGATCTTCGTGGAATGCATTTCACCTGAATAGTTTCAAGTTTTTTCCAGGTATTTTTATGATTTTTTACACTCCGCGGAAGTCTTAAAATTAATAAGCCATAACATGCTTTCTGTAACTTCGTGAATTTGACGTAGTTCTTCATAGGGACTCATCAATTCCTTCTTTGTTTCTCAGGTGACAATCCTCTTTCGCTAGAATTTGACCCGCCCTCTTTTAGAGACAACAGCCGACTGAAGTTGCCCGTGGCGGTCATGGCTGGTAACAGACCAAGTTACCTACTACGCATGCTCTTAAGCCTTCGTAACGTCGAGGGTCTGGATCCTAGTTTGGTAACAGTTTTCATCGATGGTTTTTATGACGAACCTGCCTCGGTCGCTAAACTGTTTCAACTACATGTGGAACACCATGCAGGCTCGGGGAGATTAAACTCCAGAATTTGTCAGGTATAGCGTGCTTAGAGCGTTTAGTCGTAAAGTTGGAAGTTCCAAGAGGGTTTTCCCCATCTACCTAATTTTGTTCTATAATAATAATAATAATAATAATAATAATAATAAATAATATTTTCATTTTTGTGTTATTTCCCTCAGCATTACAAGAAATCGCTGACAGCTTCGTTTGACAAATATCCCGATGCTGATTACCTTGTGATCTTAGAAGAGGATCTCGATATGTCCGTTGATATCCTCAGCTATTTTAAACAACTTCTTCCTGTCTTAGAAAACGATGAAAGCCTATATTGCATATCAGCTTGGAACGACCAGGTATGTTTGGTGTTGAAAGGCTGGACTGTTCACGGAATACAGCTTAACTTTTTTTATACAACAAAATTGATCGCGACGCTTGAATCGCAAAATATTGATGCATGTTCTGAATTACTAATGAGTTGGGATGAGATGAAAACACATCTCGTCCACGAGAAGTAAAAGTATTCCAAATTCTCCCACCGACGCAGCACCACAGTTTCTTAAGAAGCTTACCCCCCGTATTCCATGTTGCTTGGACTACTTTTTCTACTTAAAATTCATATAACTCTTAATATTGATACAGATTCTGAATTGTTGAAATACCTGGTACCTTCTTCAATTTAACTTTGTAGGGTTATGACCATCTTGCAAATGATCCTGCCATGTTGTACAGAGTAGAGACCATGCCAGGATTAGGATGGTAAGGGATGCGTTAGTTATTAAGAATGGTACTCATACTAAAATTCAGAGATAAAACTATGGCGACCACTTTTGAAAAGGAGATTGCTTTCCTTTAAGATAGCAGCACAAACTTAAATAACAAACCTTGGTGATGAGGCAAGTTAGTTTACAGGTAGAATTCAACCAGGAAATGGAAGAGCGTAGGGATGGAGTCTGATGAAATCTATGATTCGTGTGTGGCTTCAACTAAAAAGGGCAAGCCTTAATCAGCAACAGTGATCAAACACGGAAAATTCTTGAAAGTCCTAATTAGATGCGGGCTGAACGATCCTTTCTTTTTCCCCATAATGTGTTGCACTCTAAATGGGAGTTGGTTGTAAAAATTTCAAAAACAATGATTGAATTTTTTGGTGAAAAATGGCCACCAAACTTTGTCGGTAGCCATCGCCCAACCCATTTTTCTCTACGTAACAAACCCCTCCTTTCTCCTTCAGGGTGTTAAAGCGTAAGATATACAAGGGGGAGCTAGAGGAGAAATGGCCGAAGCCCCATCAGTCAGCTGACTGGGATATGTGGATGAGGCTACCTTCCATCATCAAAGGTCGTGAATGCATCATCCCGGACATTTCTCGTACTTATCACTTTGGAGCCAAAGGACTTAATGTGGGAAGCTTTATGCAGAATATTTATTTCAAACATCATGCTCTGAACAAAGAAACAAATGTCAAGTTGAATGCGGAAATGATGTATAAGGATAACTACGAAAGAGAAATATTTCGTCTAATAGGGTAAGAACCTTGTTTTAATGTTAAAAAAAGTGAGCATCTAGCTGGAGCTAATCCCGGTTTCCATAGCATGAAGCTGCTAGGAGTATTACTATGCGATGCCAGTTCATCGTAAGGTTACCCCCCAGCTTTTCATCAGGCTTCCTTGAAAACTCACCGGAACCCATAACGCAAATCATTTTACTCACCTGCTTCACGTTTATCCAGTTGTTACCTCGTTAAACATTTAGGTTTTCCAGTTTATAACACGTAACCTCTCCTTTCTAGATCACTACATTATCTAGGGAAGAGTTGATGAGAATGAAAAGGTTTGTCAGCTACAGGGTGTCATTTTGACATAACAAAAACTAGCTAATTTTTCAGGCAAGCTATAGCAGCTGTAGGGGAGATCTGCGATTCAGATCTTCGGAGTGAGGAGATTAAAACCGAATGGCCCAAACACTTTCCGAAGTTTTCTTAAATGGTTTAGTAATGAACGATATTCTAACGTGAAGTTCAAGGCAGCAACAGTGAGCTTTTTGTTTTGCGTTTCAGTGAGGCTAAGCTTTTAAATCATTCCAAAAACCCGTGCGCAAACCTCAAAGACTTTGTGCCAGACACCGCTGGACAGACGTATTTGTTTTATCTACGTATGGATAATCCAAGAGACTACACCACGTGGTCCAACATAGCGCGTTGTTTTCAAATGTGGGATCTGGACCCCAGAGGATTTCATAGAAGTACGTGGAGATTCTGGATCAAGAAAAATCATATTTTGGCTGTTGGGTGTCCTGCTTCTGTTTATTGTATGAAGAAACCGAAAAATCTAAATCCGATTTATCTTCCAAACAAAGAGACGAGACCGAAAGATCTTATTTAGCAGATTATCTTAATTTGCAAAAAAGGTAGCGCTCCTATAGATAGGGGAGTTTGTTCCCGATAGACAAATGTTGTAATTATGAAAAGAGGCACTACTCTTGGGCACTATTTATTTTGTGGAATAATTGAATATTATAACTGATTAGTGAAGAATTTAAAGAAAGCGACAAAACTTTCAAGTCTGTAATACACGTTTTGACAGAAACTTCTTAATGTTGGAATTGCCCTCGTAAATGTAAGTAACCTTAATTTTTCCACACGTGTTAGAGAGCACTTAGTCAGTGACAGGGCCTCTCACATTTTCAAGCATCTGCAAGATTCTGCACATTGTCGCGCTTTGTGTTCAGCACATAGTTTCCATGTTTTGGATCACGCCTCTACCGGTCTTCAACTCAAGATAAAAGAGGCTATTCATATTCAAAGAGAACAACCATCCTTGAATCAAAAATGACACCAGGTAAATCTAAAACTATCCTTTTAATTCTCTCAATTTCATGCTTTACCTCTTTTCTTGTTGTCACCATTTATCATAACTAGCGTTTTTCTACTTACTATATAATTCAACTTTCAACGCTTTGTACATCAATTAACTGAAGATGACACTCAGAAGTTTCTGTCGAGACATGTATCACAGACTTAAAAGTTTTGTCGCTTTCTTTAAGTACAAATTAAACTTAGAAATTCTCTAAGAGCCTCAGCGAACTTCGCTAAACACGTACGTCGAAAAAAACTTTATCTTCGCGCACTTCGTGTTCAACAATCTGTACTCAAAGAAGATAATGGACACGTAACATTAATATTCCAGACACTATCTATTTCTAATAGCCACGCGCAGCCGAATTCTTCAATGGTACGCGCACTAACGCGGCACCCTTCAAAAGTAAAGCTTTGCGCAAATGACACATTAGACATGACTAGTTATTTAGGTGATTATTCGCATAGAATTAGGACCATTAGTTACTAAAATGAAATGTGTTTTTAACAAGGCCTCCGTTCGTTACTAATATGTATCCTTCTCAACTCAAATTTGAAGTACAAAAATCACTTTTAAGTGATATTTAAAACATCAGTACAAGACATCAACATTCCACTAATAAAACAGTATTAAATTTAATGTCATTATCTACTATGGGTCACTCTTCGCTTACAAACTTGCTTACAATTGCCTTAAGGTTCACAAGTGGGAGTCTGATTAGTCAATCACGAGTATGACTACGATCAGAATTTGACGACACGAGGTGTTGTTACCAATTAATTATAATTATAACATAGCTAGAAAATTTGTCTAATCAGATTCAATTGCGCGAACGTGCTTCATATTCCTATTGTGCACGCTCAAGGCGTCAGCAAACAAATCCCTCGAGGAAAAAAATTTCCATCGGGTTGAAAATGTTATAAAACAATTGGTTCATACGTCAGCTGTGCGTTCATCGAGATATGAAGCACTTGGGAAGTTTGGAGAGCACTCAAGGAGAGTTGCTACGCCTCGAACAACTCTTACGCATCTTTCGTGCTTTCCAAACTTCCCGCGTGCTTCATATCTCGATTAACGCACGCTGGGGTATGAACCACTTGTTAAATATAAGAAATTATAAATATATGAAAACAAATTAATACATTGAAGAAAAATATCTCTGGTAGAGACAATTTCTAAAGTACGATTACAGCCAACTGTCAGATTACAGTGTGCGATTACAACTGTACAGAATAATTAGTGAAAAATAAAGCAGCTTATGCACCAATTCCATTTCAGGAAATTGCAATGGTTATGATTAAGTTTAGATGGAGCGCTTATCGATTGAGTGTTTTTGAACCGAAACCAAAGTTATCAGAACGACCAATCAGAAGAAAGAAAAATACCCTAGGGGACCAATGAGTACTCAACTAAAACCAAGCAAACCGCCCAAAGCGCGGGAAAACGCGGGCGACCAATTCCCAATTTGTTTTAGTTTTTCATCTTATTGGTTGAGAGAGTGGCGCGAATTTTTTTGGACCAATCACAGAGCGAAGTAAAGCAAAACCACTGCAATCTCGGATTACCTTTGACGCTCAGTTAAAAATGACTATAAACAGTGTCAAGTGATTTGTTCATTGATTTTCGGACGTTTAAATTACTGGGAAATTTTAATCCTTTTTTACGCAAGATTTCCTGTTCTCTGCCTCAGTCCCTCGCACTTCTTGACACATATGTTCAATGTCCCTGGTACCAATCCTCTTTGCCAGCGTTTTGTGCAAGTTTCCATGACACTTAATCACAATTCGCTTGCAAGAAAAACGGCCTAAGGGATCATTATCGGCTTCACTCGTGCAATCCAAACACTTCGTAATCTGTTACTTTAAATTTCTTTTTCCCCGTTAGGAATGTCGCCTGCTGGCCTGGAGGAGTGTCAAACGATCGGCCGAGATGGCTAAAACCTGATATATTTCCTTCTCCGTCCCTTGATATGATTTCCAGGTCGCGCTGTCCTCCAAATTTGGGTCCCAGGCTGCTATCACAGTAAAAACCTTTCAGATGAATTTTGTTTATCGGCATTTTAGTAGGTCCCAGGCCATGAGGATTAACCATGCTGAATAGGAATGCTTTTGATTGTGTGACCCACGTGACGCGACCTAGAAAAGTAACTTTTGTTTCAGAAACTCTATTGCTGGTTTTCAGTGTCACGCCATTCAAAATAGATCAAAATAAAAAATAAAAACCGTTCAATCGATTTAGTCTAGAATCTGGAAATAGAAAGAAGCTAGATATGTAAAGACTCTCGCCAAGATTCATGTCACAGCAATTTTTCTTGCGGAAGATATGAGGAGAAACGTTTTTCCCAAATTTATAGAGATTTGTATGGAGCCGCCATGCTGGTGCCCACCTAGATGGGCACCAACATGGCGGCCGGAAACCAGCAGAAACATCTGTCACTGAGTTTTGCTACAAAAGCGTGAATTTATCTCTCTAAGAACTCATAAACGTAACAATAATACTTTATTCTAATACAAGAACTGTTCAGATAGCTAAATTTCCCTAAATAAGTCACCTTTTAAACCAACATAACAGCTCTCTCGCTCGTCATGTAAAGGCCACGTCACGCAAAAGCTTAGAAATTCAAGAGTAGTCTATCACTAAACCAAGAACCCATTTGGAGTGAAAATTTGTCTGAATATTAGTTTTTAGCTGCTCTAATACATCATGAAAGTAAAATCTCAGGAGGATCAATAGTTCTGAAGTCTGAAATTTAGTGACGTCACGTGAAAACCAGCAATTAGAGGTATTGTTAGCTATGGTACCTTCATGTTGATTAATGTTTGTACCGACGTTTCGTCATAAAATGTTTATATATTCATGCTATTGTCTAGGCTTTCTGCTGAATCAACGCCGTACATTCGTGCAAGAACGAAAGACTATATATGCCAATCCTTTTTATTTAAATTTATGAACCAGAAAGTAAGGAAGACTTAAACTTTATTAAAGTTGTCTCCTGAAAAATGTAGAGGTAAACGGTCAGATGCTGTACCAACTACAAAGAACTGGCCAGGTATGTTTTTTATAGGCCGTGTACCAGTGAGCGATCCGAATTCTACTTGGTCAGCAATGGTGGATGTGTCATACGTGAAGATACAGTAAGGAAGTGGATAAATGTTAGTTGATAAATTCTTCAAGTGCAACTGACTTACCACTCATCCATGGCATGTCTGTGAATCCACCGAAAATATTGTTCACGCTGTTTACAATGGTGACAGTGGGTCCTTTGTTGTCACATTTGGAATGAAAGCTTTCGGCCGAAGAGCCATCGCGAGAAGCTCGGTACAGAAGGACCCAGGTCCTACGCGAAGAAGGCAACCAGGATTGAAGCACCCGGCAATGCTCAATAGAAGTTAAAATCTTGGATTCCTGAAATGGTTCAGGAGATTTGTTTGCTTGAAGTGAAGATCCAAAAAAACTTGGCTCTTTTAACTCGTTAATAATTCCTGTTATCTGGTAGAAATCAGCCTCTTCTTCGATTTCCCTCAGAATTTTTTCTTCATCCGGTAAAGTCAATTTCCCAGTTCGTAGGTAATTGAGTATAAATCGAAAGTGAGTTCCATCCCGGTCGATAAAGAAGGCGCCGTCCTCAGAAGGTCTCATTTCAAACTTTCCCGAAAACATGGCGGCAAGCATTGAGTCTGGATCTTTGGTCAGTGTTTGAAGACTTGTTGTGAAGTAATGGCCGCCAACATTGAGTTTTACAGTCGACGAGTACATACCACCATTCATTGCTAAATCCCTCGAAATGGGTTCTATTGACTTACAAATAGGAAAAAATACAAAAATAATTTTAAAATTTGAATTAAAAAAATTCAGCATCATTTAGCATCGTGTACTTGCACTATTTCTTGACACACAGAAGTGATTATTAGATAATTTAAAAAAACGTAAATTAGCAGCATCATTTAGCATCGTGTGACGAAGGGCTTGCACTTTTTTACTTTTTACGGTGGCTATTTCTTGACACACACCGACGCAGCACCACAGTTTCTTTAGAAACTTACCCCTTTATTCATTAGTGATTATTAGACACTTAATGTATGGTCCCGAGGGAAAACAAAACTAACTAGTTTCCCGAGGGACCATACATTTAGTGCTTTGTTAAATATTTAGACTTTCCCTTAAACAATCATATGGCAAAAACATGCTGTTGTATCCGGCGCGCAGGAAACAACTGCGCATTTGTATCCCGGTCGGATTACATTTAAAATTTGATCAGCGGCACGTGACCAAGAATCAACCAATTACAGTGCTCGTTTTGTTGAGTGAAAGTCTAGGTGTGTAACAATATCCTTTCCCAATATCCTCAAGTTCTTTAAAACTTCTAAAAGAATATGATTTTTATTTTTTTATGATGATGATGATTTTTTTATTTTTTTAAGTAGCTTCCTGTCAACCAATGAATCCACGATATGAGCTAATAGTTTTGGGGTTCAGGCTAGGGATAAAAAAAAAAATGTTTACAATTGAGAGCCCCACCACGACTCAACTTACATATTGTAAGTATTTTTTTTTTCAATTTGCAATTTAGTAGTTTCCAGCCTTAGGAAAACGTACCTTCACAAAAGTTATTCTTTCTCCGATAAAGTAACTGTAGAATTTCACGATAAATGCCTATTCATGACTAATTTTGGGTTATGCGTGTGCATTTATTACCACGCTCCAAAAATATACCATTTCTTTCTGCTCTTGAGCGAAGGCAGCGAATGAGTAATTTAATTTCACTTTCGTCTTTTGCGTGATATTGATTCCATTTGAAGCTTGTGAAGCTTGAAGTTTGATAGGCTAACTACAACGAGTCTTCAAAAGCTCTTCAAAAACGATTTAGAATTCAGAAAGTTCGAGTCCGGCGGCGAACTTTTCGTTTGAATTTGTTTTTCGGTGTAGGCTTGTGTCCTTAGGGTAAAAGTATTGTAATTTAGGTCAGGTTTCCTTCGAAAAGAAGATTAAAACTGGAGATATGGGTTATCGCAAGAGAAGCAAAATCGAATCCTACAGTGTTGGCACCAAAGTGTTACTCTTAGGGATTTTAAAGGCCTATTTACACGGCACGACTTTGTCGCATGCGACAAGCTTACGACAGGCCTACGACATGACTTAAGAGTCGTAAGCGAGTTGTAGGTTTGATTTACACGAAACAATTCGTGTCGTAAGCCTGTCGTAAGCCTGTCGTAAGCTTGTCGCATGCGACAAAGTCGTACCGTGTAAATAGGCCCTAAGAAAACCACTACAGCAACGGCAACTGGAACGTTACTAGACTAAAGTGTTTATGAGCAGAACAGTGGCTGTGCACGTATGGTATAAATCTTTGCGTCCTCTGCAAAACAACGTGAAATGACCCAACTCTGCGCTGTCTGGAGAACATGACTCCGACGACGGGTAATTTTTTAAATTTCTAATTTAACGCTACTCTCCGTATTCAGGTTCGAGATAGTTTTGACAGCGAGAAACAAACTTAATGACTTTAGAGTACTGCGAAATTCGTAGGCAAAACAAGTTTATTGTTTAATCGACGTTGTCGACAACTAACAAAGCCCACGCGAAGCTCGCAAATCACTATTTTGTTCGTGAAAAACCATAATAAATCAAATGGCACTCACACAGATCTTTCACTTTGCTCGATGTATGTTCTGTCTATTACCTTCCAAGTTGAGGTATATTTGTTCACTGTTTCCTTGCCAAACAACTGAGCTCAGACAATCTTTCTACAACCCCACACCTAGCAATTGTCATCAACACCCAGAGCAGTGGCGTAAGAAAGGATTCCCATTTGTGTGGCTAATTCAAAGACGTGTACTCGAATATTTATAGACGGAGAGTGTCGCAATCGTCTGGCAGACTGCGTGCTCACCCTGTTTTTAATTGCAGTTGGCAATCAACTTATTTCTTCTTTGTTTCCAGGGTTTAGTATAAACAACTCAAAAGTCACGCAACTTTCACGATCCGTCAACTATCGATTGATTGAGATATCTCAAAAAGGCTATATAACCTTGGTAGTCTGAAATTTAGTCGTAAACATTCCTCTGAGTAAACAGTAAAGACACTAAGATAAACAAAATTTTTAATTGCTTGTTTTTATGGCCTTTTTTATGTCCAAAGTCAAGTGTTCATGAATTCTAAACGAGTTAATTAATATACAATTCAGCGTATATCATTTCGGAAACTTAATTTTTGCTCACTAATTTTAGTGTTGCGAATTGAAGGCGAAAAAATCACAATTTTCTCGAGAAAATCCTGATCGTCTCCTTCTATGCGAAAGCAAATCTAATAACTTGGTACAAAGACTTGGAAAAAAGGCCTTAATATCGCTTCAGTGGACAGATTATTGTAATTACAGTGAAAGTAATTTCAACATTTCTTACCAGAAAAGCCAGTTGCTACAGTAACCCAACACCTGCTTAAGGCCGAATTCACGCAAGAGAGAAGAGAGAGAAGTTGTGCTTTGATCAAAAACTATCATCACCCAATTTTAAGTGTGTTACTAAATTAGCGAAACTATTTTCTCCTAATAAGAGATGATCAGCCTATTCTTTTTAGGCTAAGCTTGTGATTTACAGTCGTGACTGTATGAAGTGGCACCGTACTGTGCGGTGACCTTGTTTAAAGCAGTTGGTTCGCAAAAGTCCCATAATTTTTTCCCTCAATTACCCAATTTTCACCTCAATTTCACTGTCGTAGTCGCCCTTTGCTGAGGCCCGACAGTCTCTTTTTACTGTTTTCGACTTGCATCGAACGGAATCTAACGATCCCTTAAAGATTACCCACTCAAATTACATTAGGAATAATCTTTCACATAAAGTTTAATCCATGTTTACCTCCCAAAATCAATGTTAGAAAGATTATTGAGCAAGTTTTTTTAAATTAAGAGGTAAATTATGGCGAAACGTGGCGTTTCTTTATTATTTTGTAAGACTCCCATTGTATTAAGCTGTCAATCTGTATGGATGAGCGGTTTATACAGGTTCGACTGTTATTGCGAAACAGATGTAACAATTGATTCAAGCTTAACGTGTGTATTTCGCAATCCGAAGCAAGCAGTAAGGTTCATATTGAGAGCACGAGCTTCTAGCCTCATGGGCACTCTCCAAATTTTCTCCGTGTTTCATATCGCGGTATAAGCACGCTAACCTTGAACCATTGGCTTGTGACCCGATTGTGTCAGTTAAATTAGGTAATTACTTATCCGGATTTAAAGTTATGAATAAAAGAAAGGCAAAATCGAACAAAGCAATATTTCGAGAACTAAGCTTCTTTCAAAGAAAAGCTAACTTTGTCCTTAAGACAAAAATCTCTGTAAAAGCGGTTCGGTGCATCCAAGAATCGATTTCTTTCAAACTCTGCCGGTGAATCTTTCTTAGTCTGAAAGTAACTGAAACCACCTTGGATTTTCATATATATTGAAAATTTTAGGTATGTGTGATTTTTGTTTGGAAAAAAGAAAAATAATACGGTAAACCTTGATATTTGTGCCTCACATTTATCAAAACAGAAGTCGAGTGCATGTAGGTATAGTCCAAGTGCAAGGCTAATTGTTGTTGTGACCTGTTGTCATGTGTCATGCATGTCTTCTGCAAGCTATCTATTTACTATTCCTAACGGTCTTTTTGTTTTTCATTTCATGTGGATGATCATATCTCCGTCTTGAGACCAGGATGTCGACTGTATGAAAAAGGACTGACAAGTAAAACTAACAAAAGCTCGGTCAAAAATGAGCTTTCGGTTCAGTGCAAAATAATATCGACTAGGTCTCTGAGGAAATTCATCCAAAATAGGTCCGCTCGGCGTGCAAACGATTACTCCATCGAGTCAAAAAGGACTTATTTTGACCTCAAAACGATCCCTTTTTTTTCGTGGAAAAGCCATCGTGAACAAGACTGCCCTTGTGCGAAAAAAGCTAAATGGCGCCCTTCAAATCAAGCAAAGAATCAACCGGCAGCTGAAGCTGGTGAAAGTGAGTTCACTGAAATTCTCTCAGTTCAACTTTTTAAATGGGTCATTTCCTTCACCATTCAGGTGGAAATTTCAAACGAGAATGAAGTAAAAATGTTATTTCATCGGTCGCTTCATTCCCCGAGGGCATCTCACCTTAGACATTTTTCATTTGCCGTCGGAAAAATTTTCAACATGTTTTAAGGTATTGTGCTAAATTTGAACTTATTTCCTCGTGTCTATAAGAAAAAAGTTGTATCGCGAATGTAGAGCATTTTCAACACTAATGTTTATTGGAGGCTAATTTGAGGTTAGGTTCTTTAATCTTGGAAATGGCTCCATAGAATTTTCCGAGAAAACTCTACGTTAAATGCAATATATACATGCAATAACTTTGTAAGAGACAGAAAATAAACGTTATATGGTGTGGTCTTCGGTGACCGCACGCAAAATATCGCGGGCGCTCTTTCCCACGAAAAGCACATGTTTTGTTATGGAGTTATACTGTCGTTTCGTTAGGACAAGTTTTCCTTTCTATTTAGAAGGCACAATAACTTGTAAGTATGCAGTATTTCGGTTATTCGGTCAATATCATCTTTGTAATAGTCGCGTTGTTGTTATTTCAGCGAATCTTTCTCTTTCACGTGCAATTTGTGAATGGAATGAATACAAGTTATGTGCAGATTAGAAACGAACTAGCAAGTGAACAACTGATTAAAGTACAGTTTCAAGTAGCTATGAGTGGACGCTACAAACTTGGATAAGTTTTAATTGATGTAAGTGTGGTGAATACGCCGATTGAATGTTAACACTTTACCCCCATCGGTTTTCTGTTACACAGTATAAAGTATAAAGTTGACAACTGTTGTCTTTTCCTGTTGTTCTACAAACAATTTTGTCTACCCCAATTTGAATAATCTCACATACTCAGACGGCATTGTTAAATGAAGAAAAGGAAGAGTAAAAACCGTCAAATTTATACCTTCAGCCGGACAGAAAGCCGAAATAGGCAAAGGATTTTTTTCTTCAGTATTATTTCATTTGCTATTTTTTTTCTAGCTGTTTTTCGAAATATATCCTACAGTCCAAATAAAAGTACTATCGATCGAGTATGGCCGAGTGAAAGACCAAAACAATACAAGCGAAACCATTGGAGTATTTATGACTAGTAAAAAATTGGATACGCCTAGAAGTTCGTTGCTTTAACAGTCAAGCCTAAAAAATAGGGGTCAATATCAGTATCTGGGCAACTGTCCACCTACCCCTCCCCTAACCCAGCATTAACCTTAACTTGTTGTCAATTGACTGTTGTTGATTTAGGGGAGGGAAAGGTGGGCAGCTGCTCAGATACTGATATTGATCCAAAAATAGAACAAAACCTAGGCTCGGATCGTTCAGCGCGTACTAATGGAATACTACGAATAAAGAAGCCTTAAATGTGCCCCGTTCTACCCTAAAGCAAGCAGGTAGGCGACTAGAGCACGAAAGAAGTGTAGGGGGGACACGAGACATGGTGGAGTGTTTCCCCCTTCTTCTTGAGTAGACATCCCTCCTGCAACGGAAACTTGAAAATGTTAGACGGGATGTGGGAGCGTTGATGGGATTGTTTCGGAGGATGATATCAAGGAGGAAAGAAGATGCGGCTAATCCATAATCAAAATTACTGCAAGGTTGCTATTGTGAAACGTAAATGCTTCTGAAAAGCCTTCTCGTAAGGGTCAATGCTTCTTTTCAACTGGAAAGCAAAACTAGCAAACCAATGCAACAGCATATGCAAAAGTGCGACCATTATGATATGCCACTTTATTCAATTATAAGCATGAAGACAAAGGTGAAACTAAATTCTAAGTTCTGATTATTCAAACAAAGTTCAGTGGTTTTTTTTAATAACTACACAATCCTCAATTTAGCTTGCCATGTTTGATGTTTGTTCGACCTTCAAAGGGGGTTGAACCACTAAGGTTCTCGTGGCTGTCAACATTACTTAAGATCACTCAAGATAAATTTCGGTCTCTGCACAGATTTTTTTTTTATAACATTTCACCGTAACTCACAAGCTACATGATAAAATATCCTTCACACCTGATAGAATTATTTCTATACTCAAAAATTTATATCATTAACTGGCGGGGGAAGACGTAATATACTAGATCTAATACTAGTAGTTATAATTGGTGAAAGATCTTCTGTGATCTTTTTGTTGTCAGTCACTGGATTCCAAACACTTCGTAATTGGAAACGGAGAAATATTTACCTCCTGTTAAGAAGGAACTCTCTTGCCCTCGTGGACATTCGTATGAGGTGCCGAGTTCACTGTGGCTGTCTGTGTTCTTGTTTGCATCATTTGAGATGAATAGATCTCTGGAGATAGAAAAGAACAAAGAACCCTTGATGCCAAACGTGGGTCCATATCCGCTATGACCGACCATGCCAGATTTTTGGTTTTCACTCATGAGGGGCATTTTAGTCGGTCCTACACCACTAGGGTTGACCAAACTGAACAGGAATGATTGTGTGCTCTTCACAAAAGTCGTAACTGTGAACGAAATGACACATCATATAAATGCCTGCTATATACAAATAGACTGTGTCAAGGATAGTTTTCGCCTTGATTTTTTTTCTGCATTTATTGAAATAGTTCGTTCCGACTATTCCGATTGATTTCTTTCGTTTCACAAAGTACAACATGCCATATTTATCATAGTATCCTGTCAACCGAGTAAATAACTATTTTCTTTATTTTTTTGTCTATCATAAGAATATTGCTCCTTATAAATTGCATCATGTTGCTATCTTATTTTGCTCATGGTGTTAGCTCTTATACTGGGTTATTTTCCCTTGATACATATTCCTTGCAGGAAAATAATTAGGGAAACTACATGCAAGAGAAAGGCCTTGAAAACAATGCACCACAATTTAATAATCATGTGTCACCTTACCTGGACCGGAAGCCCATGATATTTCCATGAAGCCTCCAAAAATGTAGTCTCCACTCTGTACAATTGTGACCGTGGGTCCTTTATTATCGCACCTGGAGTGAAAGTTTTGCGCCTTAAAACCATGGCGAGAGGCTCGGAATAGAAGGTGCCAGTTTTCGCATCCTGAAGGGAGAAACCCCCTTAGGGCATTTCGATGCTCTTCAGTTATTACAATCATCGACTCTCCAAATAGCTCGGCTACTTTCAAACCAAGTATAGGAGACTGCGTCGGATCATATGGACGTTCAAGCGCGTCAACTAATTCCTGGATCTGATAAAAATTGGCTTCTTTCATGACTTCCTCAAAAACTGTTGCATCTTCTGGTAAAGTTAATGTCCCAGTGCGAAGAAAATTGAGAATAAACCGGAAGTGGGTGCCATCACGGTCGATGAAGAAAGCGCCGTCTTCTGCAGGTTTCAGGTCAAATTTCCCTGAAAACATGGCGGCAAGCATTGAGTTTGGAGCGCCCTTGGTCAGCGTTTGAAGACTTGTTTCGAAGATGTGTCCGCCCACATTGAGTTTCACTGTCGAAGGAAAGTGAAAGTTCTCCACTTTCTTAGACAGTGCGTCGATTGCTTCCCGCTCCTGGCGAAGTTTCTCTGCCTCTCGCTTAAATACCTTGCAGGCTTCTTCTATTTGATTCAAAGCTTCGCTTAGATCTTGATCTTTACGCTGATCTTCTTCTCCAAGGCTACCCTCACAGTGGGTTTCGTCATTCATGTTTTCTAGCACAGACGGTCGCAAATTGTTTCGTTCTCTCAAAGCAGACACAGCCTTGGTAATCTGACGCGAAGTTATCACCTTTGCATGGTTTTGTATGACATGATTGTGAAAGGACGCATCATGCGAAAAGGGCCTGAGTTCGAGTAATTTGCATTTGAATCAACTGCTCAAAGCTTCCAACTGTGACCCGCACGTGACAACTGTGACCCGCACGTGACAAGACTGGTGAGGGAATTTGTAGAGTCGAGAAACTGTGAGGAAGAGAAAGAAGTAAATATATCTTGCGGAAGAAGCGAACAGGTAACCAACTCGATATAAGAGTATTTCTATTATACAGTTACGTCAACCGTGTAACAGCTTTGTTTCACTATCCTGACAGACATTTTTCTGTGTCTATACTTGACATATCATATTCACACTTTACACCCGAACACCAGTATGCATATTCTCCATACTGTTCTCTATACATTTCCTACGATGCTGCCAGGAGAATTTGTTTCAAAAGCAAGAGCTTCTTTAGTTGGTGATCATTTCCTCTGTTCTTGTGACTTTTAGTTGTGATTTTGTGTTGATATTGTAGGATATTCTAGTCACTCTTAGGGTCAAGGGAATATCTTCTCCATATTCTTCATGAATGAACAATAGGTGTAGGTTCTCTCATATACCTCGATAAATATTTGCATTCTGTTTGTATGAGTATCAAAGGAGTCTAGCAAATTCGTTCTTTTGTCCTGTAGGACACTTACGCGGAGCCAAGATTACTGTAACTAGCTGAGTTTCCATTTACGTCATCTGCATCGCTTCCTTCAGCTGCTCCAAATGTTGGTCAGATGCCGTACCGTTGGCTTTTTCTATGGAGCAGCATTTTTGTCGGCTCCAGGCCCTGTGGATTCACCAAACTGAACAGGAATGCTCGAGTGCATGTAAACTTGAAAGTTTTGCAAGAATTCAAGGAAGTCTCAAAATAAATTATGCAAGGGCGGTAAATTACAAATAAGCACGACGTTTTGTTTTTTATCTGAACAGTTGATGTGGTGGCGCGAACTTTCCAGACTAATCACAGAGGATCTTAGATTGCGGGCTAGGGAGATGGGAGTGGGGTGGGGTGGGGGGTGTACATTGTATTCAGTTTACTATCAATACATTTTTATCCTAATTCTCACTAGAAATAATTTTCTTTTGAAAAAATCTCACCGTCATAATTGATTTTTCTGCAGTGGTTTGGGAGATGACGCTTATCCTATATGATTCTTTTCAAATCTATTTTTTGTGGTTAGGCCAAGCAGTACTCTTTCTCAAATTCAACGCGGTAGTCTTGATGTCAGGAAAGGGATGGCCTCTTGCATAACATAGTTGGTAAATTCGTACATTCAAATTCAACTGCACGTGAAGACGTAAGGGTACGTATTGAAGAGTAGCGGAAGGAACCTCACTTTAGAAAACATCTCAAACTTCAGCGTCGACATGCTATAAAACGATTGTTTCGTACGTCAGCAATTAGTTTATCAAAATATGAAGGACTTTAGAAGTCTATAGAACACTCAGGTAGCTGGAGGAATTCCCTGCTGCGCCTCGAGTTCAGTCTAAGGCATTTTTCATGCTCTCCAAACTTAGATGTATTTAGGGAGGTAACTCAGATTACATGGGAAAGCATTAAGCGTGCGTTGTTCGTGATAACGCGGTAAAAGATTGGATCTGAGCTCGAGACAAATAATCAAAAAGTGATTGCAGTAACAGGATGAATCGAACAAGTCGGTGGTAAGATCGGGTTCCAGTTTATTTCATTCAATCAAGATATGGATCTACACTCCACTGGTGACGAAGAATTTTTTACTCCAACATTCTTATTTTTCGAAAAATCTATGATTTGGGATAGTATAAAATGAGGTATTAATACAAAAAACCTCTCTTATATTGTATATTCCGGTTTTCTGTTTGTCATCAAGTCAATGTCGGATCCCAAACACTTCATAATTTGTTATTTGAAAACGTCCACTCCCTGTAAAGAATCTTCTCTGCTCGTCTCCTAAGTCGGGAGGACATTTATAAGAACAGTCAAGATAAAGTGAACCGTGGCGCCCTGTGATAGAGAGATCGTGTCCGTTGCCAAACGTTGGTCCATAATCACTGTGACATTTAATGGCGGAAAGCTGTTGAAATGGATCTTTAAGTGGCAGTTTAGTTGAACCCAGGCCTAGTGGGTTGACCAAACTGAACAAGAACGCCTTGGTACAGGCTTTGTAACCTCGATGCGGTCCGCCTAATGATGAGATAAAATTTCAAATTAATCCAAATACCTGCTTTTAGAATATGCTGTGTAACATCGATGTGGCTTACCTAATGATGAAGTAAAGTTAATACCTGCACCTGGGAAAGAAAACCTTATTGCACGCGTGCTGTGACAAGAGAATCTGCATCATGACAGACAAATCCTCTGATGAACACCAAAAATGATGCTATCACTCTTCGCTCGACTTGATGCGCACTTAGTGAGATAAAAAATGTAATATCTCCCTTGAGATTTCGATACGACTCCGAGGATTACTCGACAAATTTGACTTAGAATTCTGAATGACTATCAGATATTAAGCAGTTTCAAATGTTTGTTCATTTAATTATCAGCTTACGTGAAACCGGTTTAAACGAAGAGAGGACACTTTTGTGTGAGCCGGGTGACAAAACGAAACTACTCTTATAAAATACTCTGCTCCTTGCCTTCTTGCATACTAATTGAAAAAGCAACCCAGCCTGCCCCAAAAAAAATTTCAGTCCACCACTGTCTGGCTGCCAAGTGACATTTAAAGACAATGGAAGACGTTGGCACTTCGATACCTTTTGTACGCTCAATCTAAATGTCTTGTTAACATTAACATTTGAAAATGACTTTCAGTGAACTCGTGAACTTTTTTCGTCTTTATTAATCATTTGAAAGAAAAAGTTGCCATCATGATGTTACGAATGTAAGCGCCTATGTTTGTATTTTAAACAAGAAAAAAAGTTAATTTTATGCTTGCTTTACCAAAAAGTTATCGCCTTCAAATGGAAAAAAGTTAATTTTATGCTTGCGTTACCAAAAAGTTATCGCCTTCAAATGGAAAAAAATAATTTTATGCTTGCCTTACCAAAAAGTTATCGCCTTCAAATGGAAAAAAGTTAATTTTATGCTTGCGTTACCAAAAAGTTATCGCCTTCAAATGGAAAAAAATTAAATTCACGGGTCACGTACATATTAGAAGGCAAATCACGCCTCACGAATCATGCTCGCCTTTCTGTGAAGTTCTCGAGTCACGTTACTTTTGGCCGTCACGTCACGTATAAACCCTTTTGCCAACCTTTATGGCGATAAAATTCTGTTTGAACTGTCGAATTTTATAATGACCGACCTCCAGCAATAAAAAATTCTTGATTTTCTTGCCTTTACTACGTAGAGGTCCTGCAATCGCGACAATGATTTGAAAATCGTTGCTTTCATACGCAAATTTACCGCTCACGCAATTTTGTCTTCGCTGGCTAATACAAGCGGCGTGACGCAGCAGAATGAAGGATAAGAGTGAAGAGATTGACAAGAATTTGTCATAGAAGTAAAGGAATAAACGTTATGTAGAAACTGAAACGTAAGTTGCTAATTGTACGGAAAGGTTTAAAGATTTGGTCAGACACACTATGTCGTACTTCGGTTTACGAAAACTTACTTTGCCATGGCATCTCTGTAAATCCTCCGAAAATGTTGTTTTCGCTTTTAACAATGGTAACCGTGGGTCCTTTGTCGTCACAATTGGCGTGGAAATTTGCAGCTTCGAAACCATCTCGAGTAGCGCGATACAGAAGACACCACTCTCCGCGAAACTCAGACAACCAACCTAACAATACTCGTCGATGGTCTTCATTTGTCAGGATAACCGAGTCTTCAAAAGGATTGTGTAAAGGTCTAACTGCTTGAATTTCAGCTTTAGTGGACTTCATCTCGTCGATTATTCCTTGAATCTGATAAAACTCAGCTTCTTCCGCAAGTTCTTTTAGAAATGTTGCTCCATCTGGCAAAGTTAATTTCCCAGTGCGGAGATAATTGAGTATAAACCGGAAGTGAGTTCCGTCTCGATCGATAAAGAAAGCGCCGTCTTCAGAAGCCTTCATTTCAAATCTCCCTGAAAACATAGCGGCCAACATGGAGTTTGGATCCTTGGTAAGCGTTTGAACACTTGTTGTGAAGGTATGTCCTCCGACATTGAGTTTCACGGTCGAAGAAAAGTGAACATGTTCCAGTTTCTTCGATATGGCATCCATGGCTTCCTGCTCTTGGCGAAGTCTTGTTGTTTCGTCCTGTAGAATTTTAAACACTTCTTTAATGTGATATTCCACGTCTGCGAGCTTTTGATTGCCTTTTTGTCCTTCATTTAGACGCTTTTCATCAGCCATTTTCCGTGTTTCAATCAGGAATATTACAAGCGAGGATTACAACTCCACGCACAGAGGACAAGACTCCTTTCGATCGATTGAAATCGAGGCTAACGTGACCGGACAGGGGGGAGGGGCTGGGGAATTTTTAGGCTATTCAAATTTTCTTCTCTGGAAGCTCCCTAGAAATGATTTCACAACGAAATCTCGAGGGAGATACCACATTTTTTGGCTCACTTAGTGCGCATCAAATTTTTTAAAATATATTTTCTTCCATGATTTATTTTGGTCGATGTTCAGCCTGATCGTACGGAAGTAGTGATCGACTGGTGACGATTTGACAAGCTTGGCTGACGTCGGTCGTTAGTTTTCCATCATGATACTAAATGAGGGAGTGTTTCCCCGGGTATCAAAGGCGGAGTTTCTAACCCCCACCGTTTCAAGTAGCGGGTTTCTGCTTCGACAGCTTGATTATGCCGATAATCCACTGGTTAGGGTGTAGCTAGGGGAGGTGCTGGGTTGTCTTTTGACCTCCCATGCCTTCTTGTGAGGTACCAGGTGGCAAAAAAGCATGAATTTCTCAATGCTCATCGGAAAAAAAATAAGTTTTAACTTGAAAGGTATGCATGTCGACATGATGGTTAGGTAAGTACGCTAATCAGGTTAGCACACGGTACGACTTCCCACCCCTCCCTCCCTCCCCATGAATTATTGAATACTCATCCAAAATAATGTCATTTTTGATAAAAGGCGTGCATGTCGATATGATTGTCAGGTAAGCACGCTGATCAGGTTAGTATGCAGAACGACTCCGCCCCCCCTCCCTCCCCCATAAATTTTTCAATGCTCATGACATGATGTCACTATTAATAATAATGCTGATCACGTTGAGTCTCCCACCCATCCCCCCCACTTAATTAAAAGATGTCATATTTGTATTTCTGGGGCTTCACTTTTTGAGATAAATGTCTCGTATCAATGATCTGCTTTAAATGAATCGCGTTAGCCTACCTAACTTTGATCCACATTATTTTCATCAAATCCGACATCCGTCCACCGTTGGCGTAGTCAAAAAAACGACTCTAATTTCGCTTCGTTTCGTTTTTGAGGTTATAAACGAGACGTTTTAAAAATGTAAACTCCCACTTCGATAACTGGATACCAACTATGAACCAATTGTTGCAAGAAGTCATTGCGAGGAGCTGGTCAATAAATAAAGATGAATAGTGATATTGTTTGTTTTGTTTTTTATCATTATTTGTCGAAGCATGAACCTTCAGGATGTGGCAGAAATTGTCAGCGCCTGGAGTTATTTGATAATCTCAGCCTGGAGTTACATAATAATCGCAGCTGATATCATGTTTCTCATCACATCTCTTTACTCTAACTACCAACTCTGTTTCCTCTCTCTAGGGGATTAAATCAAGTGGAACTACACATTTGAATCATAAAACCTCGGAACTGACAGAAAAAGCCTTTGCTTTCTGTTGCATCACCGTGCATTCGACCAAACATTTCGAAGCATCTTTTAACACTTTGAAAACAACTTAAGCGCTTTCATAAAAAAAAATTATATATTTCCTGATCCGCTACTTCATTTTGAAATTATCTACGCTCTATATCTAAATCAAGAGAGTCATGAGAGTTTACGTTCTCTTGATCTAAATAATTAAAATAGTGGGTAGAAGCACCCGATAGCTATCTTGGGGTGAACTAATATTTAGCATTAATTAAATTCGTTTGTATTTATATGATAAATGTGTGCTCAGCTGCAACTTCGAATTTACTGCTCCAAAATAATTAATGGTTTTAAAATTTAAACTCTCAACCATAAGTTTGCAGCGTCTTATATTCTATTTAAGATAACTTTACCACTAGAATAAAACTTCTTTATTCTTAGAGGATAAATGCTTTTCAACCCGTTAATTTGCGGTTACATTTTGCACAATATATTATTGGTGTTCAAGCCATATTAACTTATGAAACTAGACGATATATCGACGACTTTTAAATCCACCGGGCTGACGGGCGGAACAAACTTGTTTCTATTCAGAAGATAAATTTTACCTCATGCCTTAATTTGTTCCTATTTTGCATAAGCAATTATGGCGCGTTTCATGTAAATCAATTACGCTTGACAATATCATCTCCCACATTTACTAACTGAAGCAAACTATAACTTTAACTTGAACAAAAGCCTAGTTGTGCTAAAAGGATAAATGCTTGCTGCTTAACTCTATTCTTCTAAAAATTCTATACAAGAAATTTTAAAAAGTTTTGTATATTGTGTTAATGATAGCCCCAAAAGATCTTTCTAACTGTGAATAAAATACCCTCAAGCCAACCTGTAATGTAATTCATAGCATGTGTCATGCAAATTGTGTGGCGCGGAGTTTATGTCGTTTACTAACGATATATAAATATTTTTTTTTTGGCGGAATAACATATTCCCTAATCGAGAACACTGAATTTTGGATGGGGAACTAATTCCTCCGATATCCAAACGGAAGGAATTTTGCGCGGGAGGATTCAGAGAAGGAATGATTTTATCTTTTAAAATGTGGTTAGTTGCACGGTTAAAAACATTTCACTGAATTCCATTTAACCGCGTATTTTTGTTTTTAAAGGTAAATATTGGTAAGCTCTGTTTTTTTTTCATCTAAAAATTAATTTTTAGTGTTTTTGTTTTCGCACGATTTAAATCACACCAAGAACACGACCGTTACTAATTGATGTTTTAGTTTTGCCTACAGGACCGAAAGTAGCGATATTTTTTACGGCGATTTGCGATTTGTTCTGCGGGAGTTCATTTTCCGCTAAAACTGAAACCTTGAGGATCGAGAACACTCCACAAAATTTACAAAAATTAAACCCTTTGCAAAGTAACCTAAATGCTGTCTCAGTTATACTAAGAGGATAAAGCTTTCTCGCTGGTTTTACGCTCCCTATATTTCGCATGAAAATTTAAGCCACCATATTCGACGTACATTTATGAAATAAGATGTGCTATCAATCAGTGGTTTAGCAAAAGGAGGAACAAATATAATCGAGTAGAGATTGACTATCGATAAATTAAGCAAATGTTACTATTCAGTTTTGATGTGTTTGAACGCAGAATATCTTACGTAACATCTTTACAATTGCTTCTCGAAGTTCGGGAAGCCGCCAGCAGTATAAAACCGGGTTAATGGACGAGTTCATGAACACGGCAGTGTGGGCAAAGTCCCATTTGGTTTCCCAGTTCAAGAGAGAAGCTCCATGTAGAGTGGATAATATATACATGGGGAAGTAGCATAAAATCAAGACAATGTAGAACACAAACATGTTCAATGCACTTTTTCTCAAACGCGCCATGTGCGCAACGTTTTCTGGGCTGCAATTGCTACGGACCGCCAGTTGCTGCGCGTCAATGCGCAACCTGTGGCGTCGAACGATGCCATAGATCTTTAGGTAAGAAAATGTTGAAATCAAGAGACACATTACAGTGGTAAAGGCAACTACGAAATGACATTCGCGCGTCTTCCAAAGGTAAAGACTGGAAGTAAGGACTTTAGACAACCAAATCAGCACCGTAGTGTATCTTACGCGACACGGAGTCACCAAGCTCGGGTATCTAAGGTGATACGTTAGCGCCATTAGGCGATCCACGCTAATGGCTGTTACGGTATCCAGTGACACTCCACAGACGAAAAAGGCCATCATACCTGTTGCAAGTTTTAAAAAATAAATGTTAGTTGTCAAGGTGTTCGCGATGTAAAGAGGTTGTGCAACCAAACCGACAAGAAGGTCTGATAGCGCCAGGCTGAACAGGAAAATCATGGATGGAGATTGAAGACTGCGATTTTTAACTATGACGGCCACGACTAAACCGTTTCCTAAAATTGATGTCAGTATCAATGGAACGTTTAGCGCAGAGTTTATGATAGTTATAATTCTTTCATTTTCTTCGTTTGAGTGAGAAGACTCTGTATCACCATTGCCCCTATCGGTGAAGTTCATATTATGATCTGTAGCGTTAAAGAGAATCAAATCAAAGCGAAGTTACTCCTGGTGTAGATAGATGTAGTTGGTTTGATATCCACACAGTTAATCTCAACGGAAAAATTTCATTATATCCTTTTAGTGCCAGCGGACCGGTTGCCACAGCTTTAGCTATAGAAATAAAATCGTGGGAAAAATTGAAGATCTACCGTCGTCTTTTCTCTAACGCGTGATGTTTCTAATCAATTCAGTGCTCCTTCAGGCTTCTTTAATCTCCCAGAGACGAGAGGAAATTATAAAAGAAAACTTTTCTTTAAGTAAGTGATAACCTGTAGCCTGTAGCTCATAAAACTTTAATGCTGTCATCGCATGTTTTACATCCTCTTGAAACTAATAGCTTGCGGCTGCTTTTTATCACCACTAGACGTCTCCAGATAAAGAGGTATTAGCAATTAATTTGCTGTAAGTGATATTGGAAGATGAAAGAGCAAAAAGCCATTATGATTCACTCATTTTGAAATAGTCGAGTGCACTCAAATAGTTCATTTCAATATGACGGTAAATCATTATTAGACTTTCGGTAACAATATGATGCATATAAGCACGATGCACACGACAATACAGATGCTAAAATGAAACAGTAACTTGGTTTCTAGCAATAGAATATTTTTTCAGAATTCATGATTTGTTTTGCTTTTTGTTTTTTTTTCAAGGAATTAGTGAATTGGAGCGATTTAAAATAAATGTAAAAAGTTTAAGATCTACATGTGAAAATTCGTTCTTCGCGTGTTTTCAGGGGTTTCGATTTTAAGGCGAGTTGTGGAAATACAATCTTATTAAGATAAGTTTTCAGTGCAAGTTTTAAGCTTTATGAGGATCGAGACCTTAGTTGCTTTGGGATTAGTACCGTAAATGTAAAGACTTCATTCGGTTGTGCTCATACATTTTCCATTAAACACGGTGATACTTAGTTACTTTTGGTATCCCTCCCCCCCCCCCCCCCCCCCCAAAAAAAAAAAAAACAAACAAACAAACAAAAAAACAAAACAAAAACAAGCTAAAGTAATTAGCACTATCGAAGAGTTGTGTTTCAAAAATACCGAAATCAATTTCAGCCATTCTATGAACGATACAGACTTTTATTTTTAAATTTTGCACTTCGCCTCTCAGTTGAAGAGTTCAGTTTACTCGAGAATGTTTACGAGTGGTGTTCCAAGCTCTAAAAAGGTAGAAAGCGAAAAGATATTTCAACTTTAGAACGCAATAATGGATAATGAAGAGTTCAAACGTCTATTATACAGCTCAGACAAGCAAATCCATCTTTTTACTTCATAGTAATAACATCTATCAAGTGTAAGAAGGTGTTCGAGTAAATGTTGAGCCAAAAGTTGATGACAGGAATCGCTCTCTGATAAAACTAAATTAGAAGCTTCTATTTTCAAATTTTCATGAAACAAAAGGGGAAGCAAGCTGCATAACCTATAGGCTTATTCATTTGTCTATTTTTTTCCTCAACAAATGACTTAACTATTACACATTAATCAGCTGTAGTCTATAATATGGCTATCACTTCCGTGTCACAACTAGTTAACTCCAAACACCTCGTAATCTGTCACAATAAACTCTCGAGCTCCCGTAAAGAATGTGCTCTGATATCCTCCAGGAAGCTGATACGTGTGGCCGAGATTACTCCTACTTGAATGACTTGTGTTTGCAAGGTTGGATATGTATAAGTCACACCCCCCTCCAAATGAAGGTCCAGCAATGTTGCTACAATAAATAGCATGTTGCTTATTTTCTCTGTTTAGTAGCATTTTACGCGGTGCCAGTCCATGCGGATTCACCATGCTGAACAAGAACGCTTCTTCGGAGGGAAGGTGATCACCGTCACCTGTATAAAAAGACCATGAAGAAATTAAGGATGCCAACCCGACGATCATTTGGGAAAATGTTCGGACAACTTTTGCTCGCTGCACTGAATATGCATAAAAGACAAAATTTTTCTCTGAAACAGCTGATTTAGAAAACCAAGGTAACTTTTAGCTAGACTTTTGGCTTGCCTTCGTTGAAAGGCATCACTAATGCACAAGATCAAGGAGCAACAGCCTCCTGCTCCTTTCATCCATCTCAGGTGTACTCATAAGAATATCAGCATTTGATTTTCTCTTGGTGTACCCTATTCCCCAAGAGCAAAATAAAAATGGAACTTTAGTATTAGAGCGTAGTAAAGCAGGCTTCTTACTTACTTTTCCAAGAATTCCTCGTGAATCCTCCAAAAACATTGTTTCCGCTTTTCACAATGGTAACTGTGGGCCCTTTGTCATCACATTTTGCGTGAAATGCTAGAGCTTTGAAGCTATCTCGAGAAGCACGGAACAGTAGATGCCATTTATTATATTGAGGCAGCCAACCAATAAGCTTGGTTCGGTGCTCTTCATTTGTCAGAATCACTGATTCTTCAAAATTCTTCGGTGCTTTAGGCTTCAACTCCTCCAGAATTCCTTGGATCTGGTAGAACTTAGCTTCAGCTTCGAGCTCTTTGAGAAATGCTGCGCCGTCTGGTAAAATTAACTCCCCATTGCGAAGATAATTAAGTATAAATCGGAAGTGAGTTCCATCACGATCGATGAAGAAAGCGCCGTCTTCAGCAGGTTTCATTTCAAACTTCCCGGAAAACATGGCTGCCAGCATCGAATTTGGATCTTTAGTAAGCGTTTGAAGACTTGTTGTGAAGTGGTGGCCGCCGACATTGAGTTTTACAGTCGAAGAAAAGTGAACATGGTCCAACTTCTTCGACATGTCGTCAATCGCTTCTCTCTCCTGGCGAAGTTTTGCTGCTTCTCGCTGAAATATTTCGCAGGCATCTTTAAAGAACTTTTCCGCATCTTCCAAACCATGTGTTTGTTCTTTTTGGCCCTCCGAATGGGTTTTCCTACTCATGGTTACTTTGATCACAGCGTATAAATCGAAAACGAAACGAACTGTGTCAAACACTCCTGCAAGATCGCAAAGCAAGATGAGGGTAGTCATGCCCATCGGAGTAGTTGCGTGATTTTTAAATATCGTGATGAGCATGATTTACGATAGCGTTACTGCTAAATAGCGTTACTGATAAATACTACTACCTTCATCCACAGGAATAACTCGTTTACTTGGACGCAAAGACTTATTTATCAAAGAAATTGAAGATTTAATGTAAAAAATGTGTACACTTAAGAGTCTGTCCACGAGAGGACCGGCGGGCGTGACACATGCCATCTCACCGATTTCTTTCAAACTTTCACGGTTTATGAGGGTCACTTGCAGTGGCCCACAACTGTCACGGCAAAACAAAAAGTCACGGCAAACAAACTTTACTCACGGCAAAACAAAATTTACCCGCGGCAAAACAAAATTAACTCACGGCAAAACAAAATTAACTCACGGCAAAACAAAATTAACTCACGGCAAAACAAAATTAACTCACGGCAAAACAAAGAAAACGAGTTGGTCAGCGGTTGTTATTTGCATCTGAAATGGTACGTCGTGTAACAGTAAATAAAAAAATGGCGACCTTTGTTGCTAAGAATAGTGGTGGGGTGAAAAAGAAGCCGATGATAATCTTAAAAGAGTTAATATTTATTCGTTTTAGTTTCAACAAGCGGCGTCAGCGACTGGCAGGTGTGCATGGATTCACAATGAAATGAGAGAACAACCTTCGTTTTTCGTAAAATTGTAATTTACAGTCCTTGAACTTGAAAACAATCCGAAGATTCATTAAGATTATCACTTTCTCCGAAGCGCTCAGAGTTTACAGGTGTTCAAAAGCTTTTTCTGTTATGGCGTGAGATTGGGGACAAAATCGATCACTACATTTCGTATCGTGTGTTTTTTCTGTGTGAAGCAACAAAAGGTGCCGGCGACTGACGAAATTACAGGTTAACACGAAAATCAATAACACCTAAACAAACAATTTTGGCTAACGATTTTCAGTGAATTTTTAAAGAACAATTTCCTTTTAAATTTCAAGACAATTTTAAGATTCAAAATAAATATTACTTACTAAAATGCGAAAGTTATATACCACAAAATTGATAAATAGGCATGAAATTTACCAAGGGTAAGAGGCTAAAATTAGCTCGAAAAATGCACTTCCAACAAATCTCTGTCACACTGACAGAATGCGATGGATTTTGACCTTATTACGATGGACTTTGACCTTATTACGATGGACTTTGACCTTATTGTGTCCAGTGGTTGTTGAACCTTAAGGAAAAATTCCGTAAAGTTTTAAAGCAGTTAATCATTAACTGTGTCACGCAACTATTCCGAAAACGAAAAAAATTATGGTTTTTTAATGGCAATTCAGCTCTAAAGGGCAACACTGTTTGTCGACAAAAATACCAGCACAGGAAAGACCTATCTTAACACTACGTTTGTGGGCAAAAAAATTTTTGGGCTCTGTAAAAGATTCGTGATCACGTCCCTCTGAAATACGTGACCTCTGACGTTAATTTATGCAATTTTTGGTCATAAACTTATGTTTATGCACTCAATTTCAATTTGAGAATGGCGCTAGTTTTTGAGGTACCAATGTCTAAAAAGCTAAGGAGTCACTTATCATAGAAATTCTGTGACTCTGACACAATCTATTGGAAAAAATGATTCGTAAATGTATGTATATATCAAACATTAAGCATTACCGAATTGAGTAATGGACGTCGGCAGTTGACAGCAACGTTTGTTAAATGTAATTTACACAATTGAAACACTTTATACCTATTAAATATCATTTTACTCAATGCGCCATAATCTTTTTCTGTGGAATACTTTGGAGAGGACTCCATCCAATTTTAGGTACATTATGTACAATTACGGGACAGTTGTTCCTGTTACACTAATAACCTCACTTCAATTAAAAAAAAACAAACAAACAAAACATAACAAAAAGTTAAGAAAAAAAATGAACTATGACGAGTGAGGTTGGCTTCTAAGATGTAAAAGATCCATCAAGATTCCAATTTCTGTAGAATAAGGCAGGGAGAGGCTTCTGAAAATGTTGTTTTCAAAAATAAAAGGTCCTTTTTTTTCATTATCAGTCCCTTTTAACAGCATAAACGCCTCTTTTACTCACACTGAAGCCAATGATTCCAGAGGTTTCTCACAAGAAGAAGATTACCTGACAGTAACCTTTACGAATCTTCTTGTGTCAGTAATAAGTTTATAGTTCTCTTCCTTATCTGAAATCTCGTCTCCATTGCCTCTGCATTGTTGACGTATTGATCGTACATTCATCCTCCAAGGAAACACTTACAACTCCATTCGGGAGATCGGCCATATCAAGGGCTGATAGCCTGCTGCAATATCAAGCAATTTGAACAACTGAGAGTCATCCCTCCCTGGTGAATAATTTGTCTCCATTTCCTTAGACGCTTCATTTTAGGTGCAAGATCAGGAGGATTTGCCTTGTTGCCGGTTTCATCTCCTGGAAAGAATATCTCTTGTAAAAATTACTGCAATCGTTGAGAAAATTTGGTAGACTTCTTCTCCTTCTTCAAAGCTCAAACCCCTCCGAAGATGAACTGTTGGCGGGTACTGCACTCGATTCTGTTGTTGCAAGAGATTATAAATTTGTTGACGGAGCACCACCAACGGTTGCACCTAGCACATAATTTTACAGGTTTCTGCCCACTTTGCTCGGTTAAGTGGCGCCCAACATCGAGACGTTTCTCAAGACTTTTGAATTCCTGGTAAACACTTACGCACCTTGTGCAGAACCATAATTCTGAAGCTTTCCCAGTGATAGAAACTTGCCCACATTGTACGCTTTTCCAAGCTCTCAGACTCAAAGGAAAAGTTGTTCAAGGCTTGAATGCCAGACATGCTGTGCTTTTTTAAAATTTTGGAGAGAGTCCTGAATTTCTGTGTCGGTGGCGTAGCACCCTTTCATCCCTCCCCCCTCCCCACACTATTCAATCGCAGCCTTCGTGTCACCGGCGTTGTTTTAGTCCTTCCCTTCTTTTATGAATCGCCTCATGTGACTTTTAAGTGTGGCTCGACGGCGATCGCAAACATCTTTGCTGGCTTGAGGATCGCTGAAGTCGTACTGTAAGATTCTGATTCGAGTAAGCTTATGAAGGTTGGCAGTGTCAAAAGGACGAAAAAAGATGTGATATGTTTTTTTTTATCTAATGGTGAGCAGAATTTTTTCGGATGGGTGGAATTCCTTTAAATTGATGGTTAGAACAAATACCAGCTGAAAGAACTACAGCATGACGTCGATAACGAGTGGATAGCGCACATCCCCAGAACAGCCCTTCAAGACGCTGCGCTGTTATTGAAAACCTGGTCAACAACCAAGTGCTTATAATTATGAACTGGGCCATGAAATTCCCCTTAGTTGGTTACCGGAAAAAACACAGAGAAAATGGTTTGCGATAAAGGGCAAGTTATAGCACGTTTCTGCATGTTGCGGTCAAAAAGCAAGCGGAATGGTGAAGTCGAAGTAGAGCTCTTATTCCGAGATGGTTATACTAAAAACGCTTCAGGAAAAAGTTTAAAATACGTGGATAGACTCAGGATGATCATTGCACATTACAAAAGCTTAAAAGGACATGTAATAAAATAAACCAATGGTCATTATCTGGTGATACCATACATTGAATGAAAGGGATAAGCTGGTATAAGTCGAGAGGTAGTCTTCACTCTTCCAGGCTATTTAATCGGTGAAATTCTACAGGATTTTAACAGTGAAAATATTTCAGAAATGTACACAATAAAACAAAAAAATTATTCAATTTAGTTTCAAAGGGTTTTAAATGGGTTGGGTGATGATTTGGAGCCTTACCTCTACAGTAGCAATAAGCTTAGAAGTGGTGTTACTCATAGGATACATGTCTTTCTTTTCCGAGACTTCTTTGATAAATGTAAACAAAGTTGGTCTGCCGCGGCATCCATCCTGCACGCCTGTTGCATAAAAGTCCAATTACACTAATCTTACTAAAGCCGGCATAAAACGGTGTTCAACCAACTCAACTAAAAACTTAAACCTTTGCAAAATCGCGAAAGATCTGCATTTACACGGTAATTTTCCAAAAAATAACAAATTCTCTTTTCTATACTTCCTATTTTCTTTAAAAGGTTAGCCAAGTCGAGTCAAGCAATGGCTATGAAGGTTGGAGGTGGCCCGCCACTATTTTCTTTTCTAGGAAATTTTTGATTCTAAAATCTGGTAGTATCTTCTTTTATTCGCACTGAGATATGATGCCTTATGAAATCTTAAGAGCGGTTACGTTTAAATGCCGAAAATTCGACCTAGAAATAGACCTCTCCTGGCTCCCATAAATATCCATATATCTTTGTTCAAAGTTTATCGTAATTGGAAACGTGTGGTCCGTCGCCATGTTGGTGTTGCAAGCAAATCCTGTGGGATTTGAACGCTTTTGTTTTCTAAGCAATTTCTTCTATCCCTCTAAATTTGCACACCCATAGACCACGTGAGTGAACTGCACTCTACAGTGGTTGCATCGGTCATGATAAAACGCGGACCTCAGACCATGGAGACTGTGCAGACCGCGCAGACCATGCAGACTATGCAACTTTTTTGTTTGTTTCTTTGTTTGTTTACATATGATTAAGGTGTGTGCACCTTTTTCTTACCCTTGGTAACGTTAGAATTGTTTCCGTTTTTTGTACACCACATGAAGAAATTTTACGAGATTACTTCGAGCTCACGTTAACTAGCAAAACAAAATCGAAGGCTCAAGTTTTTCGAGCACATGGAGATTAGCGCCACACGGCAAGATGCATTGCAGATGCAATTTTTGCGGACAGCGACGCTGATTCAGAGGTAAGTGCTGTATTGACGAAGCAAACGATTACCACGATATTCACAAAACAGCTCAACGAACTCTACAGTAAAGAAAGTGCTGCAAGCTAAAATTGAGCTTTACTAGGAAATAAGGTTTTTGAATCAGAGTAGAAGACT